TCGTTCCTTGCGGATTGGACGCCGGTAACCGCACGTGTTCAAATCGATACCCGTCTCTCTCTCTCTCTCGCTCTCTCTCCACATTTTTTTTATGCGGGATATAGCAATGGCTTTCGGGTAATGCTTATGTGTAACATGGCTGTTTCTACACGTTTCGGTTATCGCGGACCGGGCGCTGGTAAGCCGCGCGCGTTCCGGAGATCTCGACAATTAACCGATCTAGCGTCGAGCGTAGCGCGTGACATAAATATACATGGTATGCTTTATTCGGTTATAAATTCTCATTGGTTGACAAAAAAGATAAAAGCATGCCTAGGAAAAACGAAAGGGAAAGAACGGGGGAGGGAGAGAAGCGAAAGGCTAGCTGGTAACTTGGGTTGGAACGTGGCGATGGTGGGATGTTGTGCCCTCTTCTTCACACATGCTTCCATGACTCCCACAACACTGAGAAATTAGATGCATGCACATAACATGATGAAACCATTCATTAGAACAAGCGTTATAATTAAGGAACCGTCGTATACATGAGAGAGAGAAAGAGATTATGATTGTGTCTGAACAAGATCGATTTCCGTCAGTTGTAATAATCCAAGTTTGGAAACTCATCATGGCCATGCCATACGAGTATCATTGGAGCTTTCTTGCCTCTTTTGGCCGAGCAAGTCCGAGGCTACGCGATTCGAAAAGAATTTAACAAAATTGGCTCGATACATAAAGCTGCGAACAAGCAAAGAAGGGCATCTTTATCTTTACGAGTTATTAAATATATCGAGGTCGGCAATGGAATGACCACCTTTTGCTGCTGCATGGTTCTGGTCGGCAGGACCCTGAAATATCATGAAGTGTTGGTTGTGCGTGGAGCCTGCGTTTTCCTCCACATTTGTTAATAGAGAGCAGAGAAAGATTTGCACAGCACTCTGTCGCTTTCCTATTCTTTTCTTTTGCTTGTTCAAAACACGCGAAACGTCGTGCACACGAGTCATCATACAAATGGAAAATCGAGACAAGCCATTCGGTTGCTTTCTTGGTTCGATTAGGCTGTTCCGACGGGATTTTTTTTGATGCAGAAGCGAAGACGAGCTCGAAGTTATTCACTTATAGAGATGTGTTTTCCGTGTCGAACTAAATTCTTTGCTTGGCACTTACACACGACCGAGGAAAGGAAGTGAGCTCTCTGGAATATTATATAAGCTGATTGCGATGGCACGTTCTTTAACCAAGATGCTGCATTTCGCCCAAGAATCTCCTGTTTTCACGAGCACGACATTGATGAGACAGTTCGAAATCTCGGACGAGGACCGAAAAAGGAAGAGGAGGCAGGAATCTCTCGGTTGTGGCAGCCAACTAATTAAGGATTTTTCTTTCCCCGGAGAATAATTTCATTAAAGAAATCGAAAATTCCGACCTCGGGTCAAAAAAGAATAAACCCCACCCACCACCTTTCATTTTGTAAAGGAGGGTGCCCAAATGACCCCCCTTCCATTGATTCTACAGGTCGAGGAAATCCTATGATTAGTCAACATTTGCGACGACTATGTTGCGACGTTGTTGGGGAGTTCGTTCATACTAGGGAAGTTCGCCCTCACTTGCCTCGTGCTCAACGAGGGAAATGAGGGGCAGCATCGTCTCCACCTAATTTGTTTTTGTCTAGGTTTGATTTCGATCATTTCTTCTTCGTCTTCCTCGTCTTTCACGCCACCAATTTCTCGTTTCTGCTGATCAGCCTTAGAAAATAGTACATGAAGAGATTAAGTTTCGGGACACGTGAAAAACGTTGGGGAAGAAACACATGGATGTAGGAAAGCCTGCTTGCTTGTGAACTGAACGATAGAATCATAGGAACTTAGGTTTGGTAATGTGACTTATCGGCCAGTGAACTAGTTATGAACTTTGGGCTCCGTTTTAAGGAAGATATCTTGTAAATCGTTCATTTTCCGCGAAACACGCTATCTCAAACGTCTCCCGCATGGTGTTGAATGTCGAAAATCTTATCTCTTTTGTAGCTATATTTAGGACACAATCAAGTCAATGAGTGACTTTTAAGTTTCTTAAAGGGGTTATATTTATGCACTCGAATTGCTATAGATGATCTACACTTTGGTTACTTGGTGGCATGATCGATCCGGATGGAGATTCCCAAAGGTCTCAATTCGTGTAATTTACACGAGACACTTATCTAAGATGACGACACGCGTCACTGATTTTCTGAAAGACATATTTGTTAAAAAGGAAAGTTACGATTTTCAATGCAACCGATTGATCTCGTGATATGCACAATCGATGCCTTAGAAATCGAATATTTTTCACATTAAACATGTTAGCAAGTACACTTAATTGAGGTACTCGTTCACAAGATCTTTTTCTTTTAAAAAAAATCGATGTCAAACTAAATAAGCCTTGAGATGCAATAAGAAGATAGGAAATCCGCGTTCAGAGTTAACATACCAAATTTGTTCTAAATAGAGAAATGGGTTCTCTAACAGAAAGTGGTTCACCTTACTTGAGGATACCTTTGAAATTAAAGCAGTTGGGATCTATGCATTCACATAAGCCGTTTCTGTTCATAAGGGTGGTCCATCTAGTCAAACAAATAGGGCTAAGAAATCGTAGGTGGCCGTAAGAACTTTGGACTTTACAACCTTTGTTTCTATCTTTCTACCACACACTTAGGACCACCTTACTTTGAAAGTCGAAATGGTGGGACAAAAAAATTAAAGGGAACACGAAACATAGTCTCTCTCATTGTTCTCATGCCAACACCCAACCAAAAAAGGAAAAAAAAACTGCATTTGTTTCACCCTATTCTACAAGTTGACATTTGACTTTCTGCCCAAGATAACTCGTTTTGCTTGGGTTTAACCTCCACAGCAATGGGGTTTCTCTTTTGCTTTCCATCTTAGCTTAAGTTGCTTGACCCGGATACATGTTTTAACCTCCGGTTCTTATTTATTTCGTTAGAAAGTCTGACCCAAAAGTGTAAGCTAATAGGTATAAAATGATCCCGCGTAAAGATAGTAAACAAACGATGTGGGATATTTTAACGTTATTTTTCATGTATAAATCGAATTATAAATAACAAGTGAAATTTGAGGAACGGGAAGCTACCTGCTTAAAAAAATTAGGGCAAAACCCAACTCGAAAACTGAAACTAACACGTGGAGGGAGCCACATGTATGTACCTCGTTAACGACCGATATGGGAGGATGCTCTGATATATCGTCGCCACCAGAGAAATATGACTAACCAGTAGCAATCTAGCTCTAGACAGCAGTAGCGTAGCGTAGCGTGGTGGTGATGACTCACGCAGCACCATAGAAAAATCAAAAGGGGAAAAGGAAAAAAAACGGTCGAAGGGACGCTACATTGCAATTCTGCTTTAATTCGAGGGGCGGAAAGAAAAATATCATAGGACCAATCGGCTCCCTATTGGTCCACTTTAAAAATGGAAAAGAGCATCAATAATGATCACCCCGCAAAAAAAAAATGAAAAAAGAAAAAAGGGTCGAAAAGGAAGACAACATGCAAAACATGATGCCTCCTATGTTGATGGGCCCCATCCATAGATCGATAGTAAGTGTTTTTAACCTTTTTTTTCCTTTGTTGTTTTGCCCTCTGCGCTTGCCTCGCTATATATAGTACATAAATATCAGCAGCAAATCTGCAGTACGGTACTGTTTTTTTCCCCATTTTTTTAACATGTTGTTTTTGTCGGCTATATGTATTTCCGGCTGGTGTAATGGGGTTAGTTGGACTTATGTGGAGCAGCTCGCCTCGACGGTTCGTTCGTCTAGCTGAAAATGCGACATTTTTGAAAAAAATATTTTTTAAGATATAACTTTTCAAGAAAACGACAATACTTTCTGGTATTGAATTGAAAATTATTTTGGGTCGGTTGATATTGAAAATGTGATTTGATTTTCGTAAATACACATATATTATTCGAACGCTAGTGACTTGTGTATGGGCAGCCGGAAAATCGGGTACGTGAACTGAAATCTCGAGTCTGGCCTTGATGGAGCCCAACCAGGGCACTGAGGACCTAATTTATTACCAGATCAATTCCCCGATTTAATGGCCGGCCTATGTTAAATTTGAGGGTACACGTGGAAAAAGTGCTTGTAAAAAAATCAGGTTCATTAATTTGTGCACATTCACAGCTCTTTGTAACATGTATCATACTTTCCCCTCGTTGATGCATACTTGCATATCGATTCGAATTTCAATTTTTTCGAAACTAGAACCTCTATTGTCCATTCCAGATTCCGACCTCAAAACCGACCACTCATGTACGATCACATTGTACTTTTGCCTCGTGTTATACCCGAATAGTAACGCGCAGAGCTAACCCTAATAGAGGCGAGACGTGCCGGAAAAAAAAAAAATCAACGATGAGAAACGAACACACCGCTCAAATTTCTCTAGGAGGAAAATCGATACGGTACAGACATTGAACATGAAAGAATTGTACGAGCTTGTTGTGCCAAGAATAGAAGCGCAAAAAGGTCATCGAAACGCGCGTGACAATCGGGACTCCGAGCGGATGCGGAAACGGCAGCGGAAACTTTCCCTCTTCGGGGAGAGTTCATACCAAAAATACACGGGGAACAACGTACGACTTCGAACTCACGAAACTGGCGTGAACGCTCGCCCATGATTGGGGCATTGACCGGGACGCCTTCGCCTTTTCAGAAATACCGTACGGCCGCGCCCAGCCCTCCGATCTCTCCCGAACGGACGGACGGTCCTGCATTGCGCGGGAAGGGGAATGGGAAGCGGTGCTTGTACAAAAGGGGGAAAGGACGAGATACATAACGTAGCGCGACGACGGGTCGTTGTGATCGCGAAGTTTGGGGGGGGGTGGCGCCACCGGCCACCGCCCGAGCCGGTTCCGTTCGAGGGAGGGAGAGAAAAATGTTTATATATTCCCTCCCCTCCCCCTCTCTCTCTCTCTCTCTCTGTGTAAAATCAGAGTCCGAGTTGTTCCTTCGTCACGTCGCATCCGTTTTCTCTCTCTCTCTCTCTCTCTCTCTCTCTCTCTCTCTCTCTCTCTCTATCACCGACGATCGTCGCCGTCGCGGAGTGATCGGGGAATGCGATCGGTCGGAAGCCGCCGGTTCTTCTTCTTCTTCCGCCGCAGCAATTCCGCCCCGCGAGCTCGCTTCCCCTTGCGCCCTCCGGCCTCCGGATAGCGTCTCCGGCCGTTCCACTGACGGGAAGAGGCGGCGCGGGATCGGCGGCCTGTCTTCCTTTCTCCGGTCACCTCTCTCTCTCTCTCGCTCTCTGTCTCTCTGTGTCTCTGTGTGCTCGTTTTCGAGCTCCGGTGCATTTACGTGCAGGTGATCCTTACTCGTTCGCCAATGAATCGATCGACTGTCAGGTGATGAGCATGAGCTGCTGAAGCAAAGCCAGCGCGCGAGTACAGGAGGAGGAGGCTGCCTCTGCGGTTGCGGACGATCGATCGGAGCAGCGATGCTGGATCTTAACCTCAATGTCCGCTCCGCGGAGAGCTCTTATCAGGACGAGAAGCTATCGGACGTCTCGGCGAATCAGATGGACGAATCGGGGACATCGAACTCATCGATCGTCAATGCCGACGCCGGCGACGACGAGTCGTCCTCCGCACGCGCCGGCGACCTGCACACCTTCCAGTTCGGCATCGTGAAGGTCGACGGGGGGCGGAGCGACTCCGTCGAGACGAAGGAGCTGTTCCCTCTGAAAGGAGAAGAGTGTTCTCCTGGGGAGAGGCCGATGGAGCTTTCCTTTGGTAATGGCGGCAGCGGACGTGGAGGGAGTCACGCGCGTGTAGTAATGCCGCAACAGCAATCGCAGCAAGCGAAGAAGAGCAGGAGAGGTCCGAAGTCGAAGAGCTCGGAGTTCAGAGGAGTCACGTTTTACCGGAGGACTGGACGATGGGAATCGCATATCTGGTTAGTCGATTTGACTTGTGTCTTGTTTCCGATAATCGATGCTTGCTAATTTCGAACTTAATCACCGTTGAATCCGGAATTTCATGGAACCACTTGCTTCCGTAACTGGAACCTCCTTATCGTTCGTAAATCACCGAGGGATTGGATGGAGTTTCTAATTGGGGAAATTCTCCGTGCTACGTGGCTCCCGTGTGCCGGGTTGGAGAGAGGCCTTTTTGATGCGTTTAATGCTTATTACCGTTCCTGAAACTCTTGCAAGTTTCCTCTACATTTCTGTTATCCCGAATTTTTCTTTTCCAGATTTGTGAAACGAACGAATATGGCCTTTTAGCTGCTTCCGTTGAAATCTTCGGTTTGACTTTATTGTTGACTGTTGGTTTTTGCCTGTTTCTCACGGTGCAGGGACTGTGGAAAACAGGTATATTTAGGTAAGTATATGGTATCTTATCAGATGCGCACGAGTTTGGCTTTTTTTCCTGTTATGGATGTGCGTTGCGTCTATTTTACGTTGTTGAATGATTGAGTGATCGGAGATGGTTTTTCTTTAGGTGGATTTGACACAGCTCAGGCCGCAGCCAGGTATTTAGTGTGTTGTGTATAGAACGTCGTATTGCCCTTTCAATTTGTCCATTTAACTTCGATCGATGATTCTCTTTATCTGGATTTCATGCATTCAGAGCCTATGATCGGGCTGCCATTAAATTCAGAGGAGTTGATGCGGACATCAACTTCCAAATGAATGACTACGAGGAGGATCTCAAGCAGGTACTCGTAGTTTTATCCGTTCTATTTGACAATCCTGTTTATTCCTGTTCTTTGTTTGCCTTTTCCTTTCTTCAAAGATATTATGTATTTGCTTAGGGTCTTTCCTCGATTGTTGTATTGGCACAGATGAAGACTCTATCCAAGGAAGAATTTGTCCACATTCTTCGTAGACAGAGCACTGGCTTTTCAAGAGGGAGTTCCAAATATCGAGGCGTGACGTTGCACAAGTGTGGTCGGTGGGAGGCTAGAATGGGACAATTTCTTGGCAAGAAGTAAGATACTGGCTCATGCTTTTTTACCTTGCCCTTATTTTCATCAGATAAACTTAAGCGTCTGCTCCCACTTTTATCTTCTAACTGCTAGTTCTCAGTGGACTTGCTTGTTCCTCTACTTGAGAAATTGTCTAAAATCCTATATCGAAGAAAAATGAATCGATGGGGTTTCCTTTTATGCTTATCTAGAGAAAGACATGGCATTTTCATTTTGGAGATTGCAATGCTTGCATGCAGGTATATATACCTTGGGCTATTCGACAGCGAAGTAGAAGCTGCAAGGTCTTAAAGATCATGAATTACCCGATCCAAAATTTGTTAATAGAAAACTCTCAACCTCATTACAATTCTTAATTCTATCCAACATGTCTGTGGTCTGATATTCTGGACATCAGGGCTTATGACAAGGCAGCAATCAGATACAATGGAAGAGAAGCTGTCACCAACTTTGAATCAAGTTCTTATGAAGGGCAGATGATTCCTGTGGCCATGAATGAAGGTATTATCTGATACTATCATTCCCTTCTTTGCTCGCTTTGAATCAAAAGTACCTCAGATCCTGTCTTTCCAAGTGATGTACTGGTAAATCTTAAACGTTTAATGCAGATAGTGACCATAATCTGGAACTGAACTTGGGGATATCAGCCCCTTCTTTTGGAAGTTCATTGAAGGGTACTGATGCGCACCTACCATTCCATGCTGAGACATTTTCAGGGGTAATCTTATGAGCAACATGATTTCTTTCCTTTTTTCACTTTACCATAGTCAATCCTTTTGTTCAATCCTGTGTTTCGATTGAAAATTAATCCCTTGGCTCTGCAAACCATGTTGGATGTTGACAAAGAGGGATTATTGTGAGGCATGAATTCTTTTATGTAGTATGCTAACTTGTTTGCCGTACTTCTGCTGGACGATTGATATGACATGGTTGCCAGTATTAAGAGCTGCTCATATTCTTTGTATACTATTTTGCAGATCCGTAATTTTGCTTCAGCAATACTAGTTGACCCGCCACTTGGAGGGTTAGCAATGACATCCCAGCATCATTCTTCTCGGGACCGTGTATACCCTAGTTTCTTCTCAAATGAGGTAAAGATTCTGTTTGACTTCTCTAGAAAATATCTAAGAATTGACTCTCTGAAAAGATCTAACTGCATGTTTCATTCTCCGAAATACCATCACAATACTCATGGCCAAAGTTGTGTAGATAGCTATAGGACCTTGCACTACTTGTCGGGTTGGAAATATCAGGTTTTTTAATGTTTGACATTGATCTAATTGAACTGCTCGACAGTGCATTCAGTGTACAAGAGACTATTCCCATTGTTTGTCAATCTGAATGACTGGCGATTAGCTCAGATCTTCTGGTGGTAGACCTGGATCTCTGAGCACTTGAGGTGGAATTTGATAACTAATTGCAGAGTCAATGACCAATGATGATAAAAAGGTTTCTCGAAATTTCTGTGTCCTAATCATGTGATGGAATTTGCACTGGTCATGCAGGAAAGAGATACTGAGCAGAGAAATGAAGTCCCTTCCTCACAAGGATTGCACTGGGCCCGGCCAATGCGTGACCAAGTCAGTAGCAGTGCCACTCCAATGCCAACATACTCGACTGCAGCATCATCAGGATTCCCATTTTCAGTCCCTCCTTGCTCCGCTGCCATGCTTGCATCACCAATGTCTCGTCTCCCTCCTTCCGATACGGTTGCCTCCAATTCCCTTCGATGCAACTATCAGATGACGTCTCCATGGCCGCCGACATAAGTTTTCTTGTCTATGATGAACCTACGGCAAAAACAACTAATATCCTGGTCTTCATAGTTTCCTGTATCGTTCGGGTTGACATCGCACTCATAGAATTTGTTTTCTGACTCCTTAACATGCAATTGTTTTGTGCAGATAGTGACACGAAAGGCAAAACTCATTTTGATTCCACTTGTAATATCATTCATGGTTAGATGTGCTCATTTGCTCCCCACGTCGACGAAGTTAATGTCACTCCTCTGGTTTCTCTTTGGAGATTCGATAATTACTGTTTAGCTTTAGTTACAGGTAGCGTGCGCGATTAATCAACTTACTTAGGGGTGGACGCCTACATAACCAAAGTGCAAGTCTCCTTCTGGCAATTCTTATGATCCTCTTAACCTGACTGTACTTATTTGCCGGGATCGAATGAAGAATGCATACCCGTACCTACCCTCTTAAAGGAGATTTTATGTTATCGTAGGCCAGAAAGATTAATCATAGGCAGGATTTGATTTCATAATATAGTTGGATCTCCAATTTTTGAAATGCTCCAAATTCCACTTGAGAATCCAAATCTGAGGTCAATACCAGCAAAAACATCTCCGAACAAGGTTCCAGCACCATGCCAAATGTGTCCGAAAAAGAAGAGCAGAGCAAACAAAACTGGGTCTAACGAAAGAGGCCGAGTATATATATATATATACACATACGCATTAGCATGGTCACTCACTCCCAGTTCGACGGAACGTTTGAGACGGTTTTCAGGATTAGGAGTGACACAGGCTATTCCATTTCCCGGCCCTCCCAAACTATTTTTGTTTTTGGGGCCGATGACTGATATGTAGCGGTGGGTATTGTTTAAGGGCCCCAAAGATTGTAGAAATGGCCCAAAATGGGCAGGAATTTAAATGGGCCGTTCAAATAGCGGGCCGTCCCGGCGAGGACCGGGCCGGCTTGTTTGACATCTATAGTCCAGATGTACAGCTCAAGCACGGACTTTTTTGGCTTTTGGTCGGATGCACGAACGTTCATTCTAAAACAAAAACTAATACAGGTGTGACCCCATTAAAATTTAAGATCATGAACTCCGGGCTAGCAAACCTCGTTTGTAGAACCCGGCAGCAGGTGAACTCTCACGAAAACCGGTTACTAGGTACTCTCATCGCTCGACACTTTTGCTTTTACTCAGATACGATTTTCCAACTGCCACTGAAAGACTGTCTGAAGATGATTCCATAATATATCGAAGCAAAGAAAAACTCTGAAAGACGATTCCGTGACTTATCGATGCCTGCGACACGACAAAGTGAAACTCAACTGGTACTGAATTGGTCTTAATACTATTTTAGGTCAATCAATTCAACATGAACATGAACACACTGACAAGAATTTTACATCCGTTTGCTTAGTATAACAAGGAGCTGATAGCAATAAGTGTGTACTGCAACGCATCACTCCCTAAAGGATGCAGAACCAAACAGTAGCTTGGTGATGAATTACCATCAGAAATCCAGACGACCTTCTGATGTCGGTGATAAGAAGGCCAAGAGGAAGTGCTCAAGTAGGCAGATCGAAGTAACAATCGAACACCAAAGAGAGCATTCATTCCCAGTACATTTCCTACTCAATATTTCCTGCTGCATTATTGCTCCAGATACAATGTTAGCCCGAGACAGAGGGTTGAGATCAATGTCTGCATCTATTGACAGTGATCAGCAGTAGGGGCACTGCCAGGTTGATCATGCAGCGCACTGCACTGCTAATCTTACGTGTTCAGCACATATTCCACGACAGAAATCACCTGCAATCACACCCCGATAAAATAGAGAAACAGGTTATTGGGGGTGGAAAAGACAACATACCAATAAAAAGTGCATTTGGATTCCAGGAAGAAATATGCATATGTTCTTCATAACAAGGAAGAAAAGATTACATATATGCTAACGAAAATTACATTTGGATGCAAGAAAAACTGTGTTTGCAACTTATTAGTCCTCAGAAGCGCACACATGCATAAAGTCCCAACACTCCAACAGTTTAGGTCCAAAGAATAATTCTCCTTCAAAATGTCGTACATTTACCTGCGAAGCATGAAGACCACCAAATGTCTAAAGTTCAATCCGTCAGTAGGCCCAGCGAGAGCTGTCGAGATTCTGTCCCATCTCAAGTAAGGTGCTATCTTGCACAAAATGGATAAACAGCAGCCCTCACAAACAATCAGTAAACATTGTGCTTGATGGAAATCACATCCCAAATGATCTGTTATACAGATCCCCTGAACTAGGCATGCAATACTTCTGATTCTCCAGACTGTCATAGATCTTATTAATTCCAAGCCTCTCATTTCTAAGCAGCTCGGCCATAACCAGACCATCTCCACCAGGAATGGTGTTCCAACCACTCCAGTGGCCATTGGACATACTCCTTTGGACAGAAAGCTGTGTGTAAGATGATACATTTCCCATTTGCGACTGATCAAAAATCCTCGGAGCAATGTCAAAGGAATCATTAAGAGAAGTATAGCCAGCGCTCGTCTCGTATCTTAAATTCGAGTGTGCAGGCAAAGATCTTTTCATCAATAAATTATGTCCAAAATCACAGTCAAAAGCATTCAGTTGTTGAGATAATGACCCAAGATCGAATGCTGGGCTATTGAAACCACCTTGAACCGTCCCTTTGCCAACAGCTAAAATAGCAGGATCCATGAATTCAATGTCGCCTGTACTGCTGACACTTGCATTTGGTTGCGTCTGATATGAATTTCTCAACAAGTTGATGTCAGGTGAATGGTTCCCTGAGAAAGAAAAATATATGGCAGTTATTTCAAGCACAAAAGTGCTAAAAAGAACTTGCTGAATCACATAATAACTCACCCAAATAAGTGTCGAAATTCCTATCAGTTCTCTCATGAGAAGAAAACCCTGGAGGAGGTGCTTTATTGGGAACTGAAAAACCAGGTGGAGCTGAAATCTGAGATCTTGAACCTACTAGTAGTAAAACGAGTAAGTCCAGGAAGCTTCGAAACACCCAAAAAGCACTACAGCAACAATACATATTTATAGCAGAAAAAAATAATAGGTGGAACTTTTTGTATTCAGGAAATAAACAGTCTAACATAAAATTGACAGATGTTTGTAAAGGCATCCTATGCATAGTGTAGCACATACAATTACCAAATTTATCTTTCTTAAGCATCATCAACCAGATACCAGCAGAAATCACGGTAAAATTAGAACTCATATAATCCAAGTAAACCAACAATCAGGGAAACTGGCGACAGAAAGTAATTGTACAATTCAAGCCATCTTCAAAAAGTTCTACAAAAAGGTTTTTATACAACCATAAACCTGAGCTTGCATATAGTAAAAATTTGTCCAGGACAATGGCATCAGTAGATTAAATTAGAGAGCTAAGACCATATATCATGCAGTTTGGAAAATGTCTGCCACGTGATAAACTTAAAAGTCAAAAGCATGAAATTCACGAAGTGAGAATCAGTATGATTGGTTAATTATAAAAAAAGAAAGTTACACTAGCTATATGAAAACCTAATAACAGGTAACAGATAACTTGATATTTTTAAAGCCATGAACATGCAAGGGAACACAAACAGAACAATGTGAAGCAAAGCCACGGAGTAATGGAAGCAATGATTAATCTGTGCTTTAAGCATTTAAACTTGAGTCTTGGACCACAACTAGTGATTTTGCCTTCGCAATGCTGTAAAGCTATTGCCTTCATGACCACAGGGAGCCAGACATAAAATAAGGGGAAACTAAGCAAGCATGTACAAAGAAACTAGATAAAAAGAGGACCTGGCTGAAAGGAGAAAACATAGCACCAACCTAAGCAGTGACGTGAACAGGACCAAACCGAACAGGAAACACGGAATCTGACAACTTTTTATGAATAAAGAAATATGTTTCTAAGAAGATAATGCTTACAAAAGGACCTTTTTAATACAAAGGAGAACCAATTAAGTACACCCATAGAAAGGAACCCAACCAAAGCCTCTCTTTTAAAACGCCCCAAATTGATCTAACTCAAACAATTCCAAAATTTAGCATCTTACATTTCATTTTTCCAAATTCACGCAATATTTCTAGCTATGTCTTTTCTAGGACATTCTTGAGATCATAATCACTATCTGCGTCTATAGAATGTAGACATTTACCACTCCAGGAACAATCTTGAAATGACATAGTAGTTTCAGTATCGCAGTAGGTTTTTCCAGTTGGGGTTACTATCTGGAGTGGCAAAATCATAAGAACAAGATATAAGAAGAGCCAATAAGCTCTAAGAAAATTTTCATAATTGATTAATTGCCTACCAGAATACGACGGCGACGGCGACTAACATACACATCCCACTATATGGGGAAGGCGATATGAATCCATTACACCACTGTTCTCAATTCCATAAATTAGATCCTCATAAGCTCTAAATACTCCACATCTTTCCTAATCGTCTCCTCACATGGATTTAGATTCTATTGGCATGTCACAGAAAAATATGCATCCAAATAAAGTGTGGCCATGGACTCATCAAGGCAGACAACAACCTCCTAAACTTCAGGAAAGATCATAAGTATTGTGCAGGCAGATCAGTAAATACGTATAGCAAACTAGATATGGCAAACTTTCATGATGCAGAAATGAAATCTACTTATAAAGAGTACACTTTCAAATAGAACAGGAGCAATCAGAACCCATCAGGAGCCTTACCAGATGAAAGAACCGATCGAGAGGCAGCACGATTGCCTACCTCCTCAAATCTCGAAAGAGACCCATTAACAACCGCAGGATTATGCAAGTATGAACGACAATTTTTGCCAAAATCTTCATCAAAAGATCCGTTTCTAGGCATCTGCTCAGTGATAGTAAAAGGCGGATCAACATCAAATGCATGAGTAATTGAGTCTTCTTGTCTGGCGAAAGAGAACCTGGACTGGTTGCTGTTTTGAACTTTTCGGTAACTCGAAGATCTAACAGAACCTCCACGCTTGTCCGATTCACCCAATAGATTAGCCAAATGCTGAGGTGAGGTCAATGAGTCACTCCATGAATCAAAATCCAGAGACAAGATATTGGAGATTATACTGCCTTCACCTGCTTTTAAAGAATCATGCATCTCAACTTTAGATCCATCGCCTTGCAACATTCCAAATTGCCTCTCTCTAACTCCAGAAGTTCTATCCAATTCAGCACAATCATTTACCATCTTTCCATGGTATCGACTAGATATTGCTGAACTTCTTTCTTTCATTTTACTATCTACAGGTATTAGACCGGCACTTAAATTATTGATGTCAAGCACCTCACTATGCTGTAAAGAATGAGATGTGGAACAATTTGACACATGAGACAGATTTCCAGAACTAGAGAAAGAAGTTGAATAATCAAAGACTTCTGGATCTTCAAGTCTTTGATTATTGAAACGTAATACATCTTCTGCAACTTGAGAATGCATAGTTGGCAATTGATCAGTCGGTACAAAGACCTCCCTGTCCCTGTTGGATAGAACATTGCGGACCTCTGCCAAAGGCAAAGACTCTTTATAGTTCTCCACGCATGATTGTTGCAGTAAACCCTGATTCCCCGTTGATCCAATCCATCCTGGATCAGAGATGCAAAACGTAGACACTGGAGCACCTGATGACTCGCCCTGGAGTTTTCCATGCACACTTAATGATGATACGTCAGAGCACACTTTCTGAATCTTACCATTAATTTGAGCACATTCTTCTTTTTCTGCATAAGTACTGGTTGATTCCCAAGTGCTGCCAGAAGATTTTACATTGTTCTGGGGCATGCTAATGATGTTTCTACCTTCCTTGCTACTTACTAAATCGGATAACCTGCCACTTGTAATATTAGTAGTCGGAGTCCCATCTGTCACATCATGTTTAACTGACGAAGAGAAGTCGGACTCTATACAATAGTGCTGCTTTGAACAACTTGACGAGCCCAATATAATGTTAGCTGCTATACAATTTTGATCATTCAAGGGTGGCTTTTTCACCCCATCACCGTGCGGTATAGAATATGGAGCTGCTTCTGCACCTACTACAGTTGTGGGTACACCACTCGCCATCTCAGACTTCTCTTTGTAGGGTCTATCAGAACATCCTGGAATTGCAGCTTGAGCACGATGTCCCCTAATTTACATATCAAAGAAAGTTACAAATAAAAGGTAGCACAACTATATAACAGTAAATAGTCATCAATGCACAACCCTCCCTTCAGCCCCTGTACCAAGCATTTAAAAGAACTAATTTAATTATCTCAAAAAGAAAGGGCTGATAGGAAACCGTGACATCTTCTATGATTATCCAGTCAAGATTTGTTCCATTGAGAAACAGACAACATTTTTCTTCTTGTTTAGACTTATAATGACCGCATTACCATGAAGCTGCAGTAGGAAGAGTAGCTGACCTAGCAGTGGTTCCATTTGGTAGAGAAACTTTGACCACGCTTGCCGCATTCTGCAAAAAAAAAATAATGAGGGAAATCAAGAAACGTCTATAAAAGTCAAGTATACTGAACGACATACACATAAAGACGGTATGAAGCAAGTTTAAACGCACCCACAAATTAATCAATTGAACATAAATAATAGAACCCCCATTCAATGAATTGCCTCTGGAATGTTTACCACAGTATAATAGAAGCAAAAGGAATCCTTAACTATTCCTCAACAGTGAGAAGCTCAACATAAAACTGGCATACTAAAATCTTACATTTAAAGCATTATTGATATTTGGTTTTGTGGCAGAAGGCAAGCTGCTGTTACAGTTATCATCAAATGGAGGTGGCAATACACTTCCAGTGCGCCTTTGCATACAGCAGCCGTTGCCTGTCATTTGCTGGACTCTAGTCCTTTAAAGCAACAAGATAGTTTAGCACAATAATATGTGATCACATTCTATTCAAGCAGCTAAAAGCTAGCAGAAAAGGACCGAACTGCATCAATTTTGAACTGCATCTCTCACAAAATGCTAAATCCTATAAATACACATAAATGTGCTTGTATACATACATTCAGTGTATTGCCGTTAGTAAACCACAACTATGCTTCCATACATACACATGACAAGTGTTTACAAGTACATAGACACACTAAAGATAGTACCGGTAGAGAAAATCAAAAGATTGGCAATATATCTAAAAGATAGCAGAACAGCAAATCAACAACTTAGGGGTGTTTTGGACAAGTTCAGCCATTGATGATTAACTCTATAATTTGTAGAACAGCAACGATATGAGTTCATGCATGTATGACAATTCCTATTGCCCGTTTTACATGATCATAGGCCCGTTTTACATGATCATAGAACTGATCCTAGTCACTAGAAAGAAAGGAGGTAGTGCAACATAAGATAATCATCTTCCTTTGACATAAGAAGAGGCCAGCTCCACAAAAGAAACTTGATCTCATGGAAATGGACAGCATCTTTGTGTTATTCCCCTCAAAAGAGGAACAAACAAAAAGGATGAGACCACGCCAGCACTAGAAAAAAAAACCAACCTTGTGTATGCTGAAATTATTTCATCCTTGGTGAAGCTATCCTCCTGAGATCCAGTCTCGTGCAGATAGAGACAATCTGGGTTGGTGCAGGGCTGGATAGAAAAAGCTCATTAGCTTAATTTAGTTCAAAGAACCTAAATAAAGCTATCTATCCCATAGCATAAAATGGAACAGACCAACGATAACTTATTTGTTGTTCATACCGCATTTCTAAGCCATGCATGACAGTACTTAGTGGTTCCAAAGCATGCCCTGAGATGCAGCATCCAAAATCATCAAATTGATCTGCCTTATGCAGCAAACACATGGAAAAAAAAGGATACATATCCGAAAATGAGAAATACCTTAATGGTCTACCATCCAACACATATCCATGAACAGACCGAATACAACGGATTGCTTCCTCCTCTTTTGAGAAAGTAATATATCTAAGGGAAAGCATACAGGGCATTTGTAAGCAATTAACTACTTAAGACCATACGTTTTTGCGAGAAAATATAAAGTGCAAAAGAAATCAAAGACCTGAAAGAAAATCCAGGCATAAGTATAAAGATTGGAAGACAGAAGAGGCCAAAATGCCACATGACCAAAAACTGAAGGCGCGTGACGAAACAGCTATCTAGGGAAAAAAAAGCTCTCCGCTGAAAATTCATGCAAATTAGGAAAGAACAATCAGGAAACCAAACAGTTCCAAGAACAACACTCTGTTCAGTTAAAAACAGATAAAGAATGATAACATTTCTTCAGACCAGACTCTTGGAAACTTGTCAACTCACACACTACAGGTATTGTTTGGAAAATGCTGAATGGCACCAGTAGCCGTCCGAGACATAGATACTTTAAGAACCTTCCCATACTGACCAAAGTATTCTCTCTGTTGAAGAATCTGCATATACATGTCAAACAGATAATTATCACCGGTCTGAATCAGTAAAAATCAATGACTGGACCGGTAAGTCAGTATATGTGAGTGAAAAAATGCCTGATTATACTTAGGGGGTAAGCATGAGTAGGAAATAGTTTCCATGTTGCACAAGAGAGGGAAGGAAAACAGAGAGATACACACATCTTCATCTGCTAAGTTAAGAGGCAAGCCGACTATGTACACGAGGTTTCGTTGTATCACCCGAACACTACCCAATTGCTTTCTCTCCTCTGAAGACTTCGTCTTTGCCTTTTGAGATTTCGTTTTTCTCTCTGTATTAATTTCGGCCACCAATCTGATAGAAAAGAAACGATCACCTAAAGAAAAATGATGTGGTAGTCAAATCAGAATCGTACATATCAGAATAACACCTCTCACAGTTCGCAGCCATCCCTACAATCTTCTCCTTGTCATAAGGTGATCGACATGCTGGGCAACGCCCCTCTGTTTCATCCTTCTCTGCCATGTCCATTATGTGATGCCAACACCAGACACATATCTAAGATAGACACGGAAATTGAATGAGAGACAGAGGCATACATAATAGGCAATAACTGGCAAGCATGAGGCATATATCAAGCGCTAGCTTAATAATTCAGGACCAAGATCCTTAATTTGTAACTAGGTTAAAGAATCTCGCTAAACATGGGTATCAGAATGATGACAATTTCTAAGGATACCATGAGCTTCAACTGCTTTGCACAGAACAAACAACACGAATAAAGAGAAAGGAATGAAATGAGAAACTGAGACTCCCCACAGCACAACAAACACAGAATGAAAGTGAGGAACTAAGAGAAGTTAATATTAAACTTTCAAACCTCGTATCCACATTTGCAAGGTTTCAATTGCTGATCCGTCAAATCCATCTCCTCAGCACAGAGAGGACAGGTCTTTTCTCCCTCATCACACATGGTTTCCCTGAATTTAAAGGGAATTCATGAAGCAGGATGAGCCGGCAGAAATTTCAGAGAAACAATTGAGTCCAATTTCACTGTTATTAACTCATCGAGGTCACGCGGGAGGAATTGAAAGGAAAACAAACAATGTGCTAACACAGCAAACTGAGCCTAATAATTAGAAAACGCCCACTTTCAAAACAATTTCACAATTTCAGCTTCCTCCGTCTTCTGCCTTGACAAAAGACAAAAAAAAAAAACCCAAGAATGGCTCAGGCTCGGCGTCAGAAGGAAAAACATGTTAACCACCAGCCAGGAGTACATTCAGTCTAATGATGCATCAATTTCAGTATCGCCTTTACTTTACATGTTCTATGTCCATAATTTTGCGACTGCCGTCGCTTGATAATCCAGCTTTCGATAAACGGATATTCACAGGGACAAGTCAACCCAAAAAACATCCCAATCATCAAATGCACAGTCCAGCCTCCCTCCAAACATCGCAAACCAAACCCTCAACCCCTACTCAATCAACGCTCCGCAAACACGCGACGCAAAAAACAACGATCAATCTCAATCCGCCCGCGGAATCAAAAACATCGTCGCCCGACCACGACCTCGCGCAGATCATAAAGATCACGAGAGACGCCGATATCGCCACGACCTCAACAGAACACAAGGCGACGGACGGACGGGCTGCACGTCTCCCCAGCTCAATCGAGCGCAATCGCACGGAGCGCGCGCGAATCGACCTGCATCGGAGCTGGCAGCGTGCCGCGGGAATGCAGAAATCGCGACGACTCCGGCGAAAAAAACGACGAAATGACGAGAGAGAGAAGCACAAGCAGCTAGGGAAGGCTAGGGTTTGAGATGAGGGCTTAAGGAACTCACGGATTCGGGAAGGAGAGAGAGAGAGAGGGGCAGGGGAGGTTCCGGCGAGGATGGGGTTTGCAGAGAAAGACGCGCGACCAGGCGACGGCGAGGAGAGCGAGAGAGAGAAACCACAAAGCGATGAGGCCTTTTTCGAGAGAGAAAAAAGGAGGAGGAGGAGAAGACTCTGTGCGCGCTGGTGGGTGTGTGCGAGGATGGCTGATTTGGCTGCTGGTCGTTTTTCTCTGCGCGTCGCTGTCGATAAAAAAAAAAAAGAAGAAAATAATTGCGGGGTTGGGACTCCCCCCATGTCGTGCCCCGCGATTTGTTTATTTTTTTTCTTAATTAATTTAACCGCGGGTCGATTTTGTGGCCTTCAATCCACCAATCCGGCCGGCTCGGTCCGGTTCCGGAAGGCTGCCAAATGCCAAATCCTCTGCTTCCCGCGCCGAGCAGGATTTATTCGTATCGATTTGTTTTTTTTCTTTTTTTATATACATGGGTGTAATTGAAAATGAAAGTGTATTCGCCCATCGTGTGGCGGCACTTACTACTGCCTCTGCGATTGTCACGTGATAAGACGCTTGGCACAATTGGATCGTGTTCGACCATTAGCATTTGTTTAGTGATTTGTCGACCTCGTACTTCTATCACTCGTTATATTAAGATATGAAGATGGATAAAAAGAAAGTATTTTCGAATGTAAGGTTAAATTGCTATGAAACAGTAAATCTATATTCGTATCAAATATTAAGTGCATAAGAGGCACGATGGCTTGATGTCATTCTCACCTTCTTCAGCTTATCACTAGTGATTTGGTCAGGGTTCCAAATTCAACAGTGGCGACTAGACATGAGATTCGCGCTCGTTATGGGACTTGACCCAACACTTTACGACACGAGTTGACGACAACCATACAACACCTGTGTTCGTGTTCCCGACACTCACTTCACCACTCCTATTGTGGCATTCGGTATTTTCTACGTTCGATAATAATATTTAGGACAATATTTCCTGACATAATCACCATGGGTCCCGTGTGTTTGAAATAAATTGATAAGATATTGATGCGTACGTTGATGGTGTAGTATGGCGGTAATTGATTTGCCACCATATTAGTAGTAAATGGGGACTGATATACTTCGAATTTCATACTTAATTATATTCAAGTTTCAAATTTACTGAATTAAGATTTTCCTAACATCCAATATTCCTCGCCAATAATTTTAGTGAATTTGAGATATTTTTCGGATTTATCGATATTTAGAACAGACACTGGTTTTCTTGTTTGCATATTGATTTAATAAATATTTCGGTAACTTGACGAAAAATCTACTTTAAAAACCCAATAGTGGAGCCGTTGGCCATTCTTTGATTTGTGCAAGCCTATTTTCATTTTTCCTAAGTATTTTAACCCCCATGCTCTTAATTGGGACATTGAACTAGCTTATTGATGAGATCATGCATTACATCATGTATTTTAACCTTAGTCAATTAATACTATTGATGACTCACTCATTTACTTTGGTCGAGAAGAAGTCGTCTTTTATTTAAATCAAACCATCTCCTCGTAGTTCATCTTATTAGGCCACTTCTGAACCCTCGCCACTTATTTAGGGCCCCATGAAGTATTTCCATTGGAACACTTGCCGTTTTGCTGCTTATACCTAATGTTTTTAACACAAAGACATTTATTACTCTATCCACGGTTAATTAATTTCATCCTTATAACCCTTGTCTTGGCCGTGAAGTTGGATTTTCAAGATTCTAAAGATAAAATAAATGTGGAAAGCATAATATATGATTCTTTCGTCCATAAATTAACGGTGACAATGCCTCGTGCGTCGGGATACCTCACGAGTTAGGATACCCCAAAAGTATTCGGAAAGCCTTGGGAGCTGAGATGCCCCATGAGTTGAGGTGTCCCAGGAATATTCGGGATGCCACGGGTGTTAAAATGCCCTGTGAGTTGGGATGTCCCAGATGTGTTCGGAGGAGAAAAGTAATGAATATGATGCATGCTCATATGTATGCATATATTTACATGTTATCTAATTTGTGGTAGTCATGCATCATAACATGTTATGATATCTGCTTGCTTTGGAAAATATAATCTCATACAACATTGTTATGGTTTTCGTTGGTATTTCACGATAAAAAAGATAATACATTTACTCCTGCACGCATCATACATGGTCTCTGTGTCGCTTTGAAATAATAATGTTTTGCACCGGGTTGAGTGGTAAAGTGATTCTTACCTTAAAGTTAGAGATTTTATTTACCGAGCTTCGACTCTCCCTGTATTTTTTTTTCAGATTTGTAGGATGAGTCCCCTAGATATGATGATGGAGGGGACGGTATGATGCTGGATGTCATCAACCCCTGAGTTGGACGGTGGCTTGGTTAATGTTTAAGCTCGTTTTTGGCTTAATATGGGTGTAGAGGTGCTAGTTGATCCAACTCTTGTTCCCAGGACTTTTGTAATGTATCGTGTGGGTAACTGGTGGTAGAAACGTGTGTATATTAAATTAAACTCATGCGATTTCTTGTAAAGGATATTGTGAAAATATTTTATTGTGCTTCTGCATGCTAAATATAATTACAAGTTAAATTCGGAAAGGATATATATTGCGCGTGACGTTCTAAAACGTCACAACCAGCTACTGGTTGGGCCCAGTGACTTTCGCTGGCCATCCCCACCCATATTAGCCCTTCCCGGGGATGGTAAGGGCAGCGGGGGTTGTGAAGACCTTATGGCCTGGTTCCCACCTCTCTTGGTTGTTATTTATTTATTTATTTAAATTTAGCTTATTTTTTAATCTAATTTAAATATAATCTATTTTAAAAATCAGATTTAGATCAAAACGATATCGTTTTACGCTTATGTTTTATGTTTTAGCTACATAATTGCCAGGTAGGAAAGAGAAAAATATTTAAAAAAAACCATGTTGGCATTTTTCAGTTAGCTAAATTTGATGGAATTAACGAAAGGAATCGATTGCATTAATTTGATAAGTTTTTTAAAACTTTCAATGCACTTATTTTTTTTTTTTAAGTGGAAACATTGAGACCAACTAAATGGATTTATAGAAGGGTTAATATCACGAAAAACCCTAAACTAGTACATTCGTGATAATTTTACTCAAAACTAATTTTTTGATCACAAAAACCCAAAACTGGCACACTTGTAATAAATTTACCATCAGTTTGTTTTTGTTAAATTTTACTGTCAAATTACTTTGTTAACTCACACGCGGCAGTTAACTGATGTGTCGTTTTTATGTTTTACTATCCGTTTGTCACAGGTGTACCAATTTGTGATTTTTTGTGGTATTAATCCAATTTAATAGAAACTAGCGGAGGGTAAATTTATCATAACTGTATCAGTTTGGGGTTTTTAGTGGTCAAAATATTAGTCAGAGGTACATTTATTATAGTTGTACCAGTTTGAGGTTTTTTATAATTAAAAAATTAATTTGAGATATCACAAACGTATCAATTTAAGATTTTTCATGGTATTAATCTTTTATAGAATGAGGGGAATCTCCGAAAGAAAACCGTGTTCATACTACGTGTGGACTGTCCAGAGACTCCTGGCATGTTGTACCGCTCAAACCAAAGTTGTGCGGACGCTTTTCCAGCCCCCTAAATGACGCAAATGGCCTCGGAGGGCTTCTAACTTTTCATTTTCCAGAATTTGTGAAAATTAATTACCAAAAACAAAATGGGAAACCCGCCAAAAAGCCAGTAACGATATTTACTGTGGGAACAACATCATCACCCATATTTCTTGGATCATCTTTCGTAGAAGAAACTACCTGGAAATTGAGAGCTTGTATGGTTTGATTCCTTGAAATTGGGATTAAATGTGAGATATTGAAAGTACTCGTTGTAAGGAGAATAATCGGCATTTTGCAAATTAGAAGTCCGAGTGATGCTCATTAAGGACACTAAAATATTTTTTGTAATAATAAGTTTATATGGACGATGCATAGGATACAATATGCTTACTCCAAAACTCGACATAGTTCAAAAAAGTAGCTCATTTATCCCTTGAGACGACTATAAATAATTTTAAATGTCCACAATAATAAGCATTTACAAAAAAATTTAAAAAGTAAATATCAATATACAATAGGACCGTGACGGTTCACAAAAATTATCGACGGTCAAATTTGACTTTAGTTATACTTATATTTGACTTCAAATTTTATTCCCATTTATTTTAGTTTTTATTTCCATGACCATAAGGGCGTGAATAATGATCATTCTCTTCTTCGGCCTTATTTCTTGCTAGAGATAGAAAAATCTATACCTATTTTCTAAATGAGTTTCTGAGCAAAAAGTTGCGTTTGATAACAACATAATCGCTTGATAGGTTACTCTTAAATTTCTATTTTCGGCGGCCGGTGGAGGCAAACTGCCGTCGGTGAGTGGCAGCGAATGGCGGGCGGGCGGCAATAGATCACCGGTGGGCAGGTGGCGATATCGTTTTATGCTTATGTTTTATGTTTTAGCTACATAATTGCCGGGTAGGAAAGAGAAAACTATTAAAAAAAGTCACGTTGGCATTTTTCAGTTAGCCAAATTTGACGAAATTAATGAAAGGAATCGATTGCATTAATTTGATAAGTTTTTTAAAAAATTTAAGTGCACTTATTTTTATTTTTTTAAGCGGAAACATTGAGACCAACTAAATGGATTTATAGAAGGGTTAATTACCACGAAAAATCCTAAACTGGTACATCTGTGATAATTTTACGCAAAACTAATTTTTTGACTACTAAAAATACCAAACTGGCACATTTTACCCTCAGTTTGTTTCCGTTAAATTTTACTGTCAAATTGCTTTGTTAATTGACACACGACAGTTGACTGATGTGCCATCTTTATGTTTTACTATCCGTTTGTCACGGGTGTACCAGCTTGTGATTTTTTGTGGTATCAATCCAATTTAACAGAAACTAACATGGGGTAAATTTATCATAAATGTACCAATTTTGGATTTTTAGTGGTCAAAATATTAGTTTGGGATAAATTTATCACAGATGTACTAATTTGGGATTTTTTATGGTCAAAAAATTAATTTAAAATAAAATTATCATAAATGTATCAATTTAAATTTTTTCATGATATTAATTCTTTATAAAAAAAAAAGGGAATCTCCGGAAGAAGACCGTGTTCATACTACGTGTGGACTGTCCAGAGACTCCTGGCATGTTGTCCCGCTCAAACCAAAGTTGTGCGGACGCTTTTCCAGCCCCCTAAATGACGCAAATGGCCTCGTAGGGCTTCTAACTTTTCATTTTCCAGAATTTGTGAAAATTAATTACCAAAAACAAAATGGGAAACCCGCCAAAAAGCCAGTAACGATATTTACTGTGGGAACAACATCATCACCCATATTTCTTGGATCATCTTTCGTAGAAGAAACTACCTGGAAATCGAGAGCTTGTATGGTTTGATTCCTTGAAATTGGGATTAAATGTGAGATATTGAAAGTACTCGTTGTAAGGAGAATAATCGGCATTTTGCAAATTAGAAGTCCGAGTGATGCTCATTAAGGACACTAAAATATTTTTTGTAATAATAAGTTTATATAGATGATGCATAGGATACAAGATGCTTACTCCAAAACGCAACATAGTTAAAAAAAAAGTAGCTCATTTACCCCTTGTAACGACTAGAAATAATTTTAAATGTCTACAATAATAAGCATTTACAAAAAATTTAAAAAGTAAAAATCAATCTCCGTGATGGTTCACAAAAATCATTGACAGTCAAATTTGACTTTATTTATACTTATATTTGATTTCCAATTTTATTCCCATTTATTTGTGTTTCTATTTCCATGACTATAATGGCGCGAATAATAACCATTTTCTTTTTCGACCTTATTTCTTGCTAGAAATAGAAAAATTTATACCTATTTTCTAAACGAGTTTCCGAGTAAAAAGTAGTGTTTGATAACGACACAATCACTTGATAGGTTATTCTTAGATTTTTGTTCTCGGCAGTTGGTGGAGGCGGACGGCCATCGGTGAGTGGCAGCAAACGGTGGGCGGGCAGGCGACAACGGATGGCCGGCAGGCGGGTGGCTGTGGAGGGCGGCGACGGACGAGCAATAAGAGAGTTGTTATTTTTGTTTCTGTTGCATAAATAAAAAAAAAATACACTTTTCATTTTTGTTCCAACCCTATTTCTAAGCTAAAAATTTACCTCGGAAATAAAAAAAAAATGAAATTGCGTTGCCAAACGAATTTCTGTTCTAAACCTGTTCCTGAAACAAAAAGATAATAATAGAGAAATAGAAGAGTTATCATTCGCGCCCTAAATCATCCCACGTTTCTCTCCACGGCAACGTCGGTAAGTTCCCGATAAGAAAACGAAGTAAGGGCAATTTAGTCAATTGGCTATAAAAGCACTTTTTTTTTTATTTCACCGGTCCACATCATCATATCGTGAAAGTTCTCTTAGAGGGTGTTCAAAGCAGTTTTCTTTTCTCTCCAATCAAAAACAAATAGACACGCACTCACTCCAATTTTTTTTCCCCATTTTCTGAATTTTGTTTTTTTCCTTCTCGCTCTTCATTTATTTCCCTCACCAACCAACAACCCACAAACACAAACCTACTCACGCAGACTCGTCGCCCCCTTCGACCAAAAAAAACAAAACACAAAAAAAAGGGACTCGTCGGCCCGCCCAAAATCTCCGCCGTCCATCTCGAAAACCAACGTCCCCAAGGCGCTCGCGAGATGTCCATGCCAAAACGCGACCGGGAATAATCTCCAGAATCTTCCGTTCACCTCGCAGGCCACCCCCCCCCCCCCCCTATATCTATCCTCGCCTCCGAGAAACGAAAAGCTCGTGTGCTCGCCTCGCGTCGCTCAAACGGTCACTCGCCCATCCCCACGCGCTCTCTGCTTCTCCAGGTACGTTCGAAGCTCGTTCGAACTTTTGCTTGCTCGCCCCTCCACTTCGCAGTCCCCGATCGTTCTTTGAGCTCCGCAGCTGGGCGGCGATTCGGCCGCGCGTTCGCTCTTGCCTTCCGCCGTGCTGTCTCTGCTGCGCGAGCACTGGCGCGACGGCGAGCTTGGTCGTTGCTAGTAGCGGCGGTAGCTCGGCGCGCCCGATGCGTTTCGGGATCCCGTCTGTTATCGCGCGAATTTTTATTTTTTTTCGGGCGACGGATCGTTTCGATTTGACGAGCCTCGTGTGTTTCGACGTGTGGTGGAATTTGTGCGATGCAGCCGCCGGAACAGCCGATCGCCATGGGGAAGTGTTATCCGACCGTGGGCGCGGAGTACGCGAAGGCCGTCGAGAAATGCAAGAGGAAGCTCAGGGGTGTCATCGCCGAGAAAAACTGTGCTCCGCTCATGCTTCGTATCGCGTACCTCTCTCTCTCTCTCTCTCTCTCGGCACGTGTGCTTGTGTGCTTGCGATATGGCGTAGCGATCGACTGAGGTTTTGGTCGTATGAGTCAACCTTGTCGTGTTTGTCGGTGCAGATGGCACTCGGCTGGTACGTACGATGTGAAGACGAAGACGGGCGGTCCGTTTGGAACCATGAGGCATCCCGCTGAGCTCGCTCACGGGGCCAATAATGGTCTGGACATTGCCGTGAGGTTGTTGGAGCCCATCAAGGAGCAGTTTCCTATCCTCTCTTACGCTGACTTCTACCAGGTACGATTTATTCGCGGCCTGCAGCTGAAGATGGTACCTAGATCTGGATGTGATTACTTCCGTCTTGGGTTTTCAAAGTCGGATGCTGTGCCGGCTGGGCATCACATGTACATACTGATGATTGTTTTAGTTGGACTGATTATATGTTGATATGTCGCAGCTGGCTGGTGTTGTTGCCGTGGAAATCACTGGCGGACCTGAAATTCAGTTCCACCCTGGAAGAGAGGTCGGCGGAATTTTTTGTTTTGATTAGCTTGATATTCTGGGGATGCTTGCGCTATATTGTTTATTTGCGCACGATGATTCCAGTAGGAAATGTGAAGAGCGATGGTGCGAATTCTCATATGTTGGTTGATTATCCATGCCATTTGATGTAGAAAAGGTGGGAATTAAAGTGGAATGGGTGGATTAGATAGAAGTTCTTTGGCATGGCATTTCGTAATGTAGTCGCATTTCTACTCCATTTAATGTACTTAGAAGTGACGGAGCATTTACAAGTCATATATGCAGGACAGTAAGAGCACAATGCCAATGATCCTACCTGTGTTAAACTGGACATAGGTTTCATTATCTCGCTAAGTTTCTCCCCCTAACTAACTGAATTGTGCTCTGTTCCTGTGTAGAGGAGGTACTCTATATTTTTGTCCGATCAGCCAAACCCAATGAAGTCTAAGATTAGTCCTTTTTTGGAGGGCGGGCTTGTTTTCTGAGAACAAATTGTGTCTATGTGAACTGATGTATCAAAGATAGGTTAATATAAGCCTTGGAGTTTGAATGTCTTGCACTTTTCCTGTGATGCTACGCAATGTTGTGACACATCATCTTGTTCCCTATCCCGCCTGCCTCCCTTGTGCCTTTTCTGTGTCAAAACTCTGATGCTCTACCTTTTATCCCACCAGTTTTCCCCGTAATATATTTTGCCAACGATTGATGCTTGAACCCTAGTTCATGTCATGATAATGGTGCTGTCATCTTAAACAACAGGATAAGCCGGAACCACCTCCTGAGGGTCGTCTTCCTGATGCCACCAAGGGTTAGTTTGGCTTCCCTGCTTTAGGAACAACTCTCCTTGTGAGTGTTGCATTTTGCATAACAAATGCCTGATCTCGCAGGGTCTGATCATTTGAGAGAAGTGTTTGGTCACATGGGCTTGAGCGATCAGGATATTGTTGCTCTCTCTGGTGGCCATACCCTGGTTTGTATTCAATTTTCTGGAACTTGGACTTCCGGGATGACGTTGCTTTCCACAAATTAAGCAGCTTAGCGAATCTGACTTCATGTACTCATTCTTCCTTTCGCTTCCATCCAGGGAAGATGCCACAGAGAAAGATCTGGATTTGAGGGACCTTGGACTGTCAATCCTCTCATTTTTGATAACTCCTATTACAAGTGAGTTTCCTGGATTTATTTGTGCCTTCAATGAATTTATATGCTTAATGTAAAAGTATTTTATTGTAATACGACACGCTAGGAACTGGATAGCACTTGGAGTAAAAAGTAACTTTTTTGTTCTCTTAGGGAGCTGTTGACAGGTGATAAGGAAGATCTCCTTCAGCTGCCATCTGACAAGGCTCTTCTCACTGATCCCGTTTTCCGTCCACTTGTTGACAAATATGCTGCAGTGCGTACTCTTTCTTTCTTTGGCTGCTTTGACATTACATAATCCAATCATCCTGGTCACATGTTATGCTTTCAATTAGCAACTGCATCTACATATGTATTTTTGTTTGAACATTGTTTTGCTTTTCCAGGATGAAGATGCCTTCTTCGCTGATTATGCAGAAGCTCACCTGAAACTCTCTGAACTTGGGTAATGATTATATATCTCCGTTCAGTAATTACAACATGATATAAAAACTGTGCTTTTGAGAACATTACTGCGTGTTGAAGTAAGAGCAAAATCATTTAGTGAGGTCTGGTTCTTTTAACTTTCTTGCAGATTTGCGGATGCCTAAGCACCCGGTATCAGGTTTCCGTGTGTATGTTGATGGTGCTCGATTCATCCTTCCTGTTCTGATTTGTCAGATGTAACAGTCGGTGCGATGCGGATGAATTTGATGGATACGTTCCTTGGTGTGTGATCTTTCTTATGGACATGTCCATTAATGGAAAAACTTAGGTGGCATGATATGTGAGCGTGCTTTTGATTTGAATAACATGAGCTTTCTAAATCTGGATCTTTTGCTTCTTCCCTCTTTTCTGGATGTTCTGTCGTTCATGTGTCTTTCATCCCATGCTATTATGGAGAACCGAAAACATGCATGTTGTGTTTGGTGACATGTAGGCTCGATTTGAGGTCAAGTGCATTGGCCAAATGAATCTGTGGGGACAAGGAGAGAGAGAGCATGGAAAAGCAACTGGTCAAATCGTCCTGCTCCTCTTTGGTAAGGACGGACCAACTCAGAGCACGCGCAATTTTGGGGCCAATTACTTTTGCTATGAGTGGTTGTAGGCGATGACTTAAGTACGAAAAAGCCATTTCCCTAACTCACGCCGCGGAATAATACAGAATTAATGCATCATTCCTCCCTTTCTTCAAGATGCGTATATATTGCGGACATATTTGTCAATGTATGTTTTCCAAAATTCTCGATTTTAAATTCAATGCTTCGTAGCAATCAAAAGTAAAGATTGAACATTGATCCATTTCCACGACTCCTTTCGATATTTCCGTTCCTTTCATTGAACTCCAAGTCCGTAGCTAATTCTTATGCTAGAGCTTCCCTTTGCAATACCTACTTCCACCATAAGTATAATTACAAAGGCAACTATTACCGGAATTGTCACAATCACTTATAATGGATCTCTTAGTACATATTGTAGGATCAAGAGTATGCTATTATTCGAACTGTATTTAATATCATACATGGAACGGTTAGAGGGCACATTGGAGATGGTGAAACCAATGACAACGAGTGAGACTAGTGAGTGGATCGAAAATTATTCAACGCAAATACTGGGTTATAAATGAGATGTTACTCTCACGCAGTGTGTTAATTTTTGCAAAATGTATGTAGTGCATATATCAGGTTTTAAATGAGATGTTACTCTCACGTAGTGTGTCACTTGATTTTTGCATAATGTGTTTGTAATTTTTAGGTCCACGAGTTATTAATTGACTGGAGGTCCCGGTATCTTAAAGGACATGATGAAGTTCGGATATTTGCTGGGTAATGTAGGAGTTTTTTTTTGGTAAGGGTAATGTAGGAGTTTGTGGACGATGAAAGCAATAAATTGGAGGACGAACTAATTTCAAAACCTAAATATTGCTGAATGCATCCCTTCTATTGCTAACCACAATCTTTTTAACAATACAAGGGGCCTTAGCTATTGCGGCCATAGAAATTTGACTTATGGACAAGAGAGAGCCTTAAATGCATTGGAGCATGAGAGTTCACTTCATCTAACTATCAAATCACGCGGCACTCACATGAAGCCCACACCATTTAACGATGAAAAGTAAATAGATTTACATATTTCAAGTGTATATAAAATATAAGCAATCTAGTGAGATACGAAATTTGATATATCTTTATGAGGGCGAGACATTCAGTGCAGAGAATGTTTCATAAGCTGTGATTTGGTCAAAATGAAAACTGAAACGACATGGCCTTGTATTTTCCTCCTGGCAGCAAGAAGCAGAACAATTTCTGATTCAGAACACGAGTACATGAACTCCAAGCAGGATATTCCTCATTACAGGTAGAGAGATGAACAAGAAGAAATGAATGAATTAGTAGGTGAGTGGGCTATTTTCCCTCCCTCACGTGGTAGGGGATGGCCATGGTTAGAGACAAAAGAATGATTAGACTCATGGGTTGACTATTCGGAGCTGGATTCAGGAATGCTGTTGCTGATATTAGTGAACTTTGTACAGTCAAATGGTCCAATTTCCTGATTATTTTTTCGCTTCACCTGCACAAACAAGAGAAACTTAAAATGTGAACAATTTTGGTGGACTTCAATAATGGTGAAAAGAGTGGGACTTTTATAATTTCATTCTACAGGCATGCTTCAACTTGCACTTGAAGCAGTCAACAAGTTTTGCATCAACAACAGCATGAAATTCCTCACAAAAAAACATCGTTGCCAGTGGAAGTAAGCAACACTATTGCAGCTCAGCTAGATGCAATCGGCAAAATATCAGCCACTGAGATTTCACATAAAAAGAAGTTAACTAAGTGGAAGTCTGAATATCTCTTAGTCCTGGAAATCGTACTTATCCTTCTTTAGATTAGTCCCATGTCAAAGCGCCTCAAATGTTTTTCACAAGTTTCCCGGCATCCTTAAATTAACAGTTAATGGAGGTATTTTTAGTTGAACAAAAATGGTCAAAGACACTGATACTAATCACTTGCTTAACTGACTACTTGATGTTTATCAACTATGAAAATCCAAAGGTACTTCAATCACTTCCATGCTTAGACAACAACATTCATTTGCCATTGTAGTTAGACTGTCCCCACCTGTATACACGACAATTGAAAACCGATTAAGCTTGGATAGTGAATAACTATCTTTCCCTTCTTTATTCTTTCATGGTTATCTACGGAATAAAATTACTAAATTTAAGTGTGAAAGTAATTTCAGACATCAACTAATAGTCTCTCGCATTAAACACAAATTGATGTTAATCAGCTATGAAATTCCCAATGGACTTCATTCACTTCTATGATGTGACAACACGTGAAATTTTCCATTGAAATCAGACTTAATCACATCTATATAAAGGACAACTAAAAACAGATTAGGCTTGGATATTGGATAACTATCTTTTCCTTCTTTATCTTTCACAGTTATCTGAAGGTTAAAGATTACTAAATTTAAATGTCAAAGTAATTTGGCTCACCAACTAATTCTGTAGTCTCTCTCACATTATGCACAACCGTCACACTAGCCATACCAAAATAGAAGAAAAACGAACTTTTGCTCCATTCAGAAAAGATCATACCGGTGACCATGGACTGGGTTCAGGCAGAGTCTTGTCAGGAGGAGAATTTTGGACGGCACCGCATTTCATTGTAAGAATTTCCTGATGTCACGATGAATCAAATGTCAGATTTTAAAGCTTAAAGAATCAGTTTACATATAGCAGATACTGTATCAACTATCAAGCCATGACTTTTGAACCGCAGAATCATCAATGAGCACTAAAATTGAGTGAAGTGGAAGACAATGAGTGAGATATTTTTATTTTTCTTTCTGATCTAAAATAATTGCCTCTTTAACATCCACAACTGGTCTTCGGGCAAGTATATGACTGGAGTTATCATAGCATAAGACTTTAAGGGATTTAGAAATTCAGATTGCAGACACGGATTCATTACATAGAGTCGTCAATTTTCCACACGAGAGGTTTGTATTTAGCCTATTTAATTACCTCCCCAGCAGCTTCAAATGCCGCTAACCATTCCTCAGAGAATGGAGCAGCATCAGGTGGAGGTTTCACTATGGCAGATTCTTGTTTCCCATCTTTCCTGCAAATTTCCCTGCAGCAAATTACTTCCAAAATAAAGATTCTGAATGTGAATGAGGAGGCTTCTAAAACTGGGACAAAATATATGAAAGTTGAAGTGCGAAAAAAAGCACACATATCAACTAAAATTGTGATTCTAACCCTTGGACTAATGTGGTCGTATCCTTGCTGGAAGTTAAGGTACTACCAAGTTGATGTTGCCTCTGGACATCACAACTAAAACTTTCCCTGGGAACACTAGAATCAGCCTTTTCAGGTAAAATGCTACTTGTCAACTGACTAGCTTCTTCTATGCATCGGTTGTTTACAGGCAGTTCTGCTTCATCATTTTTGACATCCAAACCCACTTCTTCACTTGACTGACAAGATGAAACCATGACATTAACTCCTTCTGCCTCAGGAAATTCCTCTCTGTCCACATCCACAGCATCATCTTCAAGCGATGCATCGTAAATATTTGATTGATATTTTTGCACAGAAACTGACAACACATCCTCCATATTAGGGTCTTCATAAATTGTTCCTATATCGCTGGAATTATCTTGCAGAACAGGTTCTCCTTGGTAACAAATATCAGCCTTTGGACATTCGCTTATAGAGACATCATCTTGACACAGACTACCACTAATGGCAAAACATCTCTTTGGTTCTTTAAGACGGTTGTCCACAGTGGACATCTCATCTTTTGAAGACAATCCTTGATGAGTCTGTGAATCAAGTTCCGCTATGAAGCAGGGATCGTGAAGCTCAGGCTGATAATCAGATTGCTCATTTCGATGAGAAGCCAAGGAGAAGTTATCGTCCCCAGCCAACCCGTTCATCTTGAGTGAGCAATCAACAAATGAACTGCCATCCAACAGCTGCTGTTGTCCAACCACAGCGGAAGAATTCTTCATGGCATTATCAAAACTGTGAAATTCTTCATTTGTTGGATCTGCATCATCTTGCCAAGATGGATCTTCAACATGTACAGAGACATTAGGCTGGTTACAGTCCTTTAATTTTTGGTGTTGTCCAGAGGACCCACTAAGGCTATCTTCATGAGATGAGTTATGCACTTCTCCTGACAATAGCTCTGTTCCTGTCAGTGTATCAGGAAGTGGCATACCTGTCATTAAACTGACAGAAGCATTCTTCACTGACTGAAGCATTTGTTTTTCTTCCACATGATCACACTCCTTCAACTCCATTAGCATAATATCATCTCCATCTTGAACCACGGATACTAGCGGGGTTGAGACATATCTATCTTCCTCTTTGATCCCACTGCAATGATCACTTCCTAGACGAATAAAGGAAGCATAAGTATCATCAGTTGCTGCAACCATGTTTTGGTCTCTGTTCACCTTCAAAGAAGATCCCGGATTAAAAGCATCAACTTGACTAGGGAGGAACATGTTGTCAGTTGGTTGTCGGTCACTAAAGGAGGCAGAATTTTCAACCATTGGCTCCCTCTCTTGTTGTGCTGATTTATTTTCCTCGGCATATAGAACTTCTACTCTTTTAGCTTTGTCAGATTGGTGAACATTCTCTGATGGATGTACAGGGCAAAAAGCAGTGGAGCTGTCATCATTTTCAATTGCTCGTGCCCTTTCATGAGCAACTTGGTCTACAGCATGAACTTCTGGCTGTTCATTAATGCTCATCATGCATTTAGCACCCACCAATAACTCATCATTTTCATTTGCTCCTTTGTTTTCGCAAGTAACTTGCTCTGCAGCATGGTCACCCGCCAGGGAAGTGCCTCCACCATGACTAGCTGTGAGACTGCCGTAAAAAACCAAGTTCTCCAAATCTTCAATATATGATTCCGTGCTGCTGTCATGCAGTCCTTGAAAGCCATTGTCTGCCTGCTCTGCAAGTTTCAAGGGAAGTACACAAGATCTTTCTTTATTATTTACATTATCATCTTGATCATTTGAATTGTCTGTGTTCTCTTCACAATTTTTATGGAATTCTTCAGACGATCCAGCCCCCACAAACCTAGCTTGATTCTCTTGGTTCGCAACGGAAGTTTGATCATTATCATAGATATGAGATTCCACTACTTTAACTTTCTCTGAAAATTCAGAGGCACCTTTAGAACCGTGTAGCTGATGATCTGGCAATCCAAAACTACTCTGGATTCTGCAAACACCAGAATCAGCAGAAGGGGAATGGGAGAAAACAGTAGCATCCCCAGCTAAAACTTTTGATGGTGCTTCGACGCATTGGCTACCAATCATATCATTCTTCTCGTAATTACTCTTTTGCTCTTTCCCACAAGGTCCCATATGTAAAAATGGTATATCATTACCAACTGGCATGTTTCCGTCATCCACTCGAGGTTTTATCTCAATTTTGTGGAGTTCCATATGCCCATGAAGTTCTTCACTACCATCCTCGAGAAATCCATGAATCTTTTGATGGTTTTCCAAAGCATCATGTTGTATTTCCAATTTCATCTTTGATATATTTTGAGATTCCGGATCTGCATTTTGCTTTTGATATTCCAGGTTGAGAGATTTAGCAGAGACTTCCGTGCTTAACCGCATGTTCAGATTTGTGTCATCAATGGTCATCTTTTGTACTTTTTCATGCACATGTGGCGGCTTCAGCTCACTCAGAGGGTTTACTGCTGTATGGCTCATTGAACTAACTGTAGCAGACTGAGGGTCATAGCTTGGTCGGGTGTTGCTGTTCAATAGTCCCTTGGTAGAAGCTTTTGGCTGCTGAACAATATCATTAGGCATTAAAAGAGAAGAGATAATGTCAGATGTTTTGAAATGCTTTCTTTTAGTTGGATCTGATTAACCTCTAAAAACTAACTGAAGGCATTGTACCTGACCAAAGAATCCCAGAGATGGTGAAGGCATACGCAAACCAGATGGTGAAGGCATACGCAAACCAGATGGTTTTGGGGCCTTGAGTTGCACATGCTGAATGGACCCTCCAGTAAGATGAGCTTTTTCAGGATGAGCGGCTTCTACCTTGACAGATCCAGCGCCACTATCTGGTGCTGAAGGGTTTCTTCGACCTTCTATCTCCCCCAAACTATCATTCCTGTGAGTTAATGAAGTCGACCTGGAAGCTGATTTTCCCTGCTCATATTTCAAAGAAAATTAAGCAGATTAATAAGTTCTCTTGGTCTAGCTGATAAAGGTCCGTATCCACAAAAAGGAACGACGATATTCTCAAAAGGAGTACTTATGAAATTTGCCACCAGTTCTTTATTAGGTTGCCTTCACCGCAAATAGCATAGGATTCTTACCGAATTTCTTTTAGCTTGGGGAACAATGGATTTAGCTATTGGAGGCTTGCTACAAGGACCAGCTGGAGTACTAGGTCGAGAATGAGTTTTATTACTTGAAGAGACTTTCAGTCCGGCATTCTTTTTGTCAGCCGTCCCTGAGGAAGAGAGAGAATTTTGAACAAACAGTACACTCCAAATAAACCTACTTAAATTTTAGTCGTATGCACATTAAGTTTTTAGGCAACAGTTTATCAAAATACAAATGTTTAATAATATGAAAATCTCTACAGTGCCCTAAAGTTTACAGATGTTACCTGATTGAGCAAGCTGATTATGCTTACGTTGACCAACTCGCAAAGCAGTCTTAGCGGTTGGAGCGCGCAAACTGGAATCTGGCTTGGTAGCTGGCTTTTTAGAGGCCTTAACTTCTTTACTGGCCACCTTTGTTGAATTCACATTCACAGGCCTTATCAGTGTTCGGGGAAGTTAAGCTAAACTAAACTTTCCATTTGTATCACAGAGGTAAAAAGCAGAATAACAAGATTTTAACATTTGTTTGATATGCTAGAAGCTTAATCAAAAGGATATGGAGATAGGGCAGTGGATTGTGAGCTGCCGCTGCGCTTGGACCTGCTGCCATTGACATCATAGGTTGACAGCACCTTCCGCTTGGTCTGTCAAAAATTTTACCGAACAAATTAATCAAGATGACCCATTTTGGACTGACCAGGCAAGTATAATTTAGCAGTACATACACAGGCAAAGAAACACCGAAAACTACTTTCGTCATCACTGCTTCTAGAATTACCCCAATTGATAATGTTCATTGTTTCCAGGATAAAAAGGAAATCAATCTGCTAAAACACCTAAAACTACTTTCGTCGTCGCTGTTACTAGGATTGACCCAATTGATAATGTTAATTGTTTCCAGGAGAAAAAGGAAATCAATCTGCTTATTACGGAAACTAACCGAAGAAACCAGGGCCCTGTCGCGCTTAGTTAATGCATCTCGCTGATGTGGTGAACTGCCGTGTTTTGTTCTGCTCTCATTTGCAGCGTTTACCTGCGATTCTTTGAATAATTTCTCCTTGGGTGCAAGCGAATCCCCTGAATCGCTTTGGGAGTTTGGAAACTCGGACAACGATTCTCCCCCTTCTTCGTCGATCACGGGCAACTTCTCCCCCGTGGAGCTGCCAACGTTCCCGCTTATCATGGATAATTCCACGGGATCCAAGAAACCTGAAGAACAACAGTTCAAACGGAGTCATCCCAAGACACCATCTCTAAAAACATCTACACAGAATCACATCACTTAAATACAAAAGAAGCGCACCTTCTTCAGTAAAGAAGGCTCTGTCCCACGCTAAGCTTTTCCGCAGATTGTAGCCCCCGCCTTTCTTCTTCCTCTTCATCTGCTGCGGCTCCAGACTGAGCTTCACCATCTCGTACTTGTTCGAATTCACGTTCTCTTTGTTCACGCCATCTGTCAACGGCGGGGGGGGAAAAAGCTAGTCTCAGCGTGCGAGCGACGCTAATCGAAAGAATTCGGTTGAAGCGGAGGGGGAGAAAAAACCCTAACCGACAGGAGGGAGATGATGGGGCTTGGATCCGTGGATTTGAAGAGGCGAGCAGGAGAAGAAGTTCCTGGCGGCATCGTCGGTCGGAATCTGCTGCAGCAACGAGTCGTCCTCGCCGGAGATCTCGATCAAAGAGGGATCGGACGCCATTTTCGATCTCTCTCTGGCTCTGCGCCCTCGCTCTTCACTCTCTCAGCTTCGTTAGATGTTGTGGCTCGTTACCATTACGCCGATCGCGTGTTCTGTCACCGTTCTGTTTGTGGGGCTCAATTTTGAAAAGCGCACGAGCGGGAAGGATCGAAGACGGTGGTCACGTGGCTTTGCATTCTGTTTTCTGGGCCTAGGCCGAACCAAATTCAAATGGGCCGTGGGCCATCGGCCCACTATTTACAGAGCCAGTTTAGATGTAATAAATTTGTCTAGTTTTCATTTTTCGACTGTTCTCTTTTTTTATTTTCTTTTTTTGTTTAATGAATCGTGCCCTTTGTCTTGCTTAATCTGGAGAAGCTAGGTCTTTGTTAAGCTTTTGCTACATTCGGTTGAAGCCATAGAATAAGCCCGATTTTCCCCTCCAGCTTCATCCAAAGAAGCTTTCCATTCTCCCTTCCCTTCTTGGTAAAGCATATGAGAATTCATTTCCATGCAAACACACAAATTGAAATGCGCCTTAACCCGCCCAACCATAGAATTATCGAAATTCAACAGCCCCGGGAATAATGAGACCCACAACAACTAAACCGCGCATGGCTTAGAAAGCAATACTCGTTTGGAGATGTAGACAAAGGTTCTTTTCGAATAGAATTCTCTATCCATTGAGTACTACAAAATTTATTCTGACAACAAGAATCTTCTATACACACTCCATCCTTTCCCAAAAATAAAAATAAAAATTTGGAACATACAGACAGGGTGGCCTGACATTCTGCTAAATCCCTCTCTGGATGTGGTATTATTTTACAACTCTGAAAACCCCAAAAGTTACGTGTATAAGGATTTCCCACCTCATTTTTTTTTCCTTTTTGCTTTACAAAAAATCTCAACTTCATGGGAGAAAATGAGAAAAATTATCTCAAGTCGAACTGCCAAGCAGAGGAATCCTCGCAAAACAAGTTCTGAGGATCTGAGAGAGAGCCTCCCGTCAGATGTTGATCACCGAAGGGAAAACATAACATCTGCCTGCAGAAGTGGGGAGTCTGTCGGTGTTCGACCTTGCTTCGATGGTTAGGGATGCCGGGCCTTTCTTTGTACAACGTATATTTCGAACCAAACTCTCAGATTGATGAATTATAAACTCTCAGATTGATGAACTATATAACTAATCTTCCTCCTCAGTTAACAAGGCAAAAGCAAACGGTCTGAACTTGTAGCCATCACCATGGTAGAATTTATTTTGGAATTCTACCCAGTGAAGACGCAAGGCGTGAAGGAAAGCACTGAGGGTCTCCATCATTAACAATATGAATGCAGTTGCAAAAGCAAAAACTGCTAGCCCCACTAAACGGATGATAAAGCTGTCGTACCTATAATCGATTAACAGACAGTGATTGATTAGAAAAAAATAGTACAGCGTTGAGCACATCTGAACACATTAGATAGGCAGAGAAGTAAGTTGTGCATCTCACACGAGGTTAGAAACATCAATGGCCAATTTAATTCGATTTGATGTAAACAGACTAAGGGTCAGACACGCAAAGTGATTGATGAAGAAACAAATGTCATATCATGTCCGAGCTTACTAGATATAAAATTGGAATCATGCAGAGGTGTTGCTGGTGAAAGACGAGGCAAAAAATTATAACTTGCAACACAGTCAATGAAAAGAACTTACCCCCAGGCAAGTAATAGAACTTTCTCATAAAAAACAGTTGACAACTCCGAATGCGCCAAGCTGTAAAAGCAACATATTCATCACTACGAATGGTGGCATATAATGAAGAATGCTGAATGATGAAAGTCAAGGCTTTACCTTAACGCCCAAAGACGAAGATACGAAGCTGTATTTGAAACTGCGCCAAGGACAAACTCTATGGAATGTATCATTTGGTGCACAAAGACCTCACTAAAATTAAATTCCTCATGATGCTGCCGTGCAGAATCAGGTTCTGTGTCTACATCATTATCCATCTCAGAGGTGCCAAGCATCCGATAGGTACGGCCTTGAAATCTCTACAATGAATTAGGAAAATAACTGATACAGAACATCTACTAATCTTCATGTTCACAATTGATAAAGAATTAAGATGCTGAATTTACAAAGAAAATGAATACATATGCGTTGTTCTTTGAGTGGAGTGGCGTGGGATGGGGATGGGATGGGAGCAAAATGTATAGCTCAGCTGTGTTTTATAGTTTGTACGCACACCATCAGTACACGGTCTAGATGGCATTACTCTTCTACGCACTTCAGGGTATCTAATGCCACTTCATATGTATTCTACATCACAATTTTCATCCACCTTTCTCTGGTTTCTCTGTATTACCATCATATAACTGCTACATCAATCATCCTATCAACGCGTTCCTAATTATCTTATCAAATAGCTAAAAACATTCTTTTCTTATCATTTTGGTTTACCGTTGTCTTTATAAGCTAAATATGCACCAATACAGGGTTTTTCAATATCCTGATCGCTCAAACATGACTTCAAAATCGGGGCTTCCAAGCTGCTCAATAGTTGAGCCAGCAATGTGACTAATTGATTCATGAGAATATGGTCATCTATTTGTTGTTATGTATATTTACAGACGTCACGCCTCAACATGTGAATCCAACGTCAACCTATACTTTATGCAGAACAGTTGATTCACTAATTTCCTCTCTGCACAATCGATCTAAGTTAGCTATTTGAGAGATTCAGGTATCTAGCTCCTATTCAGAGCACTACCTACAAGGCCCTTTTCTTGTTCCCAGACTAAATTTCGATCCACTTTGTGCTGTTCCTACTTAATCTAAATCCTTCAAATTGATTCAGCTGCCTCCCTTTCTAGATAAATGTTATGTACTGATTTACTTTCACTCAAGGGTTGGCCAACTAAGTAAACAACTGTGACCTTGTGCCTCACGAAGCAGGCCAGGTCACAAGGATCTTATTCCTTATCAATGACATGTATCGTCTGCCTTTGACCCAACCACTGAGGTGGAATTACTCTAGTCCGGGCCCCCGAAGTTAGTCAGGGATACCACCTAACCGGAACACAAGAAAATAGGACATTAATGTAGACAAATCTTACATGCGACCACATAAGTTAGATAAACTCAATATATTCCTCAAAGGAGAGATGTGCGAATTGAGATAAACTTATCCTAGAAAAGAACAAAAGAAACAGGGAAACCATAATCGGAAGCATCCAGCATATTTAAGCAACGTTTATTGGAAAAAGCAACCCCAAAGATTTGGGACCAAAAGCAAGATTATGCGCCTCGGGTGGGTTAGAAATTCCAGGTTTGAACATACCTCAGAGTGAAGCTTCTTCAAAATAAAAGGTTTTGGGAAGAGCATCCATGGAACAGCAATTAGAGCCAAAAGCAGTAAAATGATCTGCAATGACATTCAGTTGCTGTAAAAATGAGATGTAAAGCCAATGTATACAACTTCTCAGTTGAGAACATTTAAAACAGTCACCTGAAGTGGTTTCTGGCCCCAGAAAAGTTTGTTTTCGCCAAGATCATCGGTGGGACTCAAAAACATGTAAATCATCACATGGTAAAGGTCTGCTTGAGAACCAGTGCACCATTTGACGACAATGAGAAGTGAAAGATACCCAAACAGGCTGTTAAGAAAGATCATTTGTGGCACAAACTGGAACCTAACATATAAAAAGGTTTAAGTTAATACTTCTCTCACATCTTACCGAATAAATATAGAATAGCAGTCACTCTATGTATTGTGAGAGAGAAAACCTGATATCCAAAGTGCTCTTGAAAAAGCGTGCATTGAAGTAACTTAGTATGATACCCAGATTCATCTGCACCACACCCAATAGAATTGACATCTTCATTTTGAGAGAATTCAAGAAAGGAAGCTCTGAACGACTCCCTCGCCAACTAGGATCCACCCCAAATGGGTAAGGATCTTGGTATTTGATCAGACCAACTAAATGGGCATCACTGAAAAAACAAACCAAGTCAAATTAAGAATTTGCATGAATAAACAATTTCAAGCACAATAAAGGCACAACCGATTAACAGTAGGATGGATTTACTCGATGAAACTTAAATAGTGGAATTTAAGTGAAGAAATTGCAAATTAAGCGCGAAAGGGCTAAACTACAGCAAATAGTAAATTTTCAGATCCAATCCGACCGGAAAAGTTAAGAAAAATAGAAACTCCTTGAGACCACAACGGATACCTATAAATGCAACCTGACTTTAGCCCAAAAAGTGCAGACTATCTTGAAAGTGGAAACTAGCTACACTAAACGACAGCCGATTTCTTCTGGCAAAAGCTACCTAAGGCAATGATAACCCCAACTACATATCATGTACAAACATTTGCTGGAGGCTCTCGCCCTGATAATCCAAATTGGACTATGGGCTTCTTCGCTAATATTGAATCTAGTGATTGATTTTCACAAGATGGAGAAATTAATCTAGTGATTGATTTTCACAGGATGGAGAAATTGGAAGCATAAGTTATATTAACATCATAAGAAGTCAAAGAGAAACGTTTTACATAGCCTTGATGTCAATTACTTCAAGTATTACAAATTTTGTCAGATTTCTCGCTCTCGTAATCACTTGAGTGATATTTTGCAGCAACATGCGAACGCCCAAATTATCATGATGATGAGGCCACATCATACATGCTCAAGTGACTTCTAAGTGACCCATGAATTGATTTAATGGACTTATATTTTACTAGAGATTACTTCCAATATAAGCGGAAGGAGATGATGTTCTCAGGTGGTGCTTCCTTTCACTGAAGCCTCCTTTTCTCATTCTCAACTAAAAGGGATGTGGGAGGAAAACGGAAAAGGATTTGGAAAAGGATTTGACAGTAGACTCGTTGAAAAAGTTAAGGAGTTATAAATATTCACCAGCACTTTTTACTAAAATTACAACACCAACTTAGCTTCTTGAAGAAGTCTATCTACCTAAAAGACTATTCTAGAATTTGGCCTTGTATTATTTAGCTTCTCAAAGAAGCTAGGAAGTATAGAATTTTCCTTTTAAACTCCCCAAGAAGTTAACCTCTCAATGAAGATAGCCTTTCATGAAAAGTTAAGGTCATTCGTGGACACAAATTTGCAAGTTCACGTGGACTCCTTATATTTATGTATTGCTATTGAGCAAGTAATATAAGTAGGCATGTTTACTCTTGTTTTGGTTCGGGACACAAGATGAAAGAAACCTGGAGAGTGTGGTGCTCTTTGTGAGCTGTGTGGGGCATGAGTTAAGTGGCCTGTGTCTGCAAGAGTGGTGAGAACTTGATTTCCATGAATTTGTGGGTGACGTTAGAAGTGTTATGTTTTTACGTGTACTTTGTTTCATTGAAAAATAAAAGTAAGTTGTTTGCTTAAGTGCCCATCAATATTTACACTCGACAATCGGTATCAGAGCTTCCTCGACCAAACATATTGGTATCAGAGATTCAGAGCCAACTTTCGTACCCAACACTTCTCTCCAAAAAAAAGAGAAGTACCATGTTCATGGAAGAATATCTTGAAACTAAGAGTTAAACATTGATATCTTAATCAGCATGGAAGCTTTGGATGCTAGCACAAAAAGGAAACAAAAGGACAAACCTGCAAGAAGCATCTCGGCATTTGTAAGCCGACCCACCAAATATGTGGAATGGAACAGAGAAGAATTCATTGTATATCAGTCCACAGTAAATTGAAAAGAGAGACATCAAAAGGAGGACATAACGCCCTCCAAAGAGCATCTCCATAAAGCTCCCAAGTTTCTGGCACCAGTAAATACGCTCATTAAATATAGAAACACATGTCAAAGCATATAGCATTGACTTATAGGAAAACTTTGAACGAAATACTCTTGACTTTGCCTCAATCAGTTGCGAAAGTGCTTCATATAGATCAATTTCACAGTGGATAACATACCTGACCAGTGAGCTTCCTTTCCTGCGCGATAAGGACCAAAGCTCCAAGCAGTAAGCATATTCCATGGCCCCAATCTCCAAACATTACAGCAAAAAGGAAAGGAAACGTAACGACAGTGTAGACTGCAGGATTTGCTTCTTGATACCCAGCAACACTGGTCAAATGCATTGTCACATCAGAATATGATGCTCAACTGAAGTATAAAAAACATCCACTCTTTGTTGATGATGTTTCAGACTCACGACGAACATGTCCACTCTTCTGACATGTATTAAAATAAAAGCCAATTGTCGACGAACTTTTGTACATAAAACAAAAGGCAAATGCACCCATAAAATGAGAAAAAACAATTGTGCTGAGAAAAGTCAAAACACCTAAGAATCAATAGCGAAATATTTTGCAGAACCACTCAAAAAAATTATGCCTATCAACTGATCATACAGTTCAAGGAGTAAAATAACTGTATCCAATAAAATAAAAGTCCTAAAGTCTAGGCTGGCACTATCCTTGGATTGTAGGTGCATCAGAACTACTGATCTTGGAGTTACTGTGACTGCGTTAAGCATAATAAGTTAAAAATTTAAAGAAGTAGCTCTGTTCATACTGAACACATTTCTAGAAACTATCATCTTATGAGATATTATTCAAAGAATGAAGACAATGAAAGATTGTTTCAAAATAACAAAATTTCAACTGTTGATTTTTATTTTGCATTTCAGAAGGAAGCATTCTGTTATGCACGTCCAGACCACAAAAAGACAAACTCATTCAAAGCACTCACAAATCACTGTCAATAGGAGTCTATCATAACCAAGGCTAAATGCTAACTTCTGCAGATTCAGCTTCCTCTGGAAGAATAAAACAAAGGATAGCATGCAACTTGCAATAAGCATCACATATAGCAGCAATTTGAGCTCACCCATAAGCATCAACAATTTCCTGAAATGCACTTGTAAAACGATTTGTTCTGAAAAATGTGGGAGGGGATTCTGGAGCATCCATCTCATGAAATATTATTCCAACTTGTGAGTTGCTATCATATGTAGCACGTTGCAGAGCCTCCTGAATCTGTAAAAGAGAAAATAATTTTGATTTTAGAAAGTAGAATATGACTACACTTGAAATACATAACAATGAATTGGCGAACTAGGTCACCAGATAAAACCAAATTGAAGAGCTCAAAGAGAACTGCATAGCAATTAACCTTAGCCTTTGCAAATATTGGACACCAACCCTCTCCAACAAGACATTTTTTTGTGACGTCAAAGTTCAGCATATTCAATGTGTCATATATAGCTTTCTCCCTCCTTACCTGAAAAGCATGGGAAACATAATCAGTTTTTTTAACTAGAAAAGTTTAATGAAACAAAATATCTTCGAGCCTTACTCTCAAGTCTGTTTCACTGGAAAATATAGAGCCATAATACCAATGTTTATTTCTTAGCGATTTAAACTGCAACTTACCATGCTCATCCATTTGTTCAAGTGAAACTGAATGGAACTAAGAGCTTTGTTTCGGTGATTGTAACCAGCATCCAAGGTTGTTTCTATTTCAGAAAGCCGAGACAGAACCTGAAACCAAGAAAAACACTTTCATCCAAGTACTCTCTTCAATTGAACAAGAATTAAGTCTGCCAAGTTTCCTGAAATCCACTTACTTCTTGACTGATTTGTCTTTGCTTGGTTATATCTTCAGGAACAGGATAGCAGTGAGCACTAAATGCCTCACAGATTTTTAAAATCTTCATTCTAGCCTGCTCTCCAGAGAAAAAAACCACAAACACTATCTTCTCAACCTGCAAGAACAAATACAAAAGAAGTGGTCAGAGACTGTTCAAGAACAAGCTTCCACAGAACTACACAAAAATAGATGAATTTCGAGGACAAATTGTCGATGAAAAATTTTATTAGAAGAAAAGGAGTTTGGGCAGTAGATTTGATTTTGCTGAAAAAAGTAGGTACCGATTCAGATGTTACAGGATCAACTATATCTTCATCAGCTGGCGCCTGATTAAAAAGCATGTTTCCTCTTGTGGCACGGAAAAGCATCCTCTCAAAGATTTGCACTTTTGACTTACATATAATGCCACTGATAAATCTTACACGAGAGTGCTCCATTGTTTCAGGTCTCATTTCCTGAAAGCCAACAGTATTCCACATAAGATATATTAAGTTAAGAAAAAACGCTAGTATTATCCACAAAAAAGACAACAGCAGTGCCAGTTAAGCGCACATAAAGTTCAGCATGACAATGAATAAAATACCTTCTCAAGTAAGGATGCTGTGTCAGTATAGTCACCATTTGAGTGAATATTTTCGTCCAACTCTCTATCCTCCACAACCACAGGACTCTTTCCTGAGACAAGAAAACCACCTGCCTGGTGGTGGCCCCACAGAACAAAATGAAACAATCAATATCCCTTCAAGGAGATTAAAACAGTGACAACCACAACTAAGCCTTTTTTTCCTACAATGCTGTTAAGCTATAATCATTCCAACACTGTGCTATATTGAGGAAGATTCTTAAGCTCGAGGTCCATTGGGGCAGGACTCGGGTCCCATAAAGCCTCTCTTTGTCCCTTCATTTTCAAGATGATATTAGAAAGCAAAAGTTTTCAATGCCTATCCAAGATTAACCAGCAGACTCTGAAACATAGTCGAATCAGAGAGAGGTTTTAACCTTACATCCAAAGATACCAACAAACAAAGTTCATCCAATCTTCAGACTTCAGATTAGCACACGCATTTCATGTATGACAAACAGCAGCCAGATTAATACTCTAACCTACTCATGAAATTGGCCAGTAAAGCACCAATATATGAGGCAAAAATAGCTTGCCAATCAACTGGAACAGCCCGTAGCCCCTGTCCATCAAAAGAAACAATACACCAATCTACCTCCATTGAAGCTCAGATACAGCATCCGTACAGTAAATCCAGAAGACAAGATTCCAGCACTTAACTCCAGCCAACACAACTTGGCAAGCAAAAAATGTCCTAAGGAGGACATGAGGACATGCCTCTGTCATACTTAATATTATAATCTGTTTATTATTCCACAATTCACCAAAGAAGCTAGGTTTAGAAGATCTTCTAACTTAGACTTTTAATCAATTCTACAATGCAAAAGGAAGAAAGTCAATATGGAAATTGAGGTAGCTGGTTGGTCCTTGAAACAAAGCCAGAGTGAGGAAGGAGAAAGGAAAATACCTTTTGCAAAACCAATTTAAACTCCAGAAGCTCATTATAGGCCAGACGAAGTTTCTCGCTATTTGCATTCATCTCATTTAGCTCATGTTCATGCTCACCAAGTTGGATCTATGGTCAAACATCACATGCAGCATATCAGTTGAATTATCCAATTGTGAATGCAAAATCTCAAGGCGAAGCCTTGCAAGCAGGAAAAGCAATTGTACAAAAAATGAACCTCTAATTCCTCCAACTCGACATCTGGTTGTGTTGCCGAGTGCAGGGAAGATACTAGACCAGCCTTACTGATCTGATCTTTGAACAAGCGCAATTTTCGTGACATCTCTCCACATCGTTTCACCTGCCAATGGCATTCCAAAAGGAAGAAGTATCAGAGACGTTTCCTCTGGATGGTAATGGAATTTTTTGGCAAAATCTGAAGCCCTTTTGTGCATTACAAAAGTATGTCAACTACAGCTGCAAAGGTACCTGATTAACAAACGTTCTCTGGAAAGGACTTCTATCTGCATTAAGCTGCAAAAGGGTAACATCATTGAGCAGTAGCAGGTACATATTGCTTACCAGTATAACTATCTTACCTCCTATAACACCACAAAACTTTGATTTCGGTTTCTTTTTCTTCATCAGTCAGTTTATGGTATTTATACCAGATCAAAAACAAAATCAAAATGGTGGGGGGGGAGAAAAGGCTCAATTAGATTGATAATTTTCTTTGACAATAATCTCTTGAAGAATGATATATCATGGCGTTTCTTTGTGTCAATCTGCTTCTCACGTGAAAAGATTCTATATTTTGGCAGCAAAACATATATTTGACATCAAAGAAGACAACCTCTACAGAAATTAGCTTAGGAAAGAAAATTACTAAGGTTCGATAAGTGACTTCACTTTCGCCCTAGATTTTCACGAAGCAAAAGATTTCTCAAGCTACGGGACCCCATTTTACCATTTCCCTCTTAGTCTCTCATTTTCTTTACCCGGAAGCTATTGCCCAAAATGCTAGTGATCTAATGGTCTTCTGTTTCTTTTCAATTTAATGTACAGTCCATGGTTTCTTCCAATTGTCTATGTGCCTACGTGGCCAAGAGTGAGAGACTCCGTCGCCAATAGATTACATAAGAAGTTTGATGCCACTCGAGAGTCCGTAACTCTCTCATCCAAATCACTAGCTCGTACTTGAAAGTCCTTTATATCTCTCATCCCAATGCATTGTATTAAAACAAGGCATCTCTCATTCAGAATATCTCGAATCCTGCCAATGAGATTCTTTATGCATTGTCCCAAGCCCTTCTAGGTTACCGACCTCCTAAATTTAATCTGAACAGCTCTTACTCACCTCCACTTCACTGAATTTCCCTTTTTTGCACCATACTATGGCCCGAAAAAGCAAAATCAATAACTACGCGATCCAATGGCAACATACAGTCCCTAAAAGCAAATCCTACCGCATCGCTTCGTAACTCGACACGAAGAAAACAATCATTCCGCCCTGACTGGGTCATTGATCAGTAACTCCTACTCCACTTAAAAGTACATTCATCGAATCGCCCTCCAGCGACAAAAACTAAACGCCAATTCGATCTGGAACTCGAGATCAAGGGACGACGGAGTCGGATGCTTACATCGCGGAACTGGAGGAGGCCGAGCTCGCCGAGATAAGTGACGGCCCGGTGAGCGGACTCGAAGGGGATGATGAGCTGCACGAAGGTCATCTTCTCGGAGCGCATCAGATCCATGGCGGGCAAGTTGTCGAAGAACTCCATTTTTCTCTCCCGCTCCGCCGAACGGAAGCGGCGGTTTTGGCCTCCGCGCAAGGGGGTGTGAACGTTGCGCGACCGGCGATGGGCGTCGGAGCTCCGGCTGGCTTCAGATCTGATGGAACGGAACCGTCGTCATCGTCTCGGCAGGAGAAGGAGAGAATATGAATGCGCTTTGACGCGGATTGAAAAGCCCCCGGAGCCCGCGTTTTAGTGGGCTAATTAGGTTGTTCCGTTTTTGCAAGACAACGATTTATTTTACTCATTTCAGTTTTGGATTCATTTGCTTCCCATTCGACAGATTTGCTTCCACTTTCCCTTGCAGATCAGATGTTATAAATAAATCATTGTGACTATTGCCAACGTTGCCTTTTCCTTTGAACATGACAGGGCGATACTCTAAAACTGAGTTTGGTCGTTTGGATTTTTAGTCATCGGAACAGGATAAAATATGGAATTCAATATATTATATCCACTATTTGGTGAATCGCAATTTAAAGCCGGGTAATTTTATATCATATCATATTTAATGTTTAGTATGAACGACATATCGATGTAAATAACCTTGAATATATAAAACGGAGATGATAAGAATTTCTCATGATTCATTACCAAATAAATTACAAATGCACAAACATAGATAACCTTCATCGATCAATTCATAATTGTCATACGATCTACATGTTAAATCGGACTGACAATTGCAAGAAATGTAAACGGGTTATACCAACATTGACGAGGTAAATAACTATTGAATGTTAAATCAAGTAAAAGAGAGAAAACGTGATCATTCACCTTTGCGATTTCAAATAAGGGCATGATGTGTCATTGTTTTCACAAATAAGAATCTGAAGTGTTCTTGTCTCAAATATGGGCCTGAAATGGTTATATCGGTCCCAAAAAAGGACTTGACCTCACTTGCCGAAGGGCCTTTTCGTCCTTTTCTTTTTTGAACTGTTTTCCTTTTTTTCTTTTTTCCCTCCCGACGATAGCCAGTGGAGGTCGCTAGACTCAGGCGAGGTCGCCCTTGTCGACGTCGGGCAAGTGTAAATCTAGGCTGCGCAGGCGACGGTGACCCTCGCCCGCCCAGGCCAAGTAAGGCGACGCTTGTTCGACACTAGCGCAACCCTCACCTAAGGCCGACTACCTCGGCAGGGCATCAATGGGGCACGAAGATGGCCAGGGGAGGAAAAAAGAAAGGGAAAAGGTAAAGAATAGGAAAGTAAAAAAAAAATCAAAAAAATGTACTAAAAATTTTTGTGACTAAAATACTCATTTTTCGATGGCCGGAATAGTCACATATTGGCCGGCTGGCCAAAAGTCTTTATTTGAAATGATTTAGCCACTTTATGCCCTTATTTAAAATAATGTCAACTTCATGCTCTTATTTAAGAAAAATAAGGGCATTTTAGGTCCTTCTTTGAAATTTTCCCATCTATTTTTTCTGAAGTAGATATGGACTTGCAACGTGTTTATTTGTTCTAATATTTTTTTCTTCCTCTCTATCTTAAGGTATAAAAAATGAGCGCGTCAAAGTCAAGCAACCATGTTCACATAATTAAGTGTGATGATTGAGAAGGATGACAAATGAAAAGATCAAGTAAGTTAAGAGGCCTCGATTTGCACCACAAAAGGAAGTTCGAGGACCCGATTGCCAAAGGCTGCATAAATTAGAGGACTAAAAAGAAATTGGCACATACCACGAAGAAATTGCAACTTCCCAGGAGACGAGGCTGGAGCTCGTCTAGTGAACAGTGACAGCCCAATCCAGATTCCAAAGAGCGTAATTTTGTTCATTAGGGGCCGACACCGAAAAGAGTGTTCATGAAATAACTCGGACCAGATGGGCTAATTTGGGCCGTCCGGCCCAATTACATCAGAGAGCGAGGTTGGGATTTCTAAGAAGGTTTGCAACTTTTGCCGGCCACACATTTCCTAAAGCCTTTCTACATATACTGACATAGCGACCAAAAGAAGAAAAATGAAAAAAAAAAAAAGGAAATCAACACATCGGATGTGGGGAAATTGTCCAATTAGTCATGAATCTATTAAGCTGTTGTCAACTCAGTCCTAAATTATTCAATTTAGTCATGATTCTTTGCGCGAAAATCCTATATAGTCCTTTCGGTCAATTTTCGTCGTAAATCGCTGACGTGGAATTGTGCCACGCAGGATTGCCGACGACGACCGGACCACCACGTCGGGGGTTATTCTAGCGAAAATTAACTGGAAATACTATATTGAAATTTCGTACCAAGGTTTAGGACCGAATTGGCAAAATAGAAAAGTTTAGGACGAAATTGGTATATGTACAATAAGTTTAAGATTGTTTGTGTAATTTACCCCAGCAGGTGAATATATAAGATTTCCTATAGCTGAAAAAACGGTTCAAAGTTCAAACTACGTTTGAAAAAAAAAACGTTGAACTGCTGAGAGGTGCAGGTATCGCATGGATTGACGAGGCATCGGAACGTGAATTCTTCTTTAACAGCCATTACAATCTCAAAAACCATTCAGTTGTGTTGTGCATATTACAGGCTCAAGCTCCAAACAGTAACGTTCAAGGATAACTTCATACTTGGACGTTTCTCTCTCGATTATCAATGTCGTCCGGGACTCATTAGTGTCGTGTTTTTCTGTTTTCTCTGTCGTATCTTCCTTTTCCACTCTGGAAAAGAGTGGACGAATGAGATGGAGAAAAAAAATACGGAGAAAGCTTGAATTAGGGTAATCGGTTCATGGCAGGTAGGTTCTAGACCGAAGAACTGGAAACCGAACCGGTCAACCCTAGAACCGATACCGTATTGGCCGGTTTCAGCGTTGATTCGGGAATCGACCTACCTTTGTCTTTTTCGGTTTCATTTCTCTATTCAATTGCTCAGCTAGTTTATATAAGCAAATCTCATTTAAGCAACGGAAATTTAACACGGAGTTGGCAGAAGACAGGCATTCCCAAGACCACGAAGTAAAGCATGTTATCAAAGTATTGAACGAATGCGATGGCAATTGCAACATTGTTGAAAATGTTGTTGCAGAAATGCAAATGCGGCAGCATCAAGGCCGGCTCTTTGTAAGACCGGTTCGGTCCGATTACTAATCCGTAATAGTTCTACTATATGGGAGGACATGCACTTCTACGATCTCTTAAATATATCATAAGACGCTTCGTTATAATTATATATATAAACGTTGTAACGAGTCGATTGCAAGACAAATTGCCGTAACTTAATACAAAAGAGTTAGTAAAAATAAGTGGGTACCATAAATAGCAACGTACATGATATATTCTCGGGAATCATTTATGGAACCGATAGAGATTGAAAATACAAGGAACTAAATTTTAAGGGCCCCCCCGCAGCAATTGTTCTTCGCGGTTCGGCGAAACACTTGCGGATCGCGTCTCTTGTCAAACTCGATTTACCAATTCACCCCTCTGTTCTATCTTCAAAATCGATGCGACGGGGGTCTAGTCGAGGCCGAAAGGGTAATTTTCAAAAGGAAAAGAGTATTATTTTTCTTTTTCTCTCCAATATTTTTTTTTTTTCCCTCTTCCAAACAACTCCCGAGGAGAATTCAAACTCCACCACCACTTCGCAATTTCTTCTTCACTTAGGATTCTATTTCTTCCTCTGCAATCTTCTCGCTCCGAACATGACAGTTCGCCGCCTCCTTTTCAATCTTCTACGCATCGGCCCCAACGGCGGGCGGGGGGGACCAAAAAGGACAGCGACGTGGGGAGGGTGGGGTGGTGGGAAGGGGGGGGAATCTGTGCCTTTCTTCCCGGGGGACGGCGAGAGAAGCGAAGCGGCGGGGGGCCCGACCCCGGTGGAATTGGGGGCGACCTTGAAGCGGGCCAACCGCCGGCCCTCCGCGATGTTGATAGTAGCGGCTCTCCAGTTATCTAATTTTCTTATCCTCCGTTTCCCTTCCATCCCAAACTTGCCAAGATTCGCCTCCCGGGTCACCGTTTTCCGGAAGCCACGTGTTGCCGCACACCCGCCCCACATCTTCTTTGCCGGCCCCTCCCCCACCACCACCGACCTAATCCCATCATGTCGGCAAGCGCTTTGCATCCAAAAGAAAATTCATAGGACGATGCTATTAAATTGACATATCAAGTGATGTGCTCAACTTTTGATAAAATGTTGAGTATACAGCCTTGTCATTTGAAAATTCATTTAATTGATTTGAATGTTCTAATATGTTAATTAGTAAATCGGTGCTAGTATTTTAGCGGTGCATCTATCGCTCAAAGGTACGTTACAACGACTATCAATCGATCAATGCATGTATTGGACCTGAAAAGATGAGAAAGTACATATATGTTACAGTGAGGACATTTTGTTCATTCAACGATTTTATGTCGATATGACGTGTGGAATCGTATCCGTTGGAATTGTTTTTTTTTTCCGATGTTATTTCTAGTTTTTTTTATTTGTTTGATATTTTAAGAGCTCATCTTCTGAGTAAAATTTTCCTTACTAGAGCAGAAATATGAATTTCTTTACGGAATGAATATAGTCGTCAAAATTACAAAAAGAAAAATGTGGTGTTGTCCTAATCTTACTCGTGAAGCTTTATTGCAATTGCGAAATTCGTCCTTTTCTCCCCTGAGCGTATAAATAGGCTCATTAAAATTCAAGCTTTTTGTAAGTGAAGACAATTATACTATACAAGCTCATTAATGCTATTAAGTTCATACTAAACATTCCAAACGACCCTTTGCTCGAAAAGCCAAGCTTTGAATTGAGTCGGAGAATTGTTTTTCCTAAAAAATATGTTTATTTTTAATTACTGGAAAAATAACAAAATGTTCATCTAACGGTTTATTTTTTAAAAAATAACTTGCATAACGTGAATAAAAGAAAATAATGTTAAGGTTTTTTCTTTAAAAAAAAATTCCCTGCAATTAACATTTTGAATTTTATCAACGTTTCATTATGTTGAATGGGAATTGGAGTCTAATCGTGCCTGCGCGTAACATGTGCATGAAAACTAGTATCGATTATCGGTGAATATTAATTATTGCGAATACTAAGAAATGTACGGTTGTCACAGTTGTCACCGGCGACAACACCTTCATCCTGCAATATATTCTTTACCCTAAACTTGCTTGTTCGATATTGATCAATGTTAGCAAACGATATCTTTGCACCAAAAAGTGATCAAGTTGCCGATATGGATAAACACATGACTAGAGCGTGAGTATTATCAAGCACGTGACTAAAGCGATGTATGGGTAGCAAGGGTCGACAAAAATACTGATTAATGAGATTGGCAAGCTGTCAAGGTATCAAGAGAAAGTTAGATGCATAGCGAATATCAATTACAGGAGGGAAGTTGTAGAAAAACAAAGTGATTGAGGACGTGCAGCAATAGGCACACGTTTTCGAAAGAATAGACGTGCAAGGAGAAGACATAACATTGTGAGAATATGGGCAGAACTTTCGGATATGTAGGAACATGGGTGCAATCATTGAAAAACCGCTCTGGAACAGTTATGGCACTACTACTATAAATACCAGCCTAGGCAAGGGTCGCCCTCGCCTGGGCTGGCCTGGGCGCTCGCCCGACGCCAGCGAGGGCGGCCCTCACCTAACACGGGCTGGGTGGCCCTCGCCCGACACCGACGCCAGCGGAGGTCGCCCGACCAGGCGCGGCTAAGAGGGAAGAAGAAAAAATGAAAAAGAAAAAAGAAAAAGGAAAAGAAAAAGCAAGTAAAAAAATAAAAAATATATATACATATAATTTTTTTTTACTAAAATATCTCTTCTCCGATGACGGAATAGTCACCGACCGGCCAAAAGTTATTATTTGAGACGATTTAGCCACTTCAATTCCTTATTTGAGATAATGTTCACTTTATATCCTTATTTAAGAAAATACCTCTATTTCGAACTCCTTTTTGGAATTTACTCTATTTTCTATTTAGAGTCGACGCACAACCTTTTTTTTTTTTTTTATGACCCAGGGAACCCCGCACGGCCGACAGCCGGGAGTTTTTTTTATGACCCAGGGAACCCCGCACGGCCGACAGCCGGAAGGTAAACTCTGGGGGCGACACGTGCTAGCCACCACACACGTGCACCGGTTAAGTCACCCTGCGGCACCCGGGATTCGAACACTCAACCTTTTGCGAGAGGAAGAGTGCGCGCTCCAACAGCGCCACCCAGGCGGGTGGTGTGCACAACCTATTTCGTTAACTTAAAAACCAAAAAACGACTCCCGATGCAAGGTATTTCGCCGCTTCCAAAATCCATAATGTGAACTGAGGTCGCAGTAGTCCAACGACGCAGCCTTACATCGATCTTAACATGGAAAAAAATCTGCTTTAGTAATCATTAACCAAAGACCAAGACCCTCTGCTCGCAATTTTAGATTGTCGTGGGTGGGAGGGGGGATGTTGAGATTCTTTTCTTAACAGACGACGCAATCAAATCATGTGCCGGGGCACGGTTCCCTAGTCCCTCTTTTGCTTGGCCCTCCTCTCCCCCTCCCCCCCTGCTTCCTTTGACCGGAAACTTTGACCAGTCAACTCACCCGGGCCCCGCATAATTTAACTGACCGGGGACCCTCTATCATCAATTCTAACACTTTGTGGATCAACACTATTGCTTTCCTTAGTTTTTTTTTTTTTTATGATCCTCTAAATTCCCACCATGAAATAATATATTAGGTCCTAAGCAAGACCTTGAAAGGTTTCGTCTCGCTCATCGCACAAATCTCGAGATCACCGGGATAGGTATTCCCTTTTTCTGGTGAAGATAAAAGTTATAAGGAGGAATTGAGAGTATGCGGGCACCGACACGTTATAATAGGGAATGCATTCGTGGAATTCGCTCCATAGGACGGATAGGCCATGAAGGTGAGTGAAAGAAGCTCCCTTACTATTGCTTTCCCATATTTTATAATTTAGGTCCTTAGCAACACTTTGAAAGGCTTCGTCTCGCTCATTGTACGGGTCTCGAGATCACCGGAATATAAAATTTTCAGAGGGTATTCTCTCTTTTCGGTGAAGATAAATTTATAGCAAGAATTGAGGATATGCGGATATCGACATGTTAAAATAAGAAACGACGGTCATGGAATTCGCTCTAAACAAGATGGACGGGCCGCGGAGGTGAGTGAAAGAAGCACCTTTCTTTACTATTGCTTTCCTATATTTTATAATCTGTCAAATTCCCACTATGAATATTAAGTTATTATAAGTCATCAGTGAGTGGTCTTAGGTCAGTATTTATTGTGGATTTAATTAATTTTTATTATTTATTTATTTATAAATTTTAATATATTTAAAGAGGTGGGGGCAGATCCATAGGATCCGAGAGATCTTCGTTTGGATGCGGGAGTGGGATCAATCATTGCGGCCTTATTGTTCCCCGCTCCGGACAGACGGTGACAGGTTAACATTCTTTGCTGGTGTCGTTGGATTTCCCTCCAATCCAAGAATCTTGGCCTCGAAATGGTAAGATACTCGCGATTGGGACGATGAAAAAGTGGCTGAAATCTGAGCCGTCCGATCGCCATTGATTGGCCCGATCATCGTGTCGAGGGGACACACTTGCAGAGGAAGTGCCTTTCATGGTGTCCCCCCCTAACTTGGATTTTGGAGCTCGCAACCTCCGAGTGAAACTTCTTCTCGTGATTCTACAGATGATCGCACCTCGTGAATAGTCCATGCTCAGAAAATGATCACTAGATCACTAGAGACTCGATAAATTCATTCGCGGAATTTTGTATGGTTCATATGGATATTAATTTAATTCTTACAAACGTAACCCTATGCATTAACGACCACGGGGTCATCAAAGTGGAATAAACCGATTACACGGACCGTATGCCGAAGGTGAATTGTTCATTCAATCGACAGACAAAAAAAGATGTTCTTTCGACGAACTTAGAATGCAAATTAAATATTAGATGACCGAATTTTCCCGTGATTTATCCGTTCCATTCATATCTTCATATTTAAAAATAGTCTATCCAGCGCGCATAATATATCGGTCCATCGACCAAAATCTAAAATGCGCACAATGTCGCGGGAACTTGCACCATGAACGCGGATCTCATCCGTCCATTTCCTCTCATCCTTCCATTACACCTGCTCCCTTCTAAAGGGACCACATGAGCACCGAAGCAAGCAAATTCCATGGTGGGCTTGAAGACGTTAATGGGGGGAGGGATGCAGATCGTGAATGGAGAGAGTTCGTTCAAAGATCATTCTACCACTGTCACCACTGTCCCCTCGCATCATCATTAGTCAGCATCATCAGAAAACCTCCACCAATGAAATGATCATAGACCTACCAAACAAGAAAACAAAAAAAACAATTACTTTTGCTCTTGGCTAATTTTTCAAAATACACTAGAAAAAAAATGATGTGATACTGATTTTTATTGGGATGCATCCCATCTGCAACGAAAGATTTCCTCTTTCCAATCATGTAGACAAAGATGCAGCAACACTTGTACAAACAAGGACTGAAACAGACGCACCTACCGCTTACTTCATCAGAGACCCAAACCTTCACGCGCGTGTTTCTTTGTTTCCATTTTCTCAGTAGTGTTCTCATCCTCTTGTTTTCTTGTTTTTCTTCTTTTCTGGCGTTTATTCTATGTTTTTTTCCGGAACACGAGGTTCGTGATGGGGTCTTTGCAGCACTTTGGCGATCGAACAGGGAATGTCGCTGGTGCGTAGGAGGGGTCAATGGGGTCCACGAATAGTTGAAACCACGCGACCGAGAGAGAGAGAGAGAGAGAGAGAGAGAGAGAGAGAGAGAGAGAGAGAGACGGAAGGAGTAATCATCACGTACAGTGATAGATCACAGATGATGGCTCATGTGTTTAAAGCTTGCTCTCGGACAAAGCATTAGAAAATTCCAACATCCATCCTCTCTCTTGCACACAACTGTGGGACTCTCTCTCTCTCGGTTGCTTTATATATCAAGACCAGTCTGCTCACGGATTTCCTACACAAACATTTGATTTCGCCGCTCAAAGCGCTCTCTCTCTCTCTCTCTCTCTCTCTCTCTCTCTCTCTCTCTCTGGTGCTCTGCCTAAAGCTTGTCGCTTGTGCTCTCTCTCGAGTGCGCAAATCAGAAACTGGGGTTTGCTTTGTTCAGTGCATGCATGGATCCTTCAAGTGGAACAAACCAGGTATGCTAGGCAGCATGAAACGTTTCTGAGCTGCCCTTGTTTAGCTCATCTCAAGTCAATCTTTCTTTGTTCCTTTCTTCTTCTTTTTTCCTTTTCTGATGGGTAGTGAAATCCCTATGTCTTCTAAGCTTTTTATATAAAGAGAGAGTATAGTGTGATCAAGAAAAATTGGATAGGTTAAAGTACTTTTTTTGTCTGCCACCACATAGCCTAGTTACAATTGCATGTTTTCTCTCGACAGTTTTTTGTGTGCAAAAATCACCTCCTTTGAATCTAATGGTGATCGAGATGCTTCATTTGGATGAAAAGTGATGAAGCAAAACAAAGGCAATGATAAGACTCCAACTACAATAGGCAATCAAAGAGTCCTACATATTCATATTCATCCATTATTGGACTAGAAATTTGCTCACCACCGCAAGAAAAGTACCAAGCCCATTTCTTCTCAACACTTAATATGCAAGAAAGATATAGATGGGTGTTTTTTTATCTTTTTCACGCACGCGTGAGAGAAAATCCTTGACTTCATCCATCTGATTTGCTGTGTTGTTTGGTCATGCAGGAAATGGGAGCTCATTCATTGGAGAGCATGTTGATATGCCCTAAAACACAGCAAGATCAGAGGAAGCCAAGGCCTCAGCCAGAAGAGGCACTCAAGTGCCCAAGGTGCGAGTCCACCAACACCAAGTTCTGCTACTACAACAACTACAGTCTCTCGCAGCCCAGGTATTTTTGCAAGTCCTGTCGAAGGTATTGGACCAAAGGAGGGACCCTGAGGAATGTTCCTGTCGGTGGAGGATGCAGGAAGAACCGTAGGACCTCGTCCTCATCATCATCATCCAGAAGAGCCCAAGACCAAGGAGGACTAATCTCAGCGTTGATCAACAACAACGATAACAACACCACAAACCCATTTACAACCTTGCACTCTCTAACTTATGATCAGTCCAGTGATCCCATGTCCCTTCCATTCCTTGGTCTTCACAGGTTCCCATTCAGTGGCCAGCTTGGGCCTCATGAACCGAGCCATGATATCCTCTCCTATGCCAACAGATCAAAGAACGGCCATGATGACATGAATGGAGGCTTTCTTGATTCCCTGAAGCACGGGTTTGGCTTGCTTGAGAACACCCAGAATAATGATAACGACAGCCATCATCGTCAGAATCTGTATTATGGGTATGGATCAGATGTGATGAACAAAAACATGGGAGATCCAGTGGACAGTGGTGGTGCTCCATCATCATGTGATCATGAAATGATGAGCCCTGCCGGTTCTGCAAATGAAGCTCTTGGAGCAACATCGATGAAGCAAGAGCTGTTTTGTCCTGATAGAGAAGGCGCAAATAGGTTTTCGTGGGGGAGTCCGTGGCAGATTCATGGAGATCAATATCACGGGAATGGTGTAATGGGTGACGTTAATTCAGGGAGGGGAAGTTGGAATGGTCTTGGTTCATCTTGGTATGGGCTTCTCAATAGCCCTCTCATGTAGTGTCGTGTCCTACAGTTTCAAATGTTTAAACCTTGAAAAGAAATGCAGTAGATTAGAATGTTTTGTTCTATCTGCACGATCAGGCCCAACTGAATCATCTCAGGAATTCTTCTTCGTTTTTTTCCCTTCTCAAATTTTTTGATTTCTCCTTAATTTGTGCTACTGAAATGTTGAGTTTGTCTGAAATCGATCAGGAAGGAGCATGTACTGTCATTCTTCAGTGAAGAAAAGAGAATGAGTAGAGTTTTGAGAATGATTTTACGTGGTCTGTTGTGCAGTCTGAGTTCTCCGAGACTTCAGTTGATTTGCTTAGTTTTGAGCACTGACTTCAGATGATTCGCAGAGTTTTGAGCACTTCTTTTACATGATTGTTGCAGGTTTCAGAATGTTGAACCGGGCTGGTGAATATATATATTGTCTATTGATTGATAATTAGCACCATATTCTACATGACGGTGGATGAATTCCCCAAGAAATTCTATCGTCCAACAAGGAACGGATTCTCGGATTGTAACAGATTGTATACTTACATTTTATTGTAACTCCTATGTAAAATGTTGTATCGCGCAATCTCAAAAACTTTACGATCTATGGGCGAAGTTTACTATTTTTTTAAGCTAACAGTCGTCGAGGGATCGAGAGTCCGCTTCCCTAGGATCTTTGGAAATGTCCTTCATTTTCTATGCGGTGGCGATTTTTTGAAGATTGAACTAGCACTAATACCAAGGCGGATTTTGCTTCTGAAATCGGACATTATCTGGGTTTCACATGAAACAATCGTCGGTGATTGTCTCTTACGTCATTTTGGATTGATCACAGGTAGATTACTCATCGTTTTAAAGTTTGTTTGACCACTTTACAAGAGAGGGGGATCAAATAGGATATAATTTTTTTATGTAGCTACTATGTCGGATGAATTAATTGCAATTTAGAAGTCACGTGACACTTGGATTCAATTGAATATGTTAGTACGCTAGGCAATTTTTTATATATCAATCTTAAAGCGTATCGTCCGACTGAATTATCCAGAGCGGATATTTCTAATTAAACGCACGAGGCTATATAGGTAAGAAGAGATTTGAGATTTCTCGAGAGGATCGATCTTGTCGGTCCAGTTCTGTGCATGTCAAGGTCGTACCCTTGGGCCACATTTCCAGATTCAACGACAATTGTTTGGACTCCCTTTGTCCATTTTCGTTCATTATTTCCTTGTGATCCTTTTCTTCCTGCCATGCTGTTGTTTTCAAATGTGCCCCACGGGGTCGACCCGGACCATCCGACCAGCAATCACATCCAAATATAGGTGCGAGGGAAAACGATGGATGTGGGCATCTTTGGCTTTGGTTCAAAGAACCTGGTAAAACCGCCCCGTGAACATCGGCACCGCAAGTCCAAGATGTCGGCAACAAGCCCTCTGCCCGCATTGATTGCACAGAAGGCGACTCCCGTCGCTCAGCTGAACGGAGATTGGATGCTTCACCTCTCTGGTCGAAGAAGAACAGATGTGGCGCCACCACAATAGCACCCTCCCCCCGGTTGCATTATTTTCGTCTGGTTTGAATTTTATGTTCACCTGCCTAAGACTTTAGGAGCTCAATGAGCAGAATTCTTAGAGACGAGGAGAAAAAATTGGCCACGGGCAGAAGGAATGACGGGCACTCGCTGAAAGCATCATGCATATGGCCGCTCGCCAGCCGGTCACATCTGATAAGCTGGATGAGTAGATTGCAGTTATTGTTTACATGACAACGACTTTAAACCTCGATGTACGATTAGGATCCGCTAGATACATGATTATGATCAGCTAGACAAATGATTGTCGTTATCTGATAAGGAATCTGCATTGATCTACATTAATTTTCGATGTGGGGGTAAACAATTTTCTCCAATGTGCGACTGATGCGTGTTTGAGCCACGCAATGTTTTTGTTTATAATGAAATGACCGCTCAAGTTAGCGATTTTGGTTCGGCAAGGCTGGTGTCGAGGTTGGTAAAGATCACGGCAAGGCTGGTGTCGAGGTTGGTAAAGATCACGCGAGTCAATTTAGCTCACTCGGTATCAAGGGAACCATAGGATATGCAGCTCCAGATACTCTTCATCATGATTTTGCTTCTGGTGATATTATGATATTGACCATACAAATGGTGAAGAGTACTGATGATTGATGGTTCCTTTTTTTCTGAATAGCAGAGTATGGCATGGGAGCTGAGGTGTCGAGTCTCGGAGATGTGTACAGCTAAGGGAATCCTCTCGCTCGAGTTGTTCACCGGGAGAAGACCAACCGGCGAATTATTCAGACATGAAACAAACCTGCACAAGTATGCTAGGTCGGCATTGCCTGATTGTGTCCTTGTGTTTGTGGACCAAATGATCCGGCAAGAGATCTTTGAAGAAGTAGAAGAGGACACTTGCAATGTCCTATTCCAGCAATTCGGCGAGCAAGCAAAATCAAATTTTTGGTCTCCGTGCTAAAAGCGGGAGCTGTTGGGAAAATTGTGTTAGGAGGAAATGGAATCGAAATGTAGTCGGAATTTGAGGCGTGTAATCACTATCTTTTAAGATCAATTTGTCCCACGAAGTTGCTATAGGTTACTGGCAAATTCTCTTCAGGATACAACAAAGTCACAGTGAGAATACTGGATAACAATTCCAGTAAATTTCCTAAAACTCTATGCAAAATAATTGAGAAAATGGCTGTCTCGTTTTTCTCTTAAGAAAGACGAAAATGAAGGGAGTTATGTTCATTTATCAATTAAAGAAAATTGTCCAATATATATAAGCAAATAGAACACATCTCTTGGTGTCTAACTGACAATACGGACACACCTATTCATGTTCGAAAAACTGCAATTCGGACATAACCTTTCGTATTTGAAAAACCGCCATTCGGACACAACCGTTTATGTCCAAAAAGTTGTGATTCGGACACAACTTTTTGAGCATGAAAACTGTCAATTTTGGATATACCTTTTCGTGTCCTAAAATTGACAGTTTTGCCCAAACAATCATTAAAAAAAACAAATAAAATAAAAATAGATTGTTGATTAAGGCTTATAAAATGCGAGTATTGGGGGGTCTAGGCCACTCACCCTTTTTTTTCTCTATTTAAAATAAAAGATAATACCTTAATTTATAAATAGATCAAAATTTTCATTTATTTCCTATGTGGGACAAGGAAAATGCCTTGTTTGTTTTACAAACAAAAACCAACAGGAGCAACATGCTCAGAAGAATCATCTCGACAAAGAATGAACAAGAGAGCCGTTTTAGCGGATTTGCTTTCACTCTGAGATAAATCTATCTTGGAACTGAAGTGCAGGGAAGCTCCTGATATGGACAATGCTAGTTTAAATGATCCTCATTTACAACAGCAAGCCTTCACATCCTATTCTGCTAGTGTGGTTGTAATGGAATTCTGTGGTCACATTGACCAAACCATATAAATTTGATGTCTAATTATTTTGTTCTCGTTCCGTTTGTTTTGTATCGATCCACTTGTTTTCGCAACAAATTCATATGGTCATTGTTTACTTTTTTGTTGATTTTTTCTTCGTCAATATGAGCGAAAGAAGGATTCTTGACATATGCTCCCACACAATTTCCCGCTAAACAATCACTCGATCTCAATAGAATACATAAATCCTAACAGATAATTTTCTTCTTATATTGTCTCAAAATGCAATTCAACGAACACGGGTCGTGCCTTTGAAGCGACTCGACGGCCTCTGCACCAATTTTACGTGAAAGCCAAAATTCTTCAAGACCTCAAGGCATTTATATCCAACAGAAGAAACCCTTCAGTCAAAGTAATATGTGGCCGAATCATAGTCCAATAAAAAGTCCATGTTGGGACTTTCCACCTTCAGGCCGAACACTCCAACACCCACATATGGCTGTCGGACTTCGAGCAGTCCATACACTCCGATTCGATTCGAGTTTTCCATAGATGCACTTCATTCGGGTCATATTTAGTTCAACGAGCACAAGCTCGAGACATAATTTTTACCAAAATTCATCCACATCTCACAAAGAACGATGCAAGGATGAATGCGAATTTAATTGCACTAAAGCTGATATCTTTAACTATATACGCGATAGAGCTATGTCAGTCAGCACCCAAGTATGGCATTTTCGGACACCAAACTAGATGATCGTATAGGCATAGAATTCTGTAGTTAGTAAATATCCCTGGGAAAATTAAGAACTTCAAAGTTGTAAATTGCGTAAAACGACTAGAGAAAATCAGAAGCCATTTCACATATTGAAGAAAAATCAAAGGGTATCAAGTTTTCCTCGAGAGGCAGACAACAACAGAGCCTGCACTCGCAGCTTCTAATTCTACGACAAACTTCGTATATGCAGACAGAAACAGCATAGAGACAGCATTCCCACAGCATGGAAGGAAGGGGTTCGAGTAGCCAAAAGAAATCCAAACACCTAGGTCGCTGATGGGACCAAGTAATTGAACATCTCAAATCCATAGTTGATGCAGCCAAACTAGTTAAGTAGAATGATAAAGTTCCTCTCCCTAACCGATATCCTTCTAACCTAAGGCATAAACTCATAATTGTATGCAACATTGCATACCGTCCCGAAATGGCCACCGCCAAGACATATGTACTCAACGGGGGGGCGTACTAAGTAAACTGCAGTACTTCTGCTGTTGCATCCTACTACAAACTTCGGAGAAGATCCGAGTAATGACTCTGAAGCCAATACAATCGCTCCTCTTCAACTTGCTGGAAAAAGGAAAAAAATATTCAGCGAGTAAATATGCAAATGCACAATTGTTTATTGCGGCAAAAACTAGCAAGCAAGCATCACCTGACTCATTCTCTCCTATTTTTGTGGTTTTTTCCAGAGTACTCCTATCTTCTTCAGCATGTTCCCGTTCTTCTTTTTCAGCATATCGTCATCCATGTCTTCTGCATAAGGCGAGCTTATCCTGCCTGTTATAGGATTGTAACTGCTGTCAAGAGAACCAGTTCTATCCATAAACTTCCCATTGTTCCCAGTTGAAAGCATCGCCGCAGCTGCCTCTGCAGCTTTCCTCCACTGATCAGACTGCACCTTTAACCTTCTTAACTCACCCTCCATTTCCGTACCTGTCGCCTGTGCTGCCTCAAGCTGCTCCGTTACTCTTGCTGCCCTCCGGTTGCTCTTTTCTGCCTCCTCCATGATGAAGCTGAGCTTTGTGAGAGCCTCTCTTTCTGCAGCTCTTGCTGCTTCTACTTGTGCGGCCACATCATCGTTCATCTTAGCCTTGTCAGTTTCCCCCTTCTTGAGCTCTAGCTTCATTGTTTTGTTCTCCTCTGATATATGCTGCAGTTCCGTCTCCTTATCCATCAGATTTGCTTTCACTTCTGATAACTCTTCCCGAAGTTTCTTCAGCTCCCTTTCCAGTGTGGATTCTTTCTGGAGGGACAGGGTGTTCTCGAGCTTTGAACTTAGCCCTTCATTCTCTTCTAGAACGCCTTGCAGTTCAGTTTCTTTATCCATCAGGTGCGCCTTCAAATCTTCAATATTAGCTCTTGCTTTGTACAACTCTGCCTCCAATGCAGCTTCTCTGGCACCTGATGCGGATTTCATCTGCTCCATCAGTTCATAAGCACTCTTTATTTGCACAGTGCTCTCAGCATGGTCTTCACGGTGTTTGCTTTCAGCAGCTTCAAGTGCAGACCTCAGATGTCTGATCTCATATCCAAGAGTAGAAAGCTCTTCTTCCAGCTGGTTGGCTTCTTTGGTCTTCTGATGTTGGCCAGTTTCCAGCTCTAGATCCATATCATCTGAAGGATTCGAAATCTTGTTCCCGCCAGCATGTGCGAGGTCCGTTTTGAGTTTGCTAACTAACCCTTCGAGTAAGTTCACGCGTTCCTTTGACTGATCCAGCTCAGAAGTAATTGAATTGTAATCTTCCACAGCTTTCATCCCGTCCAACCTGAGTGCTTCCACGGTTGCTTTGGCGGTACCCAGCTGCGACAGGGTTTCATTAATGAGTACTTGGGCCTGTGCTTCTGATTCCTTGCAATCTTTAAGCTGGGTTTTCATGTTTTCTACCAGTGACAGAGTTTCGGCCAGATTCCCTTTCAAGCTTTGGAGCTCCATATTTGCTGATTCTGCGTGCTTTGTTTGCGCAGCCTCAGACTGTGCAACCATTTCCAGCTCAGTTTTAAGCCTCTGAATCTCATCCACAGCTGATGCTAGAGCAGCTGAGTCAACTGATAGCTGCTTCTGGATAACCTCAAGCTCAGACTGCAATGCTTGTTCCCGTTCTTCTGAGGCTTTTTGAAACTCGGTTACACGAGATTCCTCAGATGCAGAGTGCTCCACAATACGCTCCTCTGAGTCATCAAGCTTTGAAGATATGTCATATAACTGCTTCTTGGATTCCTCTGCATCTTGCAAGGCTTTATTCTTGCAAGATTCAGAAAAATTTAGCTGGTCCTTGGTTTTCTTCAGCTCCTCCTGAAGTTGTGAAACCTGAGATTCCAACTCCGATATTCGAGATGGACGTTTCTTCTGGATCAAAACAAGGAAAAAGTACGCAGATGATTAGTTCAAAACCTTCATCTAAATATGCTAAGCAACAGCATCTATTCCGTTTTTTCAGTGTTTATGACGTGACACCGAGACAGAGAAAACCCTCAAGCCTTGATCGTCACGGAGGCCAGTACTAGCTAAGGAGAGATCAATAAAGATCGTTTGTGAACAGAAAATGAAGCACTGGCAAGCTGCATTAGTTTATCTAGATTCGGGAACTTGCTACATAGAACAGTAGAGGGAAATTGGGTTGAAACAATCTATGCAAGTACCTCAGATAGCGGGCTTCTAGGTGACCTGCGCTCAACCACCTTGGGACTTCTTTCTTTTGGTGTTCTAGTGGCTTGATTTGAAGAAGATGCAGAATCAGATTCCGATGTGGTTGTCTTCAGTTGGCGTACAGCACGGGGAGAGACTCTCTGAGGGACTTCTAAACCAGTTCTGCCATCAGAGTGTATGAAGGCAGACACCCAAGAGAAGCATGTCAATGGTCGCAGACATGAGCAAAGGAAGAAACAGTCTCTTCAAGCAGGCAACGTGCACATTCACAACATTATGTTAAAAACGGATTCAGGGGAAAGCAAGCTGCTTATAGGTGCCTTAACACAAGTTCATATTAGAAGCCAAGCATATCCATAGATTTAGCTTCACAACTAGGAGGTTTTGGGCGAACCCAGTAAATGGGTGAACCCAGAAGAAACCTGAATTTAGAGGTTTTGGCATGCACTGCATGGGGTCAGAAAAATAGTGTTATACTGGTTTATAATCACACATAGCACCACACCCCCCCAAAAAAAAAGAAAAAAAATCCTGAAATAGTCAATAAGCATATGACAATTTCTCTTCATAAAAGCATATCGATAACATCATCAAAGTTCACGAAAAAAACTGAGTGCATTCATAATGCTTGCCGTCAACATTTGATGAACCAAACAATTAAGCAAAGCAATGAAAAAGCTTGTATCCACCCACCACGATGAGCTTAGGGAAAATTCCAATGCTCTACTTATCACTGCATGAGCTCTAAATGTCTCGACAACAGCACCTGTGGACTTTAGATGGCCTCGCACAACATCATCTTAAGGCAAGATATGAGACAAACCTTTTCTTGATGCTGAATAGGCTTAAAGACAAGGAATTTCCACCAGCTTGAAAGGGTTGTTCTAGGAGCAAGTACTCAGCGAAAGGGACGGTAAATCTTTAAAGAAATAATACAAGACAAAGCTGATTCTCCAAAAGGCTAGAATGCCGAAACATATAGGAAACACAGTTCACATCCAGCTCAAAGTTTCAGAAATGGAAAGAAAGATCAGCATTGATAAGTCAGTTACCAAACAGGCATCTCGAGTTCATCCAACCAGCAAATGTGAGAAAAGAGAAGAAATTAAAGGAGGGTCCAAAGTTACCTCGCTTTTGGGGTCTGCATGGTTTGACCACACCCACAAGTCACAGAGGATGTAATGCCTTAACAGCTTCAGTGCTGGCCTGACCCACAAAGAGATTTCACCATTTCAACCACAAGAAGGAAAAAATCACAAGAGAATCCAATGTGATGCCATGAATGGTACATGCTCAGAAATTAATGGGTTCATGAGGGGCATGTGCATGTGCTCTCCATCCATCCATGAATCCATAAAGCCAAAAGGAGGTACCAACCGAGGAACAACTCGATGCCTCAAAGGCATGCCGTAATTAATATCTCACACATACAGTCCAAGAAACAGTCCATAAATTAACCAAAGCAGTGCTGTGTAATGTCATCTCTGCCCCTCCGATGCTTCCCCGATCCAACCATTGGATAGACCAGAAAGACAAACACCCATCATTGCCATAAGTAACCCACAGGGGGACCTCCCGCACAGAGACGAACGGCGACCCAAATTACACAAAAGACCCCTCGATCCTTCCCCATTTTCTCACGCGTCGGCGCGCGTCAGCGGGTAGGGGCAGTTTAGTAAAATCGCGCGGCTGACTGGAGAAAAGGTTTGCAGTTTTCACCTCCATGTCTGCCGTGAAAGCAGGGTAATGCGATGTGAGGTGTGTGTGTGGGGTTCGCTCGAAATCTTGAAGCGAGTAAAAAAGAACTCCACTTTCTAAACACGCCGCTGATTATGTAAGAGGAAATAGAAAAATACTTTCCGGGAAAAATCGGAGGAGCATACTATTTTCCCGCATACGGATCTGAAAGGAAAAGCGAGGAGAAAAGGCAGAGATAAACCCCACCAGAGAAGGGGATGAAAATGCAGATAATTTTTGGCAGTTGTGCTTTGCTCACGAAATGGCTTTTCGGGTTTCTTCCTTTTCCTGAAATGTGCTCGAGTCTTTAACCGGAGAAAAGAAGGCACGAAAGGCGAAAAAAGGAAGCAATGTAGGCAAAATGCTTTCGAAATTTAGCTGTAGCGTTGGTTCAAGCTCGCCCTCTGCAACCCAAAAACCGCAAAGCTTGCACAGTGAAAAGGGAGCTCAAAAGGGAACATCATGGGCAACAGGGGACAAAAGTCAACCGAAACTCTCGACCCTTTTGCTCACTCGAAACAAAAGAAGACAATGTCAAAGCCATCATGCTACTTCTGAAGAAAAAATACAAACAAGGATGCAAGTTCCTTTTTTTTTTTTGGACGCCGTTGAAGCAAGTAGAGCACCGCACTTTAGCAAAACGGTAGATGGTTACCGGAGCGAGAGGCAGCGGACCGCTCTGCTCAGAGGAGAGGGAAACCGGCCGTGGAAAAGGAAAGCGAGCTTCTCTGCTTCGAGCTTCTCTGCTGCTGCTTCTGCTTCTGCTTCGTTTGGCTCTTCTGCTTGCTCCTCCTTCTTCCTTGCTTCTTGCTTCTTCTTCTACTTCCTAGTGCGGTTCCCGAGGCGCTTTCGCTTTCACATATTTTGAATTTTCCGTTTTGGATGTTTTCCCTTTTTTTTGGAGCGTAGTGGGTGAGCGTGGGAGATGAGCTGGTGACTGCTGATATAGAAAGAGAGAGAGAGACAGAGATGAATCCACCTTTGTATTCTGAGAAATTTCGCTGCACGACAAATCATGGGTGTTGGGATTTTTTCTTGTACATTTCGATCTACGTACATTTTATAAAGATTGTTATTAATGACTGGTTTCGTCTGAATAAAGAAAAAGAAAATAATGGATTAATAATGTCCGGTGCGTATTTGGTGCATCATTTTTTTTTTGCACGCCTCAATTTTTCTCGATGTCAACATAAGATTATTCTGATCTTAGGCTGTGTTCGTTTGCGGAAAAATATTTTTTCGAAAAATATTTTTCGCGTTTTTCGGTGTTCGGGGGCGGAAAATGTTTTCCGTCGGTAAACATTTTCCTTCCCCACCCCCAAATCCTCAATTGTTTTGAGGAAAATGATTTCCTCTTTTCGTAAAGAGGAAATCATTTTCCCCCAAATTGAAGGCAAAATTACTTATGGGAGGGAAAATATTTTCCGTGGGAGAGGAAGTTGATTGCCGGTCACCACTGTTGGCCGCCGGTGCATTGGCCGCCCGCCGCCGCCGCTTAGCCGCCGGTCGCCGGCCCGCCGCCGCCGCGGTCACCGCCGCCACGGCCGGTCGCGCGGCCACCGCATGGCCGGTCGCCGGTAGCCGGCCGCCGCCGCCGGTCGCCGATGAAAAATATTTTCCGAAAATTTTTCATATTGATCGCCGAACACCGGAAAATTATGTTCCGAGAAAACATTTTCCAGGAAAATGACTTCCGGAAAAATATTTTCCAAAAGAAGAATATTTTCCGCCAAACGAACGGAGCCTTGCTGATTAATTTGACTATTTTAATTGATAATGATAAAATGACGAGTGTGAAACTGAGGTACACAAGGCTGTTTTTTTCAGAGACATATTCGACATTACTTTGCATGGCGATACAAACTTTATATGGTTCAAGAGCCTAAAACATAAAAAGTTAGATGCAATGAGAACCTCCTACTTTGAATATTTAAATATTCTGTCAGTAAATGAGGGTCTGAGAAAATATGAGCTCACGGTTTCCTATTTTGATTTCGTATGAGATTTTGTGGGTTTATTATCAATTATTCTGAAAATTTAAATATTAGATAAATACGTGATTTCATATATAAATACTCTAACAAGAAAGAAGAAAGGCATAAGCGGTGAAATCTTAGGACAAACAAAAATATCATGAACATAGAAGAGGTGTGATTATTTATAATTCAAAAAATAAACAAGGCCAATTTGACTAATTTTTCAAATTAAAGCGATGAACATTGAGATCAGATCACATATTATCGGGCATAGTACGGGAAACAGCTTTTCTTTTTTCTCACTTTCACGGAGGAGATTGAAAAATGTCTCGTCATTTCGCAGGATGTTTTCTTTTTTAACAGGAAATTTCCAAGCACATAGTGGTTGGAGAAAACCATTGAAGGGTCGCTCCTGTGTCGTGCTGAAAGTGACAAGAGGAGCTAGCTAGCTAGGGGGGGGGGGGCGATTTGAAAGGCAGTACGGTCAACTTCAGGAAGCGGGATCGCAAAATTTGTAAATTTTTGGCCAAAAAAATTTACTAAATTGATTTATTAGATAATGTAACATAATGCAGCTCTAATTCCAAATCGACGGTTCATGTCCAAATTCAATGAGACTTTGTCCCAACAAGTTACAAAGCAACTTATCGAAAAAATTTCCAAGTATTTCCAACGGATAGGAACTCAACCTCTATGCACACTTGGGACGCATCGAAAGCAAGCGATACATAAGAACAATTGACACTTAAATGCCAGACCCACAGGATTGAAAAAGATAATCCAGTTGCTTTTCCGTTAACAATGAGATAAACCGACCGAAGAATGGTGGACAAACTTATATCTTGCATCAACTGTGGAGATCACCCAATCCATGGCAAATTAGGTTCAAATAAAAATTCCATCAAAGCCGATTTTTCAATTTGTATCGAGTTCAAAAGATCCGGGCACAAATTTGTTTGGTCTCCATGGTAATCCGTGCGGTTCGATCTAACAAAGTTCCTTTTCTTTTTTTTGGTCAAAACGATCTAACAAAGTTCATGAAGCACACTTTTTGACGTTAGGCTCGTGTCACTCGTGCTGTGAGCAGTGAGCCTCCTATGGAGGGCTTGTTGAATCGTACCTACAATTCATCGTTGACCTTGCAGCCTGAAGCGAGACATCACCAGCTTCTCAAGTTACTCTGGCCTTAGAAATGCGAGGAGTTTCAAGATTGATGATAGGTCGGTGCAGCCGGCGAAATCCACTCCACCATTTTCGATATAACCGTCGGTCATTGGGAATTTCAATTGCTCAATCCGAGGTCTCAAAGTTAGTAAAATCTAAAACCAACCAACTTCATTCTTTAATCCACCAAACGTCGCATCCTCTAAAATCTGATAAAGACTAGCATAATTCTTCACAAACAGAACGATTGCCTTTCATTTCGACAACGGCAATACTGTATAGAGATTGCCCTTTAATTAAGCCATCAGCAACATTTTACGAACAAACAGTTATAAGTTCTCCACAAACATCATGAACCAACCTATATGTATATGATTACGGCTAATAAAGTGCATGAACGCTACTGTAGCACATCTATATGGTACATGATCAATGAATTACAGGCTTAAGGGGGTGAGCTCTCAGCTTGGACAAATCCAGATTTGAATCAAGCTCCTCATCTAGCTCTCCGACAACGCTTCTGCAAACACAGGACATGGAAAAGAACTATGAAAATATATACACGAACAGAGTTTACTTCAAAGTAATCACGGAGCTCAAGTATAGTCAAAGGCAGAAGGGACATAAATGACGGCGAACCAAGTTGAACCTGCCTTCTTCTTTCTGCTGTTACTTTAAGAAACAAAAGGTAAAGAAGAAAAAGAGGTTGAACTGAGATGGAGTATGTCATTACATGTTATCACCCCTTATTATGTAGAGGCCAAGCACAAGTTGCTGCACGCCTTCCTGCAGTAAACCGGAATGTTATTCATGTGAAGTCTTGAGTCTTCCGAAATATCAAAACCTGAAAGAGGGGAAATAGGGAATGTAGACAAACCTTTGTGGAGTAAACACGTTCATGAGATTCATCGAGAATGATATTCGTTGCCTGGTCATAGCCCTTTAAGACCCCCTAAAGAGATTCAAAATATTGTAATTATTCTCGACTCCACAGTGACAAAAATAGAAGTGGTAGCTGTGTAACATACCACAATGTTACGCCCATCATTTGTAATGACCGATATTGTTTCTGCATACAAAAAATAACTGATATAAGAGCAAAGCAAGGAGCAAACCTTGAGAAATTGAGTGCAATATTCGTAAGTAGAACAGATATTCCCAAGTCACTTTTAGGCATTTAGCTTTCTCGTTTCAACAGGGCTCGAGTCAACATCCTCTGAAGTCAACTAACGAGCAAATACAAGTGTCACTAATGCCAGTTCACTGCTGGAAAATGAACAGAAAAGTGCCACATGTACCTGTACGATCATATACTAGACAGTTGATATTCAACACATTTATTACTTTTCTTGCATAGTCTTTACGCATCTAATACAAACATCAGCATATGCTGCAAAACTGTTCAAATTACCATATGATAATAGGAGTGGAAGCCCCCTTTCATTTGTTGATCGAAAACTGAGACCGAGCTCGAGGGTCATTGTCCTAAGCCCGATCTCAATGTCCCTGTTAGACTCCTACTCATATGGTTTAGGTTTTCTTCTCCTCCCAATTGACAGTTAAAGAAAATCAAGCAAGAACCTGAGAAGATAAGTCAAGAGACATACGGTCTACGAGAGAATCAAGTCCAGGGCCAGTTGACATTTCGCAACTCCCAAAACTAGCAAAGGCCGGCCCTCTTGCAGGTCTAGTTCTGTACACTTTCTTCTGTAGAAAAATGAATGAAAAGAAATAAGTCTCTCGGAGGCTGAAAACCTGTCCACACAGCTTCAAGTTAGCATATCTTCTTAGTATAAAAAATATGTAGCACATCCTCCACAAGACTTTGAGGAATTGGAGAAGAGAGTAAATATGAAATCCAATTGGTTGAACGAACTCAAGAGGCTGGGAAAACATAAATTATCCACTATTTGCCATGAAGGTACTCATTTCCTTTCGTTTTGCTGATTCACAAGTCTCGTGAGTGATGAGCACCGAGATATTTTGTAATTGCCAGAGTGATTTTCATTTTAGTGAGTAAAACGTTGCCTCATAAACTGTTACTTTCCAAAAAGACTTGAAGATATTTGTGGATGCGCGGGCGCATGTGTCTGTGTGAGAGTGAGAGTGAGAGTGAGAGAGAGAGAGATTCTCTTTCTGAATAATGTCTGATTACGACAAAGAACTTCCTATAGCCAGTTTTTGGCAAGATACTATCACAATTCGGTACAGAGATCCAATATCATTCTTATTCATGAAAGACAATACAATGCCTGAAGAGGACTGGGACATTGGAAATACTTCTTATATATTTGCATTATATAAACAGCCTTTTGCTTATAAGGGTTGTCAAAAACAGAATGATGACCAGCATTTCTGTAGACCGAGGCCTCTCAAGCTAAATAAAACAAGAAATAGCAAAAAGGAATATCTTCTCCCTTCAGGCATAAATTCAACCATAAACTACAGAGTTCAACCATGAAAAGAGAAAATTCAGACCACCTCTGTCTTCCAAGTTCATCGGGATAAAGAACAACGCACAAATGTTCTCACTAGAAACAAATGCATGATCAAAATGGGGAGCTTGGCATGAACGAGGGAAGCATCCTGCAATTGGGGTAAATGATGGATTCGTACAACTAACAATCAATCTATCCTACTCTTCCAGCAGCCCATGCAAAAAAGCTTCAATATTAGAAGTTAGAATTTCTTTCGTTTTTGCCACAAGCATCATTATTCGATACAGAAAAATATCTCAACACACACCCAAAAAAATACAGATTCTATCTATGCAACTTCTTATTTTCCCCGGCATTTCGCTTAGCATCCATCAGCATTTGAAGGACACTGAGTCTAGCTACTAGTAATTTCCACGGCCACTAAAATGCAACACACCACCCTTGAGTAATAGAGCCGCCCTCCCACGACCACAGCCAGAATCACACTTTCCACTTAGACCTCGCAATCACCTACCGAGCCTCAACAAACCCACCCACGCATCACATTACCGAAGCACAGTGCCGATTCACCAGCTCACGCGACAAACAACGCACGATCGAATGTCGCGCGCGCAACTACTGTTCACTGAGGAATCTCTCGAAGGAGGGATTCCAATTTTTCCAACCGCGCGCAGCCGAATCGACCGACGTAAAAAATTTCATGTAGCCGCGGAACAGAATATCGCAAAAACGAGCGCGATAAACGCTCGCGCGGACACGCTCATCGATGTCGGATGATCCATTACCGAAACGACGAACTCGAGTCGCATCAGGAGAGAGAGAGACAGAGAAGCTCACCTTCGTACGACGCCGCCGCTTAGCAGAGCTTGGTTAGGCCGGTGACCGCACGCTCCGCCGGCGAGAGAGAGAGAGAGAGAGAGGGAGGGGCGGACGAAGACGGAGGAGCTGAGACCTAAAAGAGCGAAGAAGATGAAATCGATGCTGCGCAAAGAGAACCGAAACGCGCCGTTTTTCGCTATTCGCGATTGGCGCGGCCCAGATGATCTGCTAGTCTCTTTGGGCTCTGCACGGCCCAAATGATCTTCTGATTCTCTTTGGGCTCTGTTCGGCCCAAATGATCTTTTTTTGGTCGCTTGGCCCAAATGATCTGCTAGGTCTCTCCTTTACGGCCCGTGGATCGCGACCACCGATTTTCAGATATTGGACTCGCGATGCCGATCACATCACCTTACGAATGATTATGAACACGTACACAATCTGCACATACAAATGATATACGTATACAAATTGGCATTTGCAGTTATCCAAAAGAATACCACGATCTCGCTAATTGCGAAAATCCACCGGCGCTAATTTTTTCAGTATCTAAATGATGTTCGTGGGACATCAACTTTCCCAATTACAATTTTCGGATGTCGGACCCGAAATATTTGGTTCGGGTCGGGCCGGTTCAGGCTTTACTTGCGCTCCCGGTACGTGCGTAAAATAGAATACTTAAATCGACCAGAATTTTCTAGGCACGATCGAGGAAGAAACGACGCGATGATTTTTGGGATTGTGACTTTTACCCGTTCGATAAAATGGATAGGGATGTTCTCCTCCACCTAGTAGTTAGAGTCAATGTTACTTGGTGTATTCTGACAAGTTAGAGTCAGGGGCATTAAATAATACGATAGAACGATTTATCCGCGTATCCTTTGAAAATGGAGATGGACCGATCAGAAACATCACGAAACTCGAAATTGATAGTCATGCGAAAAACATGCCATACCGAATAAAATGCGGTTTTAATAGGGTTTCGTTGAAACGAGTTCCCGAGATTTTGATAAAGAAATTCCGTCGTTCCAATCCACTGCCTTTTTTCGTGATCTGTGTAATCAGTGCGCTGAAAAATGAAAGAAATATTTTGTCCTCGACGTGTTTGTTTCGAGAGAAATCAATGCTTAGGGAATTTTTTTTTTTTATGGAAACTGTTTGTTAATCTATGCCTAAGCATCACAGTTGATGACGGGAATACTTTTTGACCATGTACTAATAGAAGCGATACAAGCGGTCATTTTGAGAAAAATATTATGTTAATAATTGATTTTTGATAAAATAAAGACAAACTAGTAGTATGGTTAAACATCACTAAGGAAAATCCATCCTGTCATTCTCCAAAGTAGCCGACCAAAGCCGCCTTATCTGGTTGTCAACATGATGCTTTTTTTTTTTCTCGAAGAAGCATCCTCGAATTTGTGCAGAAAACAACCCGTGGAATCTCATCATCAAAATTTGGAAAAAGTTGCCCTTCAAATCCTCCATTGAACGAGGGCGAGAGGTCAGCGTGCATATTGATATCCCCAGTTGACCAATTGCCATGGTTTGCTTGCATCTCTCGCAAACCCAATCGCAGATCGAAAGGTTGGTTGAGCAAACTCAGAAAAACCAAAAAGGGAAAAGCAGAAGAAAGTCCCCCGCTTGTTTACATGTCACGTTACAACGTGCGATAAGAATAGTAAGAGTCTATGGAAGCGAATTTGACCATGGAATGCAATTTTTTTTTTCCCTTTTTTTGGAGTCTCCTTAGCCCCCTTAACAATGACAATAGGCTTGATTAGAATACGAAAAGGTATTTCATGCGTGCATCGCACGGTTAATATGATGTGATCTCGAGCGCATGGATGTCGCGACATCTTTCGTAATCGACATGCCCACGATCCACCCTTTTTGAACCGGCAAAATTTTTTTTAGTGATTCTAAGCTCCAAGAGTCTTTTAAATCCTTGCTTACAAGCTCAGTACGCGCGCTTGCAATTGTTTCCCTCTCAAAAGAAATGAGGCGTTCACACGATCTCTCTTCGCGACGACAATTGGATGCTTTTTTTGGAAAGATCTGATATTGCGTATTTTTCGTGAGGGGTGATTTTATATTCGTAATTTGTCCCTTGACATTCTAAAATTTAACGATATACTATGAAAGTGGACTACTCCCAAATTTTGCTCGGAGCTCCAACCAAATGACTAGCCTTAACTAGCTATGAAGGATAATTTTGTTATAAAATTATATGTAGACCTGAACATGATCAAAATGAATAAATTGTAAAAATACCGATTTGTAATAAAACGAAGAGAAAATAAATGACCACGGTAGCGTCGTCCAAGGCAAAACGACAATAGTGCCGTTGGGGGCATGTGAAAGCGCGATCGAGCCACCATTAGGACCTTGCCAACACGATCGCTACAGCCATCGGTGCTTTCTTCGCTGAGCCACTGCCCCCGCTCGTTTATCTCCCTCTCTTTCTCGCTATTGAAAACCGCCTTTTCCAATAATCTTTCGAAATATATCTCTTTTACGATCCGTAAATTTTTCGATTTCAAAACCGATTGTTTCTATCTTCAATTTCCACGGGCATACATTTTTTTTTTGTGGCAGATTTGCCCGGCAAAATTCGTCCCGCGATCGGAGCTCCAAGCTTGGTCGAAGCCAACGTCAAGGGTCCAATTTCAAACCAAATATAAACAAAACATGAATGGGCAAATTGCAAGACGCGAAAACTCTAGCATGCGTTCGAGGGTAACTTCCCATGGTTTTTTCTAGCAAAAAAAAAAAACTTCCCATGGTTTCAAACGTTCGAGGGGCAAAACGGGTAATTCGCATGCCAGTTGTCCCTTTGGAAAAAGCAAAATAATAAATAAAAAAATAACTTTGCGACCGCGAGCAATGACGGTGCCGACTTAGGAGGAGTAAAAGAACCGATGATTAAGGTAGAATACACCCCCGGATACTAATTTTTTTTTTTTTTTAACTTTTCGTAACCCATATCCTTTCCTACTTTTCGAAATTAAATTTGGTTACCTCTGATTACTTAACCAAGTCCCCTTACTTTTACAGATATTCTAATCAAGCCCTTTCGATATCGAATCCGGTCGAATTCAGCTGACGTGATCGTCGAACGACGTCGTAACACAACGTGATTTAAATCTTCCAAAATGGGTGCCCATGGTAGTTAAATTTTGTCCACATCAATATTCTACATCGGTCAAATCGCGTTCACATGGACATTCGCATATCCTGTTCGCACTAAAATCTGAGGTCGCGTTGGTTAGTTGAATGTGATCGGATTTAATGAGGTAGTACATGTATATTAAATACTGTCCTTAAATTATCTGCACGACCCGTTGTAACTATCGGGTGTCAGCCATCGTGTTCCACGGTCCATCTGGGGATGAACTTCGCTGGACCACCGCGACTTCGGAGTCAAGAAGAGGAAGAAGCAAGTTTTACTCCAAAAAAAACAGAGAAAAAGTCAGAGAAATAAATAATAAAAAATGGAGATAATTATATCGGAAATTACGTTTCGCCACTTTCCATAACCACGCCGTCCAAGTCGAGGGCAGTCCTGTCATTTTTCGGACGTTTTTAGCGACGGACGCGTGTCGGGAAAGCGGCACGCGAGAGCTCTCTCTCTCTCTCTTCCTCTCTCTTTTCTTTTGTTTTTCTTCGTTGGGATGGGAAGGAAAAAAAAAGTTCCCGGTAATTCCATTTTACGAAGCAATAAATAGTGGTAGAGAAAATGGCACAAATGATCTCGAAAATTTTTGCTCAATGTATAATGTGGTCCCTGAACTTTAATTTGTTCAATATGATTCGTGAATTTTCTATACATGTTCAATCTAATTTCTAAATTATATGAAATTGTTCAATGTTGTCGATAGAGTGGAATTAATTGAAAGACAACATTGAACGTTTTCATATAGTTCATTGACTGATTTGAACATGTAGAAAAAGTTTTATGGACCACGTTGAACAAATTAAAACTTAAAAGTTCATGGATGACATTGCACACTAGGCTACACAATTCACGAATAATTTATAATTGCTGGCCGATTATCGAGACAGTAGATAGAGAGTATGGATTTAATTCTTTCTTGTTAATTCGATTGAAGATAGATTATACAGGTCCAATCAACAAGTCGAGATTAAGAATGCGGAAAATAAATTATGTTTCGCCACTTTCCGTAACCACGCCATCCGAGTCGAGGGCAGTCTTGTCATTTTTCGGACGTTTCAGCGACGGACGCGTGCCTGCAAAGCGGCACGCGAGAGCTCTCTCTCTTCCTTTCTCTTTTCTTTTGTTTTTCTTCATTGGGATGGGAAGAAAAAAAAATTGTTCCCGGTAATTCCATTTCATGAAGCAATAAAATATTGGCAGAGAAAATGGCACAAATGGTCCCGAAATTTTTGTCTAATGTGCAATGTAGTCCATTAAACTTTAATTTGTTCAATATGATCCATGAATTTTTTATACATGTTCAATCTAATTTCTGAATCATATGAAATTGTTTAATATTATCGATAGAGTGGAATTAATTGAAAGACAACATTGAACGTTTTCATATAGTTTATGGACTGATTTGAACACGTACCAAAAGTTTATGGATCACGTTGAACAAATTAAAACATAAAAGTTCCTGGACGACATTATACACTAGGCTACAATTCACGAATAATTTATAATTGCTAGTCGATTATCGAGACCGTAGATAGAGAGTACGAATTTAATTCTTTCTTGTTAATTCGATTGAAGATAGATTATACAGGTCCAATCAACAAGTCGAGATTAAGAATGCGGAAAATAAAGTTGAGGAATATATGCGTATTTTGATATATAGAAAAAGTACACGAAAAGCCTATTTATAGGTTCTAATAGATAAATTATCTACGCAAATTAAAGGAAATCAAATCACGCATGCATAATCAAAATACATATAGAAATTCAAAAGGATTATCCTAAATATCTTCAGAAGATAAATATCTGTGACACGACACGACGAGCTAGAGACGTCCCTCCGCTTCTTCGAGACATAAAATATCCGATCGTTTTATCGTTAGGTAAGACCGATACTTGGTTAACAGTTAGTCGGGCCGCGATAATAAAATAAAACGAAATGGAGGATACATAAACCATACGACATCGGGGCCGAAAGACTTACAATATCATCCCATCATGAACATTACCCGGAAAAGATCCCATTTCAAACACCCTGTTTCCCATTATATAATAAATACGAGAAACCCTGCAAGCGAAGTCACCTAAGCCCTATATAATTGCCTTCGTTGCGATGAACAACATGAAGAATCACTCCCTCGCACACTGACCCTTCACAGCTTTCGATCCATCCGGCAAGAACCCGTCACTCCATCATCATCAGAAGGAAGGGAAAAGACCAAGGAGAAATCGATCACCATGAGGGCCAGCAACCACCTGATCGGCCTCCTCAACTTCCTGACCTTCCTCCTCTCGATCCCCATCCTCGGCGGCGGGATATGGCTGAGCAGCCGCGCCAACTCGACCGACTGCATGAGGTTCCTGCAGTGGCCCCTCATCGTGATCGGGGTGGCCATCATGGTGATCTCCCTTGCCGGGTTCGCCGGGGCGTGCTACCGTAACACCTTCCTCATGCGGCTCTACCTCTTCTGCATGTTCTTCGTCATCGCCGCCCTCATCGGCTTCATCATCTTCGCCTACGCCGTCACCGACAAGGGGTCGGGCCAGCCCGTCCCCAACCGCGCCTACCGCGACTACTACCTGCAGGACTACTCCGGGTGGCTGGAGGAGCGCGTGGCCAGCGACTCCTACTGGGGCAAGATCAGCTCCTGCATAAAGGACTCCAAGGCGTGCAAGAAGATGGCCGTCACCGTCAACGGCATCTCCGAGACCGAGAGCATGTTTTACTCCCGCAAGCTCAACCCTATCCAGGTACAAACTAAAACCCTTCTTTTCTCTTTCTCTCTTTTCTTTAGGTTTTGCCCGGATTTCATCCAGCTCTCTTTCAAAACGTTCTACAGTTCGATTGCACTTCGTCGTTGTATGAGCACGACACCTGCTAACCCATTTCAAAACACGAGCAAAGGAAAAACTTTCGTCCTAATTTACCCGATAAGTACAGTTCATCAATCAAGTTAACTATTCGTAAAACAAGAGAAAGGTGCTAATCAATGATGAACATGTGGTTCGTTGTCGAAGTGCGGACGCGACAAAGCAAGGGAGGGGGGGGCCTCTCCCTCTTTCTTTTTCCCGCAATAATTGTTTAGATATATAATACACGTACACCTGTCCTTTTGTATTTCCGCAAGTTGGTAAATGCTCTTATCTAACATTTTCCCGATATTTTATTCAACATTTGGCGCTTCATTTTTTGTTTGTTATTTTCCCCTCTTTCTGTTTGTCCGTTGAAGTGTACGACAAGCTGGGCGGTATAGATCCCGCTAAGAAACTTTGAGGTTTCTTGTGCGTTACTGCTGGCTCTGCGCACAGCAGTCGGTCAAAGCTGGAAACAGCACCGATTCAATCAATTTTTTGAAAATGGGGGAGACCCTATGATTCAACATCAGGGGTTGTCTTTTTGATGAATAGTTTATGGATGGTATTTAGTGGGGCCACGTGGGGCGGTGGTACGGCTCGCTGCACCGGGGGAAGTGGAGTGGTTAACGTGGGTCGACGATGATGATGACGACGACGACGACGATGATGTTTTCTCCTAGAAATGGGCAGAGCCCCGGTTTGTTGTCTGGCATTCGATGCGAAAGCAATTAAACCGGCTTTTGAAACGAAAACATAGTTTGTGTTTTCTCCATTTATCACCAGAGATGAGAAGAACTACGGAGAAAACGAGGAGAATTGTCTAACTCGCGAGGGAAATTTTCTCCTTGATTATTAAACAATCTAATTTTGTCGTTCATTTGCTAAGCGTTTAGCTTTTGATTTTTTTAAAAAAAATTTCTCCACATTTTGCTCGTTAGCTGTCTAGTATCTGAGGCTGGAACAGGAGAGAACTCTGCATCTCCTGGTCTTTATCTTTTACCACTTCTACGAATATCCAAAGCAAGCGCGAGCATATCTTGTCATGAAAAAGGGTACGAGAATCTCTTTTTGAAAATCTTTTTGGGTGGCTTTTTCTCTCGGGCGAATAGTTCTGTCCATTTGCCTTTTTCCATCACGGAACGTGGGTTTCTTGTTTAAGTCGAGAACTTTTACTCCGTCTTTTACGTTTTGTCGCTTACAATGTAGCTTTCCTTGAATGTTAACAAAGGCGGGATTTTGGGTACGTCATAAGGGATCCTTACATACCCCCAAAACGCATGTAAAAAACAAAACTTTAGCCAAAAATTGACGATTCATTTAGCACCCTCACATGATCTTGCAATCTCTTTTTCCGGGACCACTCGCTCCTAGGCCCCGACATTTCACGTTGGAGGGACGAGCGATTATCCCTTCCTTCGTCTATGATGTTCGTAGAAATCGTCCGAGATTTGGTCGAGCATTTGCCTCTGCCATATTCTCCTTGTGTCCAGCGTACTGGAGGTCACCGTCGTAGTCTCAGTTATTGATCACTTTTTGCTTTATTAGGCTAGTGATGTTTAATCATGATTCTGGGTTGTTTCGCTTTATGTCATTTTCTTTTCCTACACGAGGACGGCCTCTATAATTGCACGTTTTATGTGTTCAGGAACCCATTTAGTTTCAAGATCTCATGATGTGTCAATTGTACGACTTTTGATATTAGCAGAAATGTGGTTCCGGAATGCTCTAATTAACACAGCAATTTTCGGCGGCTTTTGTTGTGGTAGATTGTAGTTTCCACGTTAATTTATGGAAGAATGTGATGAATTTTCTTCCATTTGATTTGGGCAGTCTGGATGCTGCAAACCGCCGACGGACTGTGGCTACACCTATGTGAACGAGACCTACTGGAACCCGGGAGGCGGGCTAGTAGGGACCAACAATGACTGCTCCCTGTGGAGCAACGACCAGGATCAGCTGTGTTACTCGTGCAGCTCTTGCAAAGCCGGGGTGCTTGCCAGCCTCCGCCACAGCTGGAGGAAGGTCTCGATCATCAACATCATCATACTGATCCTCCTGCTGATCTCCTACGTGATTGGTTGCGCGGCCTACAGGAACAACAAACGCATCGACAATGACGAGCCCTATGGCGAAGCCCGGATGACCAAGGCACAGCCTAGTAGGCTCCAGTTCTAGCGCTTATGTCATTTTATCATGTAATTCACTGGTTTGCTTGGTATTGTTTAATAGCTTTGAAGGGTTGGTTTTACATGATGTGCCAGTGGCAAATCGTCTTTTCCTGATTGCTCCTCAAGTTTTCTTTTTGGAATAGAAGCAAAATGACTGTCAATGTCATGGAGATGTAGCGGCACGAAATTGAAGTTGTATGATGGATATGTAGGAGTATATGAGTGTCTAGACTTATTGCTGTGATGACTATGGTTCATGACATATGTATTACAAGGATGATTGGATTTCTGTACACGGGCGGTCTTGCGGTAAGCATGTCACTGAGGTTTCAATTTTGTACTTCGAAATGAGCTAGGAATGAATTAGTTTTCGTCTGAAACTACCCAGGTTTTCCACGAAGAAAAAGTATAAATCATTGGGCGGTCAGCACGTGAAAGGGTGCCAAAGTACTGCATCCGTAAAACTTTTATCAGCAAGGAAAAGGGCGAGAAATGGGTTCTGAGAAGAAGATGTTATGGAGCAGAGAGAGACCATATAACATGGGTAAGCCCTTACTGTCTCCGAAGGATGAATCACCGTCCATAGGAGGCTGGTCCAACGGGCATCAATGCACGTGAACAGTTAATGCTGAAGTTTACCCGTTCTTATTGAACTTTTCCAGTACAAGTGGCGTCGCTTCACAGATGTTTCCATTGAGTTTCTGTTCAGTATGCGATGGCGACGACGCAGATCTTGGTCATGATTATATCTCAAACCCGTCATAAACCCGGTTGTTTTTCTGCGTGCTTTCAGAAAACAACCGGAGGATTTTGTATTTGAAATAATTTAGACATTTTCCTATAAAGTTTTAAGTGAAAGAATAGAGGTTTCACATACACACAAGGAATTTAATCTGGACAATGCATGTATGAACCATGCTCCTTCCTCGCATCTGCAGGGCTGAATACATCACCAGTAGACCTAATAACAGGCTAACACACTCGACAGCTTAAGATTCTTGTTCCACAGGAATGGGTCGCCGGTCCGATTTTAGCTGAGGCCTCTCGCTATGAATGTCTTCACTGTTGATTGGAAATCTCATTTCATGCTCCTCGATGCTCTTCGGTGTAGTCGGGTTGGCAATTCTCTGTTTCATCGAACGAACAACAATTATTAGTTTGCTTCATCATTGGTCAAAAAGGAAAACTAGGAAAGATTTCTTTTCCTGGCTGTGAACTAGAAACATGTTAGAAGCAATCCTTCACAAGGATTCCCTGTTCTACCAAGAGAACCAGAGAATGCAAATATTACAGTAAAATTCTACGGGTGAGTAACAGTTTCAGGACCTCCATACCTCGGGTAGCAAACAGCGTTCAAGTTCACGTACTTTCTGAATGGTCAATCCGAACCAATCGTCAATCCAGCTAAAACAGTTGCGATGACTTTCTATAAAAAGAGCTCTTTCACCCTACACAAAGAATGGGGAAGGATCAGTTTCGAGGAAATCTAGATTTGAGTACAACTTTTTTTTGGGAAGATGGCGAGCTAATTTACCGAGAGCATAGCTTGTTCAAGTCGGTAACCAAAACCCCAATACGGTGCATCAATAGTCACCAATTTATATGCTGTCATAACTGGATTGCACTTGCTCTGCAGACATTATCAGAATCCCACAACTATGATCAGTAAAGCATACATGGTACTGCATGTAAAGAAACACTGCAAGTCAGCACCCACACAACATGTTATACACAAGTTCTTCCGTGCTCACATCATTCAACCGGTTACGGACATCACTTTGAGAAAAGAACAGGAGGGGGAAAGCAGCTAAGCACGTGAATATGAGGGAGAAAAAGAACAAGCTCCTGAAACACAGGATAAGTCACTAGAGATTAGACTCATGGGCCGCAAAGAAACTTAGCTCTGCTGGTAGGCTGCAATTGATAAAGTCCGTGGTGTCTTGCATGGTGAATTGCTGGTGTCAGATTTTTATCTTGCCTAAAAAAGGCGATAAAGGCCATTGAATGGAGATGCCCTGCATTTTTTTATGGAAGGGTAGCAATGGGAAAATAACAGCAACATAAGTTGTCTGAGCTTTGTTTTCCTAAGTATAAAGGTGGTTTGGGTCTGAAGAACTTATCCCCGTGAAATTCTGCCTGTGTACTAAAAAGACCATTGCATTTACTGCTTCAATCAGGCTCATTATGGATTGATTGCTTAGCTGAATAATAACCTGCTGAAGGGCTCCTCTTTATGGCAAGTTTCAGCAAAGTCAGATAGCACACATGCAAAGAGGAAGTTGCTCGAGTTCAGAAATTTCTTGAAGCCTCACATGAAGCATATTGCTGGTAATGGCGAAAGTATCTCCTGAGTTACTGATGTGATTGTTGTAAAAATTCAATCAGCTTTGTGTAGTACCTTACAACCAGATGTGAACTCCTCTGATAGGGTGGTATACACTGGTTCTTCTAATGGTTCTTTTGGCTTTGTAAAGGATTGGAAACTTTCGAGTAAAAGTGGCAGGAAAGTTATACGGCATAGGTTGGTTTGGTTCAAACAAATGTGTCAAAGTTCAGCTTCATTTCATGACTGATCATGCGAAACAGGCTGTCTACATTTGATAGGGTGAAAATCGGGAGTGCTATTGATGATAATTGTATTTTGTGTAATCAGCATATAGAATTCAAGCTGCATCTATTCTTCAGCCGTACCTTCTCAAAGCAGATTTGGGAGCATGCCTTGCTTTTACTTGGACATCCTAGAGCTGCTAGTGACTGGAATTTGAATTTAATTGGGCACTTCAGAATATGAAAGGGAAGAGTTGGAGGTTGTTCTCATGAGTTTGAAATGCTACTCCTTACCACCTTTGGAAGGAGAGGAATAGGGTGTTGCGCGATAAAATCACTCTTAAGTCACAGAGACACTGCCCTTGTTATGCTTTCTGTAAAGGTTGCATTTGAAGGTTTTATCTCTACTGGAAGGAAATTGGTTTCTGATGAGTTTAAACCATTGTGCAGGAACTGGTCCATACATGTTGAGTAGTTTCTCTGGTGAAAGTTGAGTAGTTCTCCAGGAATGGTTGTTTTTCTGCTGGTGCTTGACCGATGTTCTGAAGAGCAAGAATTATACTGATTCTAGTTCATTGTCTTTGGATTTGAGTAGATGAGAGTATTCATTCGTTTATTTTGCAATTGGAACTTTGGGTTTAGTTTCAGGTTCGGATAATGGGCCCATTGGCCTCTTCTGTGGGGCATTGGGATTAGTTTTTTTCTTTTTTTGGTTGAATTGGGATTAGTTTGACTAGGTGTGAGTTTGTGCCTATTGGTGCTTGGGTTTTGTGCATTGAGATGGGTTGTATAGGGTGCTGTGCCCTTTTTTCTAGTAAAATTTCTTAAATATTAGAAAAAAAGGAGACTCTTGTTTGCTCATATGAGAAGGGAGTGCATATAACCATGCTTCTTTCCACGATGGATAGCACAAATAAACTGACCACAGAGTTTCCATATGCTCAAATATAAGCTAAAATTGGAGATATAAGTGGTATGAGAATCCAGACCTGCCAACCTTCTGAAAGAGGACCACGTCCAGTTCTGACTGACTTGAATTTCGAGAAGTCCACATCACTTCTTGCAATTGCATAACTCCAATAATCTGTCGTAGCGGAAGCTATATCGATGATTTCCACCTGCCGGGTTGCTAGTCGTTCTTCACTTAGGCCATGAACCTAGTTTTGCAAGATTTGATATTAGTACATGCCAGAGAGATTAAGAAGAGCAAGGCATCATTCTACTTCTGAAAAGAAAGTGACATACGAGGAGACTCAAATAGAATGACCCAGACTTGAAGAACTTACATTTTCTGATTGCCCGTTGTCAGCCTTGTGGATGGTGTCAATAGTTAGACTAAACTTTGTAAAGTATGGACACTGCAAAATGCAGACAAAAATAAGCCCAATTCACTGCACTATATAGTGCAAGCATCCAGTTCTAGAAATATGTTTTAGAGTAAAAAAGCTACAAACTGCTAGAACATAACTATTACCTTGAGTACTGAAGGAGATCGTATCCATTTGCAATGAGCACACGAAAAAAGGATTAGTGCTTGTTCAAGAAACAAAATTCAAAGAAAAAACGACATTGCAAGGATATGGCAAACCTGTTTTACATCTTGGGTAAGCATTCCAAGCTTCCTCTTGGATGATTAGAGCATCCGCTGGTGCAAAAGTAGTCAACCAAGCGGGAACTTTGCTGCACAAACAAGCATAAGGGAAGGAAACTGTTACTGTGGCAAAACATGATGAGCTTGAGATGTCGATAAGATCAACAAAATCAAAGAGAGAGAGAGAGAGAGAGAGAGAGAGAGAGAGACAGAGACAGAGAGAGGGCACCAAGAAGCAAGATAAAGGGCTTAGAAGGAAAAGAAATGCAATCAAGTACTCTTACCTAATTGTAAAATTAGCAAAAAGAAAGAAGTTTTTATACTCTACAACCTTGAACTAAACTATGGTACTTATCCAGGGGGTTCGCTGCACCAGATAAATTCCAAGTAACAAGATGTGGTGAGGATGGATTCTCAGATTACAATAATCATGACAATGCAAAAGACTAAAGACAAAGTGAACAGCCACATTGAAACGTGGAACTTCATAGGTGACTGTCAACCGTATAAAGGATTTATATCTAGATACAACAATCACAACCTCTCTCTACCCAATAAACATTTTAGGAACGGATGTTCTTAACCTAACCCGAAAAGAGTAACTGTGACTATTTTAAGAAAGAGGAATGGCAATACCAAACATGGCTACATTGTAATAGAATGTTAAGGTACGACTACCACTGTCAGAAGGCACCGTCAGATCATGTAAACCAAAAGTGAAAATATGGGGACGCTACAATTCTCCAGTTATTCACCATTCTGTCCAAGCAGCAGCATTCTTAACTAATGGAGCAATCAAATATTCAACGAGAAAACAAAAGCAATGGTAAGGACCAATGCAGCAACTTTTAAACCAATGATTTGATTGAGCAACACAGTTTAAATTGAGAATTTAAAAACAGTGATATCCTTACCTCTGCAAGCGATAGACTTTAGAAGTGTAATGACCTTTTCCGAATTCGCTGTCTTCAAAGGGTCTACTCTCCAAAATATCCACCCCCTCGGTATCTGTTCTGCTCTGAAGTTGCATCTTCGTGACCGTATACATCTGAGCTATCTGATACTGCAATCAAGTGACCCATCACAACAACATATTACATCGGGCAGCCACAAAGCAAGATTAGTATTAAAAGAGCAACAGATTTAAGGAGAACTTACTTCTTCTAGTGATATTGGCATGACAATTCGGCTTCATTCCGTAAAGGCAAGAAGTTAAGGAGTAACGCAAAAAAAGGAAAGGACTCATATGGCAGTTCAGATATACAACAAGTACCGTACGAACGGGTTGTGATTTCATCAACAAATGGGTACTTTGAAAACTAAAGCACCCCAGGCATTGGGTCAACTGAGGGACTTGAAGGGTACACCCCAACAGGAACATAAGCGATGAAAGTAATAAGACCGAATGCCTCTTATTTTCCAGTTCCATGGGGGATTCATTCGAACACCCTGCAAGCAATTTCAGCAGCCGGGAAAACTGGAAAGAGAAGAAAGATATCTGCACGAGAATGGTGAAAAAATTCAAACTTTATCGGAGAAAAACAGAGAGGAGGATACAATTCCTTGAGCTGCACCATCTTGCAAAGGCCTCCCGAGACTAAAACCCCACTGACCAAGCTCTCCAAATGCAGTTCGTTACCCAGAGAGAGGCCTGTGGTTGCGATGGCTATGGCGATGGAAGCGTACGAAGGTTTCTTGAAGAAGAAGAAGAAGAAGAAGAAGAAGATGAACTTGGGCAATCAGAAGACGGCGAAAAAGGGACGAGATGGCGTGTTGGGAAATTGAAACGCACGTTCAAACTTCAATCCAAGCCAAAGCCCAATGCGCATTCTTGGCTGACCAAACAAGGAAAAGTCAAAGTTGGGAGCTTTGGACGACTTCGCTTTTGACTCCCACCAAGTCCCACGCCTTCCCTTCTTCTACAGAGAAATCTCATTGGACATATAATTTATATGAAGAGAGAGGGCCGAGGGGGACAAAGGGAGGCGACCGGTAGACGCGTGGGCGAGAGACAAAGAGCGAGGCCGGTGCCGACACGGTGTCGTTGCGTTCGATGCGGGATGCGCACAACCGTTAGTCGGGCTCGGACCGGCCGTGGATTTCCACGAGGTGGAGAATCTAAAACATCACCGTCTTTACGAATATCGTAACGTAGCTGCTTCATTTATTATACTTGACATGATTAAAGAAATGGAAATATAAAAGGAATAATGTCCTAATATCTCGCGATAGTATATCTATTATTAACTAATTTTTTAACTCGAATTTTGACGAGCTGAGTTATTATATGAGTTAAGTATGTTCAGCAAGTAAATTATAAAAGCGTTTAAAATGATAAAACACAAAATATATGGACGTAAAATGAGTTTATCCAAATCCAATCCACCTTCATGACTCTCTCTTTACCCTCCATGAGAAAATAATGGCTTCCTCGAACTATTCCAAGTTTAGAGAAGCCTCGGTGGGCCCGTAAGATGGACTCGACTTCAGTCTTATTAAAAATATCAAGACGGCTTTTTTTCCCTTGTTAATTTTTATTTTATTTTATTAATCTTATAAGTTTCGTATGTATTTTTCGTTGGTTGCACTTGACATTGTTATTTTTATATAATATTCTAATCTTAGTTTTCGTCATTGCAATCCATGATCAGCATAAATCATATTCTTCAATATCTTGCATTCCATTTAATTAAAATTTCAATTCCTCCGCATTATTTGTTACTGTAAATGGGTTAGGTACGAATACGTGTACGAATCAAGTATGGGTACTAAATTTATATAGCATATAAATGGGTTAAATTGGGTTGGACCATTTTCGACCAAATGCAACCCGACCCACTAATTTCACAATCCTACACAGTACTATACGGCAGGGTATATGTTTAATCCGCACATTAAAGAGGTGTGCAATGGGAACCATCCGAATTGGGAACCGTTCGAACCGGACCAGCCAGTTCCTAGGGGCGCCGGTCCGATTCCCGGTTCCAGGGTGGGAATCGGACCGCCAGATAGGCCCAATATTGAAAGTCCTTAATTAGCTCAAAGCCCAAATGAGCCCAGCAAGAATAATAGCCCACTCGGAAGAGAAATAAGTTGAACCTAGAGAGAGTAAAAGCCCACAAAAAAAGGAAAGCCCGTGCCACTAAAAAAGAAAGCCGGCTCTCTCTCTCTCTCTCTCACTCTTTCCCTCATGTCTCCAAAACGTATTCCCAGGGGAGCCGATCCGATTCCCGGTTCTAGGGTGGGAACCGGACCGCCGGACAGGCCCGATATTGAAAGTCCCTAATTAGCTCAAAGCCCAAATGAGCCCAGCAAGAATAATAGCCCACTCGGAAGAGAAATAAGTTGAGCCTAGAGAGAGTAAAAGCCCACAAAAAAAGGAAAGCCTGTGCCACTAAAAAAGAAAGCCGGCTCTCTCTCTCTCACTCTTTCCCTCTTGTCTCCAAAACGTAAAGCAAAAAGGAGCGCGTTAGCGAAGCACATTGAACATAACAGAATCCACCCTCTCCTAGTTTCTCTCCCCATATATAAGCGTTTCGTTCAGTTGGATAAGGATTTTTTGGAGAGCGCGTGCAATCTGCGCAAAAAAAAAATACAAACTCCTCTCTCTTCATCAATTCCGTTGGACCGCCCGAGAATCGGATTAGACTGGACGGTCCAAAACAAGGTGATCTGGTTCTTGGTTCATAGGTGAAACCGGATCGGATCGAGAATCGATCACCCCTAATTGATGCGAGTTTAACGTTAATTTTCCTCAACATCCCTTGTTTAGTGTTTACTGTAACGATTGTCGTTCTCGAGACTTCAATAACGACAAACTGGGCATGATCCGTTGCGGGTTGTGGCTGCCGAATCTGACCTCTCGGGTTATAACGTTTTGGGCTCGTTGTGGGGGGAAAAGCCCTGAATAGAGACATCGGCCCTCGTTGTCCTTTCGATGATGTCCAGCGTTGTTACTTTCCAGTCCACAAAAGTAAATGGATAATAGTACATCAACCTAATCATTCTTTTTCCTTCCAATGCCCGGGCCCAAATTCCCATATCGGAATCAATCCAATCTCTATAGTGTGGTATGCAGCCCATCTATTCTTTTAACATCTTTCGGTCAGCATTTTGAGTCACTTCTAGGAATTGCCCGTGTGGTTGTCTTCAAGAACTTCACGTCTATTCTTTTACATCACATGCAATGTATATTCTTTTTCTTATGGCCAAAAGGCACGAGCGCAAAGACCCGACAATCTGAATGCTTATTCAGTTTGATCATTTGAAAGTTACGATGACAGCTTAATATCTTGTCATGGACACAAGAGGCCGATGTTTGGGACAGAGCCTTAATAACGAAACAAATGATTCGTTCGTTTCTAGGATCTCGAGTGTGACGTCCAATGCTACATAGGATAAAAAGAGAACTCGTGACTTAAATCAATTAGTAGAGACATAGCTTTCCAAAAGTGACCGTTCGAATGCTCTTTTTAGGCTTTCGGCCTCCATGAAAATGATCATGTCATTATATTTAGAGTCAGAGCAACTACCCTAGTTGTGATCCAATGTTCATTTGACGACTTCAACGTGCTTCTCTGTTGGCACAACGAGTTAAAACCCATTCAAACACGCACCAAACTTGTGAGGAATTTCGATGTAGATGATGATTGTCGGCCGTTGGACCACTTCCTATTCTAGCTCTCTTAAAGAAGTAGACAAGAGTCGGTAATCAAAATTCCTATACCAGGCATGCTATTGAACGTGATGACATGCTGCTGCTTCTGGAGCTTTGACGTTAACAAGAGGGAGGGGGCTTGACCACGTGGGGTTTTGTAGTCTCTCGTGCACTCATGACACCGTGTACGCTAAGCCATCGTAGTCACCGGCTAAGAAAATTCCTAGATGAAATTCTTTCAAGTCATTCGATCCCCAATCGTTCATCCTTAGCTGTAGTCCTCCCTGCTACTGTTACAAGAGTTCTTTAGTGGAAAACTGTAAGAGAGAGAAATGAGACCCTTTGGCTAAAACCGTGTGGGGTTTTAGAGAAGAAAATGAAACAGTGGAAAATTAGGAAAACAGAAGCTGTGGTGAGATCGAAAGAGAGAGAGAGAGATCTAGAAGAAAATGATGACAATTCGAGGCCATTCATGGAAGGACGCTGTTCATCAAATGGTTTTTATAATCCTTAATCTTTAGTTTATGCTGATCTCTGCAGAAAACATCGGTCATCTGTTGTTTCAACTGGGCGTTCAGACCAAATCCCATGTGATTGATATGGCGTTCCATTCCGGCAGACTTCGCTTTAATTGAGGAACAAACTGAAATGTCCAAGACAGTCCCCTTTGAATGTCTGGTCATATTAGTCTTCAAAAGCAAGTACATGGTGGAAAATTCCTCCTTCGTTTTTCTTCCTACATATTAGTTTTTTAAGGGAAAAGCTTAGGGTTAGCATCACGCTGTGCCCGATCCACCAGCTTTCGTTTTCGTTGCTTGAATTATATATTATCGTGTTTAAATATATATTTACATGGTATTAGGATAATAACAATCGTAGCTAGCGTGGCGAGTCTTATTTTATTGCACGATTGCTCATTGATCCTTATTGTTTTTTTCCCTTCTGAACTTTCTCTTTTTCTTTCATGCCGTGCATCTCGCCCGCAGAATTTCAATCTACGATTGTGATTAAAAATGAGCATTAGCTGAGTCATTACGTTATTTCAATCACAACATCATTTCCTAAGACAATGCTGGTATGATATGCCCGAAAACCCGTCAAACACGTCTCTAACCTTCAATAAAACTCGTCGAACAGATCGGACGAAAGGCTGTACTTCGGCGATGGTGGTGCCCTTTGCGTGAGAAACGTGTCTTTCCTATGTATGGGCCGGAAGGCGAAGTCGAAGAGCGGTTCTCGCGTTTACATTGCGAATCAGTTCTCTCCATGCATAGAACATGAAAACGGGTCCTTTGGAAGATCCGATTTCACGAGGACAATGGGTAAAAACGATCGAGTAAAAGTTGACTTGCTCACCATCGCGGATGGATTCCTTTCAAAAGGAAGGGTCCACACGCTAAGTACGTACCATACGAGGAAAAGAGACGGAGAGAGATGATGGTGTTAGTACAAGCTTAACTACTTCCGCCGCGAAGTTGGAGTTTGGGAATTTTCTAAGGGGTGGGAGTGGGAAATTTGTTCACTTTGGATTAGAAGTTTCAATGCAGTGGAAAAAGAAAAGATGAAATTGGACGCTTCGCATTTGGTTGGACTCGGAATGTTTTTCACCCTTGCATTTTTTGTTGGAAGGTGGAGAAGGAAAAAGGTCCTTTGTTGCTATTTGACAGAAAGAAAAAAAAATCTTTTGAATTGTGGCACTAGATCAGGAGTCATGCTGACGTGACATAATATGTCCAATCGGGGTTTCGCTATGACTATAATACCTGTACTTTTATATAAAAAGCAAGTATTTAGGTGATTTTCGATAAAATTTCAGCCTCCCATGCATTTACCAAATTTGACGAAAATTAGTCGTTCTTTCAAAGTGAGTGGACTTATATGCATATAAAACACATGCCGTATTACACTCGAGTAATGATATTTCAATTTTGAACTAAATTCACGATCATTCTTAACTTATATTCAGTGAAATAAATACACTTTATCCTTGTGATGAGCACGGATTAGCAAAAAAAATTTAACTATTAGTTGTACAGTATTCTCTTGAGATCTTGTAATTTAAATAGTCCTATTATGACATGTAATCTTTTTGTTGTAGTGCAATTGATATAAAGTCATGATAACATTACTTTACGACGGTATCTTGTAATGATGCCAAAATATCACTAAAGACATCGGATGATAGTAGTCTTAACTGATTTTTACCCGCAAATCATTTCATCCACAAATCATTTTACTTTCTGTGGATGGAGTTGCTAAAGAGGTTTCTTTCACTACATGTGCGCAACGAGTTACCAGCTCTCCACCAACCTTAACCCACCTTCTCCCTTAAACCCTCATAATCTCTCTCTCTCTCTCTCTCTCTCTCTCTCTCTCTCTCTCTCTCTCTTTGTGCTTACTCATCAAGTAGTTTAAGAAGATAACTAATCCTATTTTCTTAATGGACTGAAAGATCGCAGCGATGGAAGGAAGGTATACAACGAACTGATCGATAAGCGCATTCGAATCGCTCGTAAAATTATTTAAGTATTCTGTACTCGACAAAACGTCGAGGGCCATTTGAATGTTGAAAGATCCCAACCCTCTCTCCCATGATTAGATCAGTGTCCAAGGATGAATCAGGTAAGTTTAGTTTTGATTGGAACTGCTGCTATGAAGTCAAACGAAGTGTGTCCAATTTAGCATTTTCCTTTTCCTCGAGTGGTTGGGACATGATGGAGACAGGTTGTGGTTAGTGTGGAGACAATCATGTGTCTCGTACGTGCAAGCAAGCATGGATGGTGCTTTTCTCATCGGGCGATGTATGACTCTGCTCTGGATCCGTGGGGGCTTAACCTTAACGTTCGTGGGTTTTGACAGTGTCCTGTCTGAAGGAGGATGGAGCGGATTGCTTCTCTCATGCGGGCATGCATGCATGAGACTGTGAATGGTTGGGATGAAGCAGCATTGAAGGGGGAAGCCCTTTGCTGTGATTTTGATTGAATTTGGCTTGCAATGCAGCTGTTTACTCCAGTTGGGAGGATCGTAAGGAGACCATTCACACTGCTGTCTTCCCTAGTGTTGACACAGTCATTCACTATAGTTTTGCAGAGTCCATAGCTAGCGTCTCGAGTGCGCCAATAAAATATCAAACGAGCCTATCATTCATAACATAATCTTGACCGGGCACTTGGACCCTATATGTGAAAAGTTACGATGAACAACATCGAATTCTTTTTACGATAAATATCGATTCATTATTTCGAAAGGCGATTTGTCCCACATCTTTGTGATGCAGCAATTCTATATTTGGATGACTTACAATCTTCACAAATCTCTTCGTTGAAGTGCGCCGCCCCAAGCCAAAAGAATGGAGTTTTATTGACCTTAAGGTACCTTCTTGGCCGGTGTTTGATAGCCCATCTTATCCTGATTCGCAAGGGTCACGATATTGCCCATTACAGCAAGTATTTCCTTTCAATCGAATAAGAAAATTAATTTGCTTGCCCATAAGTGATTACGACAAGAATGAAGCATCTAAGTTCAAAACATTTTGCACCTTGGATTGCATTTCAATTCAACCATGTACCATTCGATACTTTTCGTCTTTGGTGATGCGAGTCTCAATTTAGGCCAATAAATCGACATAACTTAGTCCATACGATTATGAATATACATGATTAAGACTGGTTACAACAGAGGATGACTTGAAGGGATGGAAGACATGTGCCTAAATCTCCAAGAATGCATCCGAGATGAAGCGACTCCAAGAGAGACCGCCAAGTGAAACACTGTTCCAGTGTCAAGTCCATGATGCCAATTTGTCAAGATTGAACAATAGATATTGTCACTTTCTTTCCCCTCCTCTTTTTTCCAATTGGCGTTTCTCTCGTTTTCTCCAAGAATTTTTGTCGTACTTGTCAGTTGTAATCCAAGAAAATTGGGGGAGCGTTGATAAGTTTTAGGAGTGAGAGTGCTTTGGTCATCATCTTTCATTTCCTGTAAGAAAGTTCTCGATCGTACCGGTCGTGATGGGCGGGTTCCATTGGAAATTTGCACGAGGACCGAATGAAATGTTGGAAAATGGAAGCAGGAAGTACGAAAAACATGACATGCGGGAAGAAAAGTAAATGGAGATGGTCTGTGCGACAATCGTTGTCCAGCGAAGAAATACCTAGGTCTAATCAATCGTACCTGTGACTAAATATAGTAAGACATTATGACATCATAATTAGACCATATAGGTTCAAGCCAATATATAGTATGTGAACAATCGTCTCGTACATGGAGTCCACATGTTTATATATCTATGTGGTATAAAAAGTTTAGCCATAGCATTGCTGACAAACTAATGAGTAAAATAATGAAAATTTGCCGAGTCAAGTAATTCTTCTATCTTCCGACCAAAAAAAAAAGTAATTCTTCTATCTATACGCTAAGCAATCACTTAATGAACTTAATACTAAAATAAATTTGCATCACAAAAAATGTCAAGTCTCGTATAGGTTTCATGAGAGTCTCGTCAAATTCGTCGTTTCGTATTTATCCAATATACATGCTAAGTTCGTCAGATAATTTCTTTCGGCACAAAAAAAAATTATGCGTGATTAGACCTGAAGCCTTGGTCTTTTTTCTTTGGGTTAATATCACGAAAAACCCCAAACTGGTATACCTGTGACAATTTTACCCCAAACTAATTTTTTGACCACCAAAACCCCCAAACTAGTATACTTGTGACAAATTTACCCTCAGTTTGTTTCGGTTATATTTTACTCTCAAATTGCTTTGTTAAATGACATGCGACAGTTAACTGATATACCGGTTTTATGTTTTACTCTCCATTTGTCACAGATATACCAGTTTATGATTTTTTATGGTATTAATTCAATTCAACGGAAAGTAACGGAGGGTAAATTTATCACAAATGTATCAGTTTGGGGTTTTTAGTGGTCAAAATATTAGTTTAGGGTATATTTGTCATATGTGTATCGGCTTGAGATTTTTCATGATAAAAAAAATAATTTGAGGTAAAATTGTTATAGAGTTTGGAGTTTTTTGTGGTATTAACCCTTTTTCTTTTTTATGTTTGTTTAGAAGTCTGCACTGGGGAATTGGCATCGTGTCATTCTCTATTTTACCACACGCATTTTCCTTATGACCTTTGGCCCACTTCTTTGCCTCTTTCGGAACAGCACGTTATTTTCTGGAAAACACCTCGGCTTAGTTTTCAAACCTAGTGAATTTTTCTTCATTTTCCACACAAGCGTCTAAACTCTTCAAGCGGACTTTTGGAAACAATAAAATAAAAATAAGAATTTTTATGTGGTGCTCACATTCATCACGGTCAATTGGGTAATTGTAATTTCATAAATCAATCGATTGTTTAAAATAATAACAATTTTTATGCGTGTTTAAATTTAATACGTAAAAATAGACCCACGAGGACTTTCGAGTGAAAGGAATTGGGATATAATGGCAGCACTCAGCAGCCACATGGTTGGATCTAATGACTAATATATTTTTCGTGACCTAAAAAGAAAGTGAAATAGAGGAATTGGTCTACACTCTTGCGTAACTGGAAATGTATGACTGAACATGACGTCGTCTTCGTCAAGCGTCCGAAGCCCTCTATATATGCACACGCTCTCTCATCTACTCAAGAACTAAACCAACCCCACTGGGACATCTCTCTCTCTCTCTCTCTCTCTCTCTTCATCTCTTCCTCTCAAATCTCTCTCTCTTAGTGCTTACTACGTTGTTGTGTCTGTCTGTGTCTGAACCAAACTGATGGCTGTGCAAGATATGGAGGTGTCGGATGCGAGTGTTACGAATGGAAACACCAACACGAGCTCCACGACCACCTCTTCTCCGCAGTCTCTCTCGCCTACTTCGTCGTCTTCTCCTCCCCCTCCCCCTCCTCCACCTCCGACACCGGTCATTATAAGCCCTTGCGCGGCCTGCAAGATCCTGAGGAGAAGGTGCGCTGTCGAGAAATGCGTGCTGGCGCCCTATTTCCCTCCCACCGAGCCCGCCAAGTTCACTATTGCTCACCGCGTCTTCGGCGCAAGCAACATCATCAAGCTCTTGCAGGTACGGTACCATAACTTCCTTGATATCGTGGAAGCAACAACATTTTCTTTTCTTTGATTGGATTCGAGTTTGTGTATGCTAGACATCGGAGATCGCATGAAAATGTGGAGCTTAGACATCGAGAGAGGTTTAGATTTTCACGCTTTCGTCACATTATCGACCACGAGCTCCTTCGTTTGATTATAATCAAATCGTTTTTTGACGATAAACTCTTACCGATTCCTGTGTGCGGAATTATCTTCACATAAATAGATGACAGGCAATTTAGATATGTAGACTTAGCTTCCGTGAGGCAATCGGAAAGCAAAGAACGTGACCAGTCGATGCACATGTGGGTGGGGACTTGCATCGCTCACAGTGCCTCCTTCAGAATATTGTTTTTCTCGAGTGTCCAACATGTGAAAGGCGCTCGAGCCATTTCTGGTATATCGGGGCGAAATTTCTGCATTGCCCCTTGGTTATCATATCGGTTGGTCAACCTCCCGACAAAGCCATGATGATGGTGCGCTATTTTCACCGTTTCTTTTACGGGGAAAACGTCCGAGGAAAGTGGGCGAGTTCTGGTGGCTACAGAAGATGGAAATTTGTCGTCCAAAAACTTAACCTCACCTACACGACGCTAGATGGTAGTTAGAGATGCGTGATTCAGGAAGATCCGTGTACCGTTCAATCTGCTGGTGGCCCTACACATTCAACCACATTTGAATAGACTTCGGGAAGATGTACCGAGTCATTATCTATGCATGTAAAAAACAAAGGAGTTGAAAAGGCCATGCAATGGCGCCTTTGCGAATTTGCCCGAGTAATTCCGGTATATTGACCGCGTCAAAGATCACTACATGACACTGTATGAATGTCGACAATGATTTATACGAATTTTTAACATACGTTTATCTCTCAAGTATAATAATCACCAATGGTATTACGTCTTGGGACTCTTCTTTTTTTGTGTGTGTATTGTTCATGTCAAGACTGATCAATCTTGATCTTTTATCAGGACCTTCCAGAATCGCAGCGAGCTGATGCGGTGAGTAGCATGGTGTACGAGGCCGGGGCAAGGATCAGAGACCCCGTCTACGGCTGCGCAGGCGCGATCTGCCAGCTCCAGAAGCAAGTGAGTGAGCTCCAGGCTCAGCTGGCCAAGGCCCAAGCCGAGATCCTCACCATGCAGCACCAGCAAACCAACCTGGTGACTTTGCTGTGCATGGAAATGGCTCAGTCGGCATCTCAGCCGGCGCAACAGTTCGTCGACAATCTAATCGTCGCCAGTCCAACCATCTACCAGACCAACAACAACAACACAAGCCCATTCCTGGACGAGGCCAACGTCATGGGGTCCGTGTGGGAGCCCCTCTGGACATGATTGGATCCACCCTTTTTGTGGGGTTTTTCAACAGTTATAAGATATGGCTAGTCTTTTTAACTCCTACAACTTTGAGAATGTTTCCTATGAAATTCTCCTAACTCGCGGCTAAAATATAGCTCAAGAAGAGAAGGAGAGGCCAATAAAGCAAATTTGGAGCTATTCCTCAATAGGTATAGTGGTGTACTAAGTGTACTAGAGATATTAGTCTATAGGTAAAGGTATGAACAGAAGAATCGAGAGGGGAGAGGAGGAAGTTAGTTAGGATCATATTGGTCACTTTGTTAAAAGGCTTTGACAAAGCAGATAGCGGTCCTTTTCCTTCTGATATAGATGTATCGATGTAATATTGGAGAGGGGAAATTCTAATTATTGAATCTTTAGCCACTTTCTGGTGACCTACCACTATGATGATTACTTAAAGTTAAATTTGATGTATTATCATGGCGAATTCTCTTGTCTAATCACCTTTTGACCATATCATTACTAGCCAGTATAGTCAACACATTTTGCAATCAAGATCCATAGTGCAATCCTTTCTTTTCTCTCTCTCTCTCTCTCTCTCTCTCTCTCGTGTAATTTCATATTCTCTAGCGATTAACACTTGAAAGCATGTAAAGCACATATGCGGAATTGAGAAAAGGCACACGAGGACGTCAAATGCATGAACAAACTTATATATCGCACGGTCTTCCAAATTCTATTAATACTTTTCTCACTAGTCATGCTTATCGGGAAATGAACGTAACATATCTCTACGTTATATAAAATATCACTAAATTAAGTAAAACTAAGCACAATTGCTCACGAATCGCGCCCTAGACAACGAATGATGCGATTATCCCAAACGCATAATATATCTCCAAAAACATAGATATTAGCGAAAAATAATGAACTATTATTATATATGTTTAGTTGGTGTTCTGAGGACGAAAGTCTTGTTATTTAGGGGAAAACACAACTGCCGTTTTGTATCGTTGTTGCTGTGGTCCGCCTGGGACTGTTGTCTCGTTACTCGATTTTCCCAACACGACGCGTTTTTTACTGTCGCTGTCGCGGGAAAGTTGCTACCTTCCTGGTTGAATTACGGTCGTAAAAAAGAAGAAGTTGAGCAACATTCGCAAGGAGAAAGAAACTGGGCTCCTTTTTCCTCGATGGCGATGGCGATGACGAGGGGGACACAGCGTTCTTCCGTCGGGGGCAATCGTCAAAAGGAAACCCACCACCACACATGATGGTCGCTCGCACATGTCACGTGCAGTGATGAAGTGCTCCCCTCTCTAAAAGCGATGCAACCAAAATGATGAATGATTGCTTCCGATCGGCTGTCTCTCTTAAAACGCGTTTCGGAGGAGCGAGTAAAAACGCACAGGGAGGCTCTGATACCGTGTTAGAATGTCCAATGAGAAGTTTTACTCCGATGGGTCGAGGGAGGCTGGTATGTCAAAATCACATCAATTCCATGATCGGATAATTTCTTTAAGAACTTTTTGTATAACTTATCGGGGTTATCGAAACACGTGCACGTCACGTGAGGTGTTCGATTGTTCTTTGGGGGAGAGGTGACAAGTCAAGGGCAAATTGTCCACTGTCGGTAACCAGTTTTATTCCCTCAAGTGAGTGAGAAGAATATCTCAATAATCTCGCACCCAACAACGCCCAACATGCCATTATATGTCCGTGCTTGGAAGGGAACACACTGATTCTCTTTGACCCGTTGTTTGGTACGTCCGAAAGCTCATCCTCATCTATCGAACCCCCTTTTTAAATCTCCCCCAAAAAGTCAACCGTTATCATCCACCGCTCCCACTATGGACACACAGTACACTATCATTTTCATGTGTTTACTTTAGTCATGAGTTTTCGGTTCTCTTGGTAAGCCTTAGCGGCCTTGCGTCGAACTTGTTGATGCCATGTTCACATGATTCTCGGATGTGCATTGGAAGACTCGAGTTATGTATATTGTATTCTCGTACGGAAATATAAGGTCGACGGGTCGTTCGAGAACAGAAGCACATATCTAACATTCGTTATCGATCGGTGGCACGTTTAGATGAGTTTGCGCGACGTTCTCGACAATATTCCATGTTAGCACATTTTAATGCCTGATCAGTCGCTCTATAAATAACGTGAGTAGAAGAATTAACTGCACTAACAAATCTAACTTTATGTCATGGATATGACAATAGGGTATTATTGAAATGTCTATTTACGTTGATATTAACATTATTTAAATTATGTTGCTTAATGAGGAGGTCTTCCTTCGGTTTTTCTATAGAGACATCATATCGGGCTTTGGACAAGACAATGGATTGGTTTGCTGGTGAACCACCAGCAACTAAATTATTGCTTTGCCTCTGATAAGGTTAGGTTTATTAGTTGAGTGTATGCCCCATGCATGCGGTTTCTCCTATTCTACTCTTGTGGATCCTATGCTAAGACTGAAGTAGTGCGCCCTATCTCTGTTAAGATGGTAAAAAGGATTAATTTGACTTTGCCTTTAATTTATTACAGATGGAATAATTATTCACTATCATCAGTTCGGTCGTGTGACTCTCATATGGTGTGCGACCGTTCATGTGCAATATACATCGACCGCATTCTTGCAAGACTCAGGAAAAATTATCAAAAAAGTCATAATTGTGCCAATTTAGTCCTAAATCTTTTGCAATTGTGCCAATTCAGTCCTAAACCTTTTGCAATTATGTCAATTCAGTCTATCCGGCCAATTTCGGCCCGCTGGTGCTGATATGGATACTGGCTGGCGCCGGCTGTCCAGCCAACACTAATGGGGCAATTTTTAATAATTTCCTTTTCTTTTCTTCCTTATTTCCTTTTTTTTTTTTCCCATAGTGGCTGGTGAGGCCATGGCCGCCTTCGCCCGCATCACTAGGGCCTCGTCGACCGAGGGTGAGGGCGGCCATGGCCTCGCCAGCCACAGGCAAGGTTGACTTTGCCCATGGCCAACAAGGCCATGGTAAGGCTGGCCTCGCCCAGATCTGGGTGAGGCTGGGCGAGGGCTGCGACCCTCGCCGGCCATTGTGGGGAAAAAAAAGAAAAGAAGGAAGAAAAGGAAAATTAAAAAAATAATTAAAAAAATTGCCATATCAGCGTTGGTCGGACGGCTGGCGTTCACATCAACGGCAGTTGACGAAAATTGAAAGCATGGACTGAATTGGCATAACTGCAATAGGTTAAAATTTTTTTTGGTAATTTTCCCGCAAAACTTACCCTTTCCCATAAGAAAGCAACTTGCTGACGTTATGGTGATCTTGATCGGCTCACTACTGAAGAATGTCCACGCACACTTCTAGTTAGCCCCAGGTTAGGTGGTAAGTACGTTACAGTCTTCCATAAATGTGAAAGCTTCTCATTCATGTTACAATCTTAAAGATCGTGCGATCTCTATGACAATGATTTCGTAAGATTATTTCGATCACGAAACTAAAATCAACGCTTCTTTGCAGGGATTTGATCCCAGCAATCTCAAGCCATGAATTTTTCGCTGATTTCCAATCTGTGTGCCTATGGCTGCCGCGAAAGCAGTCAAACAAGGGCATGTGCAAGGCCTCCTGATTGGGAAGTTCATGCGCAGAATATGCTTTGAAGAAGAGGATGCTGTCTATCTCTATGTATCCTCTTTTTTTTTTTTTGGTAACCGAGGATCTGCCACCATTCCCCCGGGACGAACCCGCACAGATAATCGGGGCGCCTATACCTCGGGGGAGACTAGCCCAGCAACCCACCGCCAGGGCCCCCCACTTAAATTACGGAACCGAGCGGGGATTCGAACCCAGAACCTCTAAGGAGAGAAGGAAAGCGCTCACCAACTCGGCCATGCGCAGGTGGGTTATATGTATCCTCTTTTTTTTTTTTTTGGTAAGGCATATGTATCCTCTTTTAATTGCTGTTGAATCCAAAATTCATTGGTTTTGTTTTATTTGGGAGAGATCAACATTTGTTTAATGAGAGTTGCTGGCCAACGTTATCCACGTAGCCGCTGTAGCAGCCTAAGACCTGGAATCGTCAAATTACGAGAGAATATGTAACAAACCTTGTCCCTTTGACTTCAACGTTCGTGCTGAATTTTTTCAAGCATCAGTTGGTGATTAGACCGCAGAGGGCAACTCGGTAGTCACTAGGGTCGATAGCAACATTTACCCTAGTGGGGGAATTAGCAGACCTACAGCAGATATCCCTAGGATGACTGCTGATACATTATAAACGTGGCAGTGAGGTATTATCAGAGAGGAAGGCACGATTCAAAAACAAAAGGCTTTATCAGGGGATGAGATTCAAATCCAACAAAGGAAAGCTCTTGATTTGAATATTCTGTCGAGCCTATGGTCGATCGTGTAAATGGAAGTTACAGATAACAAGAAGTCAATGCAGACCACGTGCCAAGTGGTGGGTAGAACCGTAGAAGGGCGACTGGTTCGCACCCTGGCCTCAGTGGTATTAGTTTGAGAAGCCCTTTAAGCCTTTAGTGCAAGCAGATAGCACACGAGAAAGTGGTATCTGCGCATGAAACGAATTCTAGATTCTTGCAATGTAGAGACATGCTGTGATGGGAACTGAGACACGCTGCTTTTGAAAATGCAGGTTGTGCATGAGAAAGGCGCGCAAATCTACTTAGCTTTCTGTCTCGACTCTCGATGCCCTCCGTGGCTTCACGAGTTAAAAAGGAAGATATGTCTGCATTGTCCACCTGATCTTTTCTCATTTTCATGGTGGATGAGTTAACTGGCAAAGCAGCTGAAACAACAAGAAAAGTACACCGTTTTTGACTTGTTAGGTTTTTGGTGAGTGCCCGTTGTCTCGTAAGACGCGGTGGCGGATTTTACACGGCGAAAAAGTCCATCTTCAGACTCCGTTTGTTTCGCAGAAAATGAATAATTTGAAAAATATTTTCCTAAAAGTGATCGCTTGTATTATTTACAAAAATGAATGAACAAAATTTTCTTTTGTTGCCCACACAAATGTTTATACTTAAATTGTTGTCGATAATGAACTAAATATGTTAAGCGAGTCAAGCGATCCATTTTAGGAAAATGTTTTCCAATTCATTCATTTTCCGCAAAATAAATAGAGCCTAAATGCGTGTATCGATTTTGAGCCTTGTCGCTCCAAATTTATAAGTCAGTTAAGACGCGAGTCGACTATAAATCTATTGGGATGGAACAAGATGAGAGCGTCGAGTTATGTTACGCGAGCATTTGATGTACTTAGGTCGAAACTTTTGACCTTGATGTTATCGAATAAAAGGCTAGGATAAACATATCACGTAAAATTTAGTAAGCTGTTCGTTGTAAATATTCAAATTATTATATACTCAAATTTAATCTCACACATTTTTACCTTGGCACTCAAAACTCAAGCTCAAAACG